TCCATCAGGTCACCTGGTGTCAGAAAACATTTTACTCAGTTTACTGTGAAGGTTCACCACAACCCTCATTCTTCATTTACACGAAGAAGCTGCAAAGATTGATTTTTTCTGCTTTTTTGTGAGAAGTGAAAGTGTATTCTCGATGTATAAATGACTAACAGTTTTTCTCATCCACTTTTTGACACGTACGTTTCCGAGAATATTCAGTCCAGCGGATTAATATTTTTACCTTTTAGTTTAGCTAAAAGAAAAGAATAATGGGGTTCGATGAATGTCAATGGATCCTTCCATATAATAATTATCAATGACTTTTTTGTTCATCTCTGTTCAAGATAGAGTCTATTCACAACTGGTTTTTATAAACCCATTAGTCTGGTAGTGAGGAAGTGAAAAAGTGAGCAAACAGTTAATTTTTTCTTATTATACCTGTTGGTTCACGTCCACCATTAAGAGTAAGACACATTCAAAAGTAATTGTGATTGATAAGCCCTCAAAGTTAAACTTAAGGACTGATGCTAGAGCTTCCATGGCACTGGAATCACCTAAAAAGAAATCGCATGATTTAATAAAAACCACTGAGGTGCGTAACACAGTAATGCTTTAACCATCTGTGGGGGGAACTTCAAGGCTTTTGCCAGTTACGTCTTGAAGCAGGTGTAAGGCACTGGAATCACCTAAAAAGAAATCGCATGATTTAATAAAAACCACTGAGGTGCGTAACACAGTAATGCTTTAACCATCTGTGGGGGGAACTTCAAGGCTTTTGCCAGTTACGTCTTGAAGCAGGTGTACTGTGTTCCCGGTAACATCTCAAAAAGTGTTTATAGTCTTGTTTCTTTGGCTACCCACATATACCTACACTTGCAACATCAAGTGAGATCATCTGAAATGATTTACACTGATATAGGTTATTGATTACCCTGAAATTTGCAAAAGCGGCTGAAGTGATAAAGACTGAAATGCAAGAGGGAAAGAAAGAAAGAACGACATCTGAAGCCATTCCAAATTGCTGGCCGTTACGCAATTCCAACAAGCTAAGGAGGTAAAAGGTAAAATATCAATGCTTACATTTGTAAAGATGCTAAGAAAAGCGCTATGGACATAAGGATGAAGTCAGAGCTGACCGATGATCCCAAACTTTCATTTGAAACAATACAAGGGCGCGCTTACAATGCCTCAGACCTAAACAGCGCGAAAAAGATGCTGGCCAAATGGATCTTGGATAAGAAAAAAACGGAGATCAAAGAAAGCGTTTGGCAGGGGAGTATTGTGTCCCATAGACTCTATGAAGAAACAGTTGAACTATCAGAGTCAGGGACGGCGGAGCGTATTTTGTATTGGGAGCGCTAACAAGCAAGCGCCGGGGACGCTAACTTGTAGGAGGTTCTGGGGGAATTCTCCGCTTGAAATCTTGAAGGTCGGAAATGCTACTTTCAGCATTCTCGACGAGATATCAGAAATGAAATGACAGATGTTTTACTTCTTATTTGTTACTTGATACATATCTAACTTAATACATATATCCCAGCCTTACGTATATTCCGGCCTTAGTGCGTACACTAAATTGTTTTATTACAAACGCTCGACATGTGTAGCAAGACGGAGAATGTTCAAAATTAGTGGTTTAAAATCACTTGTGTTGCATTAAGATGCTAATCTTGACAGCATATGAGAAATTTCAACTATAGAACAAATTGCAAAGTTTGGACTAACCGGAGAGTGAAGGGCTAATGCAAAATCGCCTGCGAGAAAGGGCGATAAGATTTTCCTAACTCGTCCCTAGTCGCCTCTCGTCTTTATTCACAAGCTGAATCGTGAGAGTACTAAGGGAAAAGAACAAGTTGATAGGCTGAAGTCAATTTCCTTGAACAATGCACGTACAGTAACAGGCAAGGGAAAACAACAAGTTCAACGGCTGAAGTCAGCAGTAGTAAATTTGCCGAAATTCCTTTCACGATTTTCGTTCAGGGATACAAATGAATTTGCCACAGAAACTAAACAAAGCTTATCAAATCTATCTTTACGTGTGTTCAAAATCGGTAGACGGTTGAGCCGTGCTTTTGTTTTGTTTTTCCGTCTGTTAGTAGTAGTGTAGTACGCACCGGTTACTCCACTTTCTTGCTCAGGAATGTCATTAACTTGCGCATGAATGAATTAACATCAATGACGTCATAACCTTTTGTCTTTATCTCATAAGTAAAATGCGTAGGAATCTCATTTAGATAAGGTCGTGTGCTATTTTTAAATGGTTTAGGTTTTCTAGTTACTTGAGGTCGATAAACGTCTTCGTTTTCAATTGGTTAAATAGAAAATAAGAAACGTTTTTATTGGTCAATTCATAGTGTCCGAGGAGTAAAGTCAAACTTGTCTGTGACTTAGAATCACTGATACGTAACGAAATTATGCAAGTCCTATTTCCTGCTGCTGTGATTGTCCTGATGAGATAAAGACAAAAGGTTATAACGTCATTGATGTTAATGTATTCCTGCACAAGTTAATGAAGTTCCTGCGCAAAAAAGTGAAGTAACCGGTGCGCCCTAAACTACTGTTACTTTTCTTTTTTTGTGTTTTATGGGCTTTTTAATTATTCTTAGTTTCTTATTTATTTTTAAATGTTTATTTTTTGCTTGAATTTGAAGGGGGGCGGCTACACGATCTGCGCGATAAACGAAATATATCAGCAACTCACTGGAACAAGGGTACAGGAGGCAATGCGGCAGAAAAAACATGCAGGAAATGTCACAGGTTTAGCGACAACATTTGAAGTACACAACCAATTCCGTAAGAGCCGAACTAAATTAGAGAGAGACCTCCAGATTTTAAGATTAATCAAAACTAACCTTGTGGTAGATGTCCTTGGAGGATACAGCCTCAAGGGACTGAGCCGGCTCGGAAAAACTGCTTCAAGAAGAGTGTTAACCAACACGCAAAAGACTTGTTGCATTTATGCCTGCTTTTTTGTTTTTGTTCATTTTAGTGCGGCAAACGCATTAAGCATTAAAGCATTTTGGTGGCATTTTTCTGGGAAACAATTTCTTTTCAGAGAAAATAAAAATATTTTAAGATAAAATGATGAATTTATCTTTTAAGAAAAAAAAGACTTCAAAAAAAATTCGAAAGTGTCACCCAAATACACTCAGACCCTACTCCCTACAGTCATAGGATTATGTTTTTTGCTGTTTTAAAACTATTAGCTTGTATACGTGTGCCACTTGAATGATTTTGTTAGTGATTTTAAAACCTTATTTAAATCGCTTAGAATGAATAAAATGGACTCTCTATAATGAGCATCATCCGAGCATTTAAGGGACTTTTTCTTGGAGGACAAGCATTTAATTTGGAGGCTGATTGGAGAATGAAGGTGGAGCATTTTATTGGGGGGAAATACAAGGATAATAGGCTAGGTTTCTCTTGAAATTTCAAGGTGTTGAAGTGAATCAATCTTAATGAAAGTTTCAGACATTGTTATAAACATCATGAAGATTATGTGATGAGGTTTAAAAAGAATTCTGTCGAGCCGAACAGTTTTAGAGATAATACAGAAAAATGCTAAAAGTCAAAATTTAGAATAAAGCTGCACTTAGACAGATGTTGAGAACTCAGGTTAGTTCTCAGAATCGCAAGAAAGAAAATACACCAAAATTTCCTCGCATCAAAACATGATATTGACGCTACTTAAGATTAATGTGAGTTATTTAGAACTTTTTTATTAAACATTTTATCAGGCTATTGAAAATATAGTTTTGAAATATATTTGGGTTTTATTAGAATTTAACCATACAGAATTTTTTACTTCTCACAGGGGTTATTTGCTAAATACCACACTTAAAGCTCCTAGTGTCGGACTTTCAGTAGCAGGTCTAGATCGCTCAAAATTCGGATTTTATCGATTTCAAAGTTTTTTGTTTATTGTTGCCATAGTGATACCGATTTTACTTAAAACTCTGTATTTTGACAAACTTCAATTTATAGTCGATCACTGGTGAAAATTTTGTAGCGATCGGACAAGGATAAAATCACTTTTAAGATGAGAAAGACATCGGTATGGTCTCCCAAAAACTGAATCGAAACACCTTAACTCCCTTTATTCTTATTAATGTTTTGAAACTTCCACAGTTCACACTATTAAAACTAGAAAATCTGAAAACACAGTTTTTCACAACACTTTCCGTTACGACTAAACAACTTATTTTCCTTTGAAGAAACACAATTTTGTTTGCTGTTTGTCTACAAAGTTTTAAAACTTTTAAAATAACTTTCTGAGTATTTCCAACCCTCAAGACACATCAAACTTTTCTTTGCAGCTCTTTAATAACCCACGTGGCTTATCAATCACAACACCTAACAATTATTTGAAGCAGGTGAAGAGTTATCATCCACGCATGCGCAGTCCTGAAAAAGGACTTTGGTGTACCGAGGAAAGTTAAACTCTGATGGGTCTCTCCACCCTCTCAGCTCCAACAGCCTCTTTACAGGCTACATAGTACATACAGTATCTAAACTCACAGGACTGTTCTTCAGTAAGAATCTGGCTCCTGGACTATCACATTCAACTTCACTGAAACATATCTCAGACTGGGTTCATCATAGTTTTCTCCATATGATTACTTGCGCCAAAATTATTTGCAGTAACTCACAAGGACAGTATTCTGAAGATATCATTTGTCTAACAATCAGCGAGTGGTAAACTGTGATAATAGACGAATTGAAATGCAGCAATGGCATTTCAAGTCTTCATAGCCTGGACAATCATGTTCAACCTACTTATGAAATGAATCCTGTATCCAAACCTTCCACAGTTTCACAGTTATACTGAGTTAAATTTTAAAAGATTTTATCCCAAAGCTGTGTAAGGTTACATACAACTTTTTTTGGAAACTCACAAAAAAAAGCTCAAAACAGAACTTCTCTTTCATCAGAAGTGAAAATAAAAATTTGATTTTGTCATGAGCATATGAGACAAACAGCAAACTTCAGTGTTCAACAAGAAAAATTGAAGGTTACGATTTGGCTGCATCATATCTTTCAGCTACATTGGCCCAGTTGATAACATTATAAATAGCCTTCATGTAATCAGGACGCAGGTTCTTATACTGAAGGTAGTATGCATGTTCCCACATATCAATTCCAAGAAGGGGAACAAGACCTGTGAAGAAAACATATCATAACGTTAGCAAAAATTGCAAAATGTGTTGATATACATGTACCTCCGCAGTTGTGTTGATTATGCAGACTTTGTTTGGACGGATCACCCCAGTTTAAAACAAAAAAAGGGAAAAAGCTACAGGAGTTCCAAAGCTGCTTTGCTAAGAAAATTTAAGGAGAAAGTATGTACAGGTGTAGAGCCTGGGAAAACAGCAGTCTGACATTCTGTGACACTACTACTTCCCACCAAAGAACATCTGTGGAACGACCTGCAGAAATTCCATAGTGATGATGTGTTACTACCTTGAACTGGGTTTTGCTTCTGAATGGATGAAAATTTGCTTCAACCTTTTAGAAGCACATGACCCAGATCATGTAGTGACATATCATCTGTATGTCAGTTACAGGGAAACCGTTGGTGGTGTGTTACAGTTCTGGATGAAATTGAACTGCCTTTGATTAGATCCACACCAAAGTCAACGTAGTTCAGAGTATCTGCAACTTTATGGATGACCAAAAAATTACCTGTTGTGGCTTGAAGTGGATCCTGGTTGGCACAGGTAGCAATCACAAGATGTTTATCTACCTTGTTGTACCCCTACAAAAAACATGCAGTGGATCGATTAACTTATAATACCATTTTCAACATTCAATAAGGGTTCAATATAAATACCAGTCGATACTAGCCTTCTTCAGAACACATTCTCGTTCCCTTTTTTGTGGGCAAGTTTCCTTTTGACATGCCATAGTCTACAAGACACCAAACTACAAAGCTCTTACATAAAACGATGTGACAACAAGCCCATATAGAGGTAAGTGAAGTGAATTTCCCATAAATTCAATATGTAGTCCACAAATCATTTACTGTACAACATAATAAAAGCATACAGTATCAGGCCTGAAAAAAAATTCTTTTTAGAAGGACACGTGTTCACACAGGTCACTGTTTCTGTCAGAAAAACTAGAAAAATTGTTGGTCTGGGGTGGTGATTCCCATATGATAGATATGGGGATGCTCAAACGGAAGCATAGAATTAAGCTTCTAACAAAGATTAAAGTAATAAAAAACAGGCTGCTTCCCAAAACCAAGAGCTACATAAAATTTTATTATTGTAAGAATATTATGACTGACATTTGATGTCTTTGTATGTATTACAGCGGTTACCACTAACACTCGCCTTTGAAGGGTTTTTTCTGTCTGTTTAAACCTGATTTTTCGTGGACGTCAATCAACTGTTTCCATGGTTTTCCACGCGCTCTGACAGAGAAGGTTCCCTCATCGCTGAATGAAGGGTGAATAATTTCGAACGACGACGGCTTTTTAAAATTATTTTATTAAGATGAAGGATTACATTGTTAAAACAACGAGGTCTCTGCGAGTTGAGTGAAATAGCCGAAACATTCTCTATAGTTTACATAACGGTTTTCAGGTTGTTGTTTATTTATTTGATGTATGAAAACACGGGAGCCGTGGAGGACTGAATTGCCAAGAAGTTAATATAAATTCAAAGAAACAAAAGATATCACACCGAAAAGGGAAAAGGTTTCCTCTCAGTGGTGGCTGTTTTTGAAAATGAATTTTACTACTTATCATTCCTCATGTTATCGAATAGAAACCAAAACTATCAAGAACTGAGACGAGTTGCGAGCAATTGAGAAAGCTTGCTTATGTGGTTGTAACTTACAGTGTGTAAATATGTCGATAATTTGAGTTTCCTCCGAGAAACACTCAACAAATTCTTTCTCCTCGTAATCTTGACATGAAGCGGTGTCAGATCCTGCAGCCGGCTGAAACGCCGACATATTCCTCCGAGTGCTCAAGAAACGGAGAAAGAATCTTCTCTAGTCCAACGCATGAAAAACCATGGTAACGGTTGATTGACGTCCACCAAAACGCAGGTTTGAACCGAAGAAAAACCCTTTCAGGGTGCGTGTTAGTTGTAACCGCTGTAAATTCTTTTCCCCTCATCGCATGCGACAGCTATTTGGGCAAGAATATCAGCTTTTCCATGGTAACATAACTGGTGAAATGAATCTCCAATTTACACAACAAAGCGAGACATCAAGCATCCCTATCTCTTCATGAAGGGAGTCCCGGCCCCGCAGGCATTATTTCTTACAATATGTTACAATGCTGAATTTTAATTTCTTTAATTACTGTGCAAATTTTCAGCTAAAAAATGATACTCAAAAGTGTTTGATCTGTCCAGTCATTATGTCCATTTCAGTAGGATTTGTCACACACAAGTTAATAGCACTTTGCGCTATCACCACAAATAGGTTTTGTAACAGTAGACCCACTTCACATGACGCAGGCAAACTTTGCATTCTACTCAAAGGCAACGGGAATTTAGGCCCATTTTCAAGAAGAACAGATTCCGTAATAGTTTTATTACGTCCAACGCCCCCCAAAGCTTAAACTGTGTTCCTGATCCATAGCTCTAGAAGTTTCGATTGCTTTTTATTATGTCGATTCTGTTTTTTTATTTTTTTTAACAAATCTCAGTTTTACTGTAATGTATTCATGCATTGTTTCTGTTATTCTTTTCTTCAATTTTTTTTATAAATTAGCTTATTGGTGGTAGTATTTTTAAGTAATCATAATTATTTGTAAATAATCGCCTAATTCAATCTCACGGTTGTGATGTGATTATAAATAAACTATGTATCTATTTTGTATCTATCTAACTCCATGAGCAACATGCTTTTCCAACATGAAAATTGTTCATAAAATTTGCACTCAATGTTTTTAAAATGTTTTTTGAGCTTTATTCTAATATATAAAAGACATTACTGCTATAGGGAGTAAATGCTGGCCCAAGTAACTAAATAATAAAAGTAAGTAACTAAGTAATTGAATGTTCAAAATTAGAAAGTAAAGCAACCTGGTCAAAGTAAGGCTACTAAAATCAGATCCGTAGGTCTATCTTAGTCATAACACTGAAACATGACACAACATTTCTGGCTGTGTAATACTCCAAAAGCAAACATGCTGAAGTGAAAATCGAGTTTGTATGTGTTTTTGCAAGTCTGTGGCAGAATTTCTTAACTCTAAGGGCTGGTTTTCACTAGTAACAGAGTTGGAGTTGCAGCTGTAATCAGAAGCATAGAACTTTGTGATCTAGTGAAAACAGCTTTCTGATTATGCTTATGACTCTGTCGTTTATGATCAAGTGAAAACTAGGTCATCAGAGTCGCAAGCAGAAGCGGAAGAACTTAACCAATCACAAAGTATGAGAACATGCATTGTGATTGGTTTATCCTTGCGCTTCTGCTTCTGACGCCGACAATCTGCTTTTCACTAGATTGTTAGCAATGAAGTCATATGCGAAGTCGGAAGAAAATGGAAACGTTCTGATTCTTCCAACTCTGATTCCGTCGCACTCACAACTCTGCTTACAACTCCAATAAATTTTTGATTTTCACTGAGTCATAAGCATTCTCACGAATGGCTTCGACTCTGACTCCCTCGCTAGTGAAAACCAGCCTTAAAGCACCCTAACATGAGCACAAACCGGAAATTGTATAAGTTTGTTACCTTTGGTTTTGAAACCAGGTAGGTACCATGCAGTATTTTATATCTCATAGTAGCATATTGAGCATTGCCTTTGGACTCAGAAAAAAAAAGCATCCTTTGCCCTTTGTACATTTCTAAGTGAAATGTCATAACATATTTTAGCCAGGGTAATGAAACTGCATTCAGAATAAAATCATTCATCCATACAGTTATTTCATTTGTTAAGAAAGTGTTGGCACACGTTAATTTTTATTCAGGATATATACATTATCAAAACCAGCCCGATTTTTTTTTTCCAACAATAAAAATCTTTAATGACGATGTTATTTGTAGGCGCGCATGATTCTCCCATACAATCCTCTTAAAAGGATGAGGTTCAATGTCTGAGTAAAAAGCAGGGATCAGAAATTTGTGATGTCATCAGTGAAAAGTGCTATTTTAGTTAAGCAACATCCAATGACTGAGTGTCATTTACAGCTCACAAACAGTATTGAATTATTCAGAGCTCAGATATCAAGGTTGGGCTACCTGTGCCATGCAGAGAAAGACTAATTAGTAAATTGTGCATTGGTTACCTGGGCAAGGGAATTGATTACATATGAAATTGGTTATTACAAGTTTCTAACAAAAATCCATGACTTACCAACCAACCCCAACCTGAACCCTGCACTGCCACTGATGCTGTGTTGAATCTTTCTTTGAAATTCTCAAAGGAGCCAAAGTCTCTCTTGATAGCTTCCAGCAGGTCACCTGGTGTAGAAAACATTTTACACAGTTTTCTGTGAAGGTTCACCACAAACCTATTAAATTCACAGCTCTTATCATGGACCACCTTCAGAATCAATTAAAGAGGTCAGAATTAGAGAGCTCTGGTTATTAATGAGAATCGCTCTAGCAGGTGACTAGTCTTTAGTGGTTAGTTAGGTTTGCATTTTTTCTGCTGCATGTCAATTTAAATTCCTTCTTCACCACCTCTTAAGACTGACTTTGTTGCCTCAATGCCAGAAATAGGTACTGTATATCCAGTTTGTCCAAACGTTCTATCCTGGGGCTGATTCAACTTTAAAACACATGCTATCTTTATAAAGCAAGTTTTCAATGAAATTTCTTCCCAAACTCTGCTATTATTCTATCTCACTACTTTTAACTTGTGGTCCTGACTGTGTCTTGTCAAAACCTGACTTATATACAAACGATTTTAAGTAAAATTATGCAACTTTCTGGGTGAACAGTTCATTTAACTGTGAATTCCTCATAAAAAATATGAAGAGAAAGCCTTATATGAAATCTGGTTTTCAACTTATGGCTTGAAACTTGCCCATGGACAATTATCCTCAGTGTCTTTCTTTTCATTTCTTTTTGTATAAATATGCACCTGTTGGTTCTCCACCACCATCAGGAGAAAGATTTGTCCAAAATATACTGTGATTGATGTGCCCTCCACCATTGAATTTAAGTGCTGGTTGTAGAGATATTATGGAACTGATATCACCTAGAGAGAAATCACACAATTCAAAAAAGTACTGTACATAACACAATAACGCTTAAGCCACATATGGAACTCAAGGGCTGTAGCATACGAATGTCCCCAGCAAAATCTCAAAAAGTGATGATGGTGTTTTGTTTGGCCACCCATTTTACAACTTGTAACATTTATTGAGCTCAGTTGACAATACTTAGTATTATAGTATGTCCCTGGAATGACATCTTAAAAGTCTTTCAACGGATGACTAAGAAAAGAGACGTTTCCAAGGAATCCAATCATCATGGTTTCATTTATACCTACTACTTCCCATTCCTAAAGCATGAGTCACACCTGCTGATAGGTAACTTTACTATAATGCCCTAAGCCTGTAGACCATTGACCATTTTTTTTTATGTCTAGCAAAAAGCTGAACTATTAAAATCTTAAATAAGATACACATTTTCTCACACACTGAATGCCATTTGTCTGCCACACAACAATGCAACAGCACTTTAATCACAACCATAACAAAAATCTTACAAAAAAAAAGAAGGAGCAAGAGAAAAACTCTTCCTGAACTTAATGCACTGTAGTCAATATACCTCACATTTTTTTTCAACTGGCAAAGGGCACTGCTTCACAGACACTGTTGCACTGTTTGGCAAGAAACAAAAACTGAATCACATCATTAGGGTGACAACCGATAAACAAGAACCAATGTCAGAGAAGTCAAAGAGAATGGATCAATGAAGCACAGTCATTTTCTTGAGAACTCTAGAAGTCTTCAGAATGTTGTTGGAAATCTTCTGGCACTGATATGATTGGGTCCTCTATTAAAATCCTGGCACTCTCATAAAAACTTGGGATCTGTTGTCACAGATGACCAAGATGGCGGATAGATCATTTAACGATCGTGTTGTGCTACCTGTCACTGCTTCGATTTCTAGAAATGGCGAAGAAAAACCAGCAGTGCGTTGGTCCTTTGAAATGGGAAATCGGGGGCGAAAGTGACAAGATGTTGTTTGATTTTATTTTTCGAGTTGGATAAGGACTTGGAATCGTAGATTGGTGTAGCCAGCTAAATATGCCCACAGAAACATTCCAGTACATGAACTTCTACTTGTGTCACCCACCAGGAGTGAAGAAAGGACTAAGGACTAATTCCTTGCAGATCACATTTGAGGAATATCAGAAAGGGGCTACCCTGCTGCTATTTTAAGAAAGTACCTCTCTGAAGTAAAATTTACCAACAAGAAAACAGCCCTACCACAGAGAAACAAATCTGCACGTAAAAAACTTCTACCTTTTGTTACACAATGCGACCCGGCCTTACCTAACCTGAAGAAAATATTAATGGGAAATGGCACCTTATACAAAGCCAAACGGCTAAGGAAAATCTTTAAGGAGCCTCTCCTCATTTCTTGTCGTAGGGGAAAATCTCTTAATTCAGAACCTTTTAGTTGGAGCGAAGCTCTGAAGGCCATATAACTTCAAATACAACTAAGTGCAGGAGTCATGTCATGCACGCCGCTTATTTTTGACCAGTTAAGGTTAGTTCTAATGCTCATTCCACTCTGATGGATTGTGAATTTCGCTCAAATGCTTGAGATAACGTGTCACACAAATTGAACATCACATACAATCTATTTTCTTCTTTTTGTAAGATTTGTTTTTTTCTCTTTTTTTGCGGGAGGGAATTGATGGCAGTGACAAGTGGTAAGCAAATTTATTTACAGGGGAACAAATGATGAAAACATGTGGGTGCAAGGGAACATAGAGCAATTTTGGAAGGGAACAAGGACCCCACTGGGAGACCCTCATATAAGAATTCAAAGCAAACCAATTCTTCCTTGTTTAATATCTTCCTCTTTAAAAACTGTAAGTCAAAGAAACGATACACTAAATCTGGAGGGCATTGAATTCCATCATCAGTTTTAGGAAGACATGATTTCTGAATTCGACCGTACCAAATCTGGATTCCGAAGTTTATCCGATGGCTTAAGAATATTTACGAAGATTATCCGAAGGCTTGACGATCATGAATTACATAAAGGAAGCGTAAATGAGGCATCACATTCCACCGATACCAAAACTTAAGTCTTTTTACGCTGTTTTTAAGAGATTATTTCTAGTTTCGTCCCACCTTTAGCTTGTGCCTCAGCAAGCTTCTCTTCTGCCACATTTAAGTTATTTACGTAAGTAGCATGGTGCTTTTGGTGGTGAAGTTGCATGATTTCCACGCTGATTGTTGGTTCCAAGGCGTTGTAATCGTAAGGCAAGTCTGGAAGAGTGTGCTTAGCTCTAGCTACTCCTGCAAGAACTACAGGAAAGAGCTTTTTCACGGACATAAAACTTAGACAACCCCTAGAAAGCATTTTCGATGAACTTCGAGATGCAGCCAGCCAGAAGCCACGACCAGCCTCCAAAGAGACTGGGCTCTTACTAAGAAGTTGAGGGAGTGGTGGTGGGGAGTTGAAGTACATTGTACACAAGCTAGCCACAAGCTACATATATTTTCTAAAGAGGCTTAAAATTGTACAGAAAAATACAAGAATCAGGAGAATTTTTTTTTAATTTTTCATTTTTAATGGAAACGTAGTGGAAAAGATAAGAACTAAAGCTATCACGTTTGCGACTTCAATTTGACTAACCACCCTTCCACCCTCAATGCTGTTGGTTCGATTAGATCCCAGTTTCTCGCGTGGAATTTAGATTGAACTTAAAAATGGAGGATTGTCCAGGACTTTCTTCGGCGCAAGTTAAGAAGGTAATTTTTGGGTAATATTTTTTTGTATGCATCCTTAAGCGCATATTTCATAGCAATTGAATCTTCTCTAGTACAAAACAGATGGCTTCCTTGTCATCGAAGGCTTCTTCTCGCTTGATGAGGTGGAGGAAATGAGACAAGAGATGCACAAAATTGTGCAAGAAATGAACCTAGATGAGCATCCCAAAAGTATTTTTACAACTGATATTTCACAGACAAAGGTAGGAAATTATTATTATCTTTACCCAGCTCAGAAACCTGTGGTCTTAATTTGACCTCATTGTTCTCCAATTTGATATTAAGCTATCATTCATACAGTTAACTCGTGTTAATTGGGACAGCCAATGCAAAGTGTCCATTTTAAGGAGGTTTCTACCTTAAAGCGAATTAGAAAAAATGACTAGGGAGAGGCAGGGACCCTTAAGGTTGTATTTTTTTGGAGATGTCTCTTAGGAGAAAGCTGACTGTACAAAGTGTTTTCCTACAGATAAGGTATTTGCATCATTAGGGTGTGGGATATCCCTTGGGGGTACTCAAGAAAGTTTAAGGGGGGTGGTTAAGGGGCATCTAGATCACGTTTCCTTGGAAATAAAATGGTCTTTTTGCAATTTACAAAAAATAAAAAAGGCAATTCAGACTCAAAGAAAATCACGGTTCATGACCAATTAAACGTTTATTTCTCTTTTCAAAACAATTTTGCAAAATTACATTTCACAGCTACTATGAAAATCTTGATTCACAAGGAAAAATCTAGCCATTTCACGTTTTACGAAAAACTAAGGGCCGATCACAAGTTACAAAAATACCCTTTACCACCCTTTATACGGGGAGACTCCGCCCTGAGGTCCAACCCTTTACCCCTTTATATACCATTTTTGACAGAAAAGGTAGCCCATTTTGTGTACCTTCCATTGACAAATGGTACCCCTGTCATATACCTAGCTTAGAACTTTGCATTCCTTTCAACTGCAGTTAATGCATTGACTTTTTGAATATGGATAAATCACAAACTTAGATATTTTCTCAACTTTTTCACAGCCATAAAATGCATCTACCAGCCCCTTTGGGCCTTTTTACAGACCAAAATGGCAGATTTCCCAACCCTTTCATATATTTCAACACCTGAAATCCCTACCCTTTCAAATTCTGGGAAACTGAGCTGGTGAAAATTTCATAACTGCCTTGCGTATGAATTCACAGCTCATTACACATGCAAGAATGCAGAGATGAATTTGAAATCTACAACTGCCAATGGATTCAACTTTTGAATAATAAATTCAGAATGGAATCTAGGGAGGGGAGGGGGGGGTACACTTGTCCTGGCTTGACTGTAAAGTTTTAACAGTTTTGTTGGTTTGGGTGAAAAATCTTTAAGTTATGTTTTTTTTACAGGTCTACTTTTTAAAGGTTGATTTGTTTGATTTACCAACAGTTTAGAGATGATTATTTTATGACAAGTGGAGATAAGATCAGGTTTTTCTTTGAAAAGGGAGCTTTTAATGACAAAGGTTTGTATATTGCATACTCTGTATTATAACTTTTCTAGGGATAAGGGATATACAGTCAATCCTCCACTAATGGCCATCTCTCTACAACGGCCATTTTTTGGGAGTGGACAGTCTATACATTCACTCTTGTTTCAACCTCTCTACAATGATGGCTTACTTCTGTCCCCAAGGTGGCTGTTGTAGAGGGGTTCAACTTTACTACAGTAGTGTTTTATATGACTGGTATAAACCGCTTTAGTAAAATCCAACTAGTGGTCTATTATCAATGCCGTGTTCTGATTGGATGAGCTACTACTAGGCTATATGTTATAGCCCACTGGTAGCGAAAAGCGCCTGCTTTTATAACCAAAAACAATAGTGGCTGAATCATGTTTTTCTAGCTGAAGTTGCTTTGTCTTGATATTTTCTACCAACTAGTTGGATTTTTCCAAAACAATTATTCCTCATGGCCTCTAACTCAATAGCCCATTTGGCCTTCGGCCTCATGGGCTATTGACTCAGAGACCATTCGGGGAATAATTGAGGAATAATTGTTAATTATCTTCTGACCAATAAATAACTATTAAAATAATTGAAATGTACATGTAACTTTTAAGTACTATACTGGGCTGAATTTTAAGACTTAAAAAAATAAATGAATAGGCGCATAGAAAGAAATCCCCTAGGTGGCACTGGATCAGCTTGCCTCTCAAGCATACAGAACAAACTATTTACAAGGAATCTAGAAATGGATCCTTCCAAGGATTTTTTCAACTTTTGACTTTGGTTAAGTTAGTGAAAATCAATTGACCATACTGGAAAGAGTGTCTTAAAATTAGTTATATTGCCAAGTTTGAAAGTGATTTGTTCAAAGCTATGAAGATATTGCTCCTCAAAGTCGAGAAATTTTGCAGATGTTTTTATGGTGGGGAGAACAAAGTTCCCCCCTCCCCCACCATACAAATGTCTGTATATTTTCGCAACTTTGGGGAGCTATATCTGAGCTCACTTAAGACTTATTACTTTCACGTTTGGCAATTTTACTAATTTTATGGCACTCTCAGTGGTGTCGACAGATTTTCCCTAACTGGCCCATGTCAAAAAAGTTGAAAAACCATGGAAAGGCTTATTAAAGGCTTATTGAACAATAAGCCAGTCATAGTACTTCTTTTCCATGTATACCCATTCATCAATCATTTGGTCCTCAACAGTCATTTGTCCTGTCAGATTAAAATACCCAACCCCACGGTTAAAGGTTAGTTGTTTTTTCCAAACAACGAATAAATCAGACTGATGTGATGATCTTATTTGAAGGTGAACTTATTACAGAGAAAGACAGAGCTATCAACAAAGTTGGTCATGGTGAGTGACCTCCATTGTTATGTGCTGTTAATAAAATAATAATAATAACAATAATAATAATAGTAATGGTAATATTAATAGTATTATTAAATAATTTCATTTTTTTATGTTATTGTATGAAATTTTCAAAACACTAAAGTTCAGTTAAAAATATTGTTCTCATTTTTTAATTAAGACATCATTTCTGAATTCATAATTATTTATTGAGTGACAGAAAATTTACCGAAAGCAACTACCCAGTTACAGGTTATAGCATACAAATGTTCATGTTATAGGGTTGTTTTAACTCTAGCCTAGCATACTGCAACCCTCCAAGTTACGACCATTTTGGTCGCCAAGGCGCCTAAAATTTTGCAGCTGGTAACTTGATTTGTAAAAAGTGTGGACCCTAAACCAACAGAGTTGGTTGCCAAATGGTGACGGAGCAAAAACTTTAACTTGGAGGGTTGTACTGCCACATTTCTTTTGGATGTATTTTTGAAGTATCTTAGTTTTTCCTTTCAGCTCTGCATTGCTTAAATCCTGTCTTTAAGAAATTTACATTTAACAAGAGAATTCAGGTAATCACTGATACTGCTTTGTTTTTGATAGTGATCACCTTCTTGTTAGTTATCTATTTTTTCTTCATTTCAGTCCGTTGCCAAATCAGTTGGTTATAAACATCCAGCTGTTCCACAAAGCATGTACATCTTTAAGGTAATTTTAATATGCTCTGTAATGAAGTTGTTAGTTCAAGGAGAGACCATGTTGCAGGGTCAATAACCAAAGTTCTCATTAAATAAATTTAATACCATCAACTGGCTAATAATAATACTAATACCTAATACTAATTATAATAATAAAACCGAAGTGATCCCTGAGGTTGTTGTTGCGGTGCTTGGCACAGTAAAGAAGTAAGGGGATGGTAGACAACATCAAGAAAGTATCAGAGAGAGCTACTGTGACAGAGACCCAAAAGATCTACATGCTTAGATCTGCATCAATCCTCAGAAAGGTGCTTGGTGTATGGACAGAATGATTGACTTGAGTGACTGATGTTCCAGGTGCATGGTTTGCACCCTGCTGATGCACAAAAAAACACCAGCAAAGACTGTGACAGAATGATAATGATAATAATAATTATAATTATTATTATTATTATTATTATTATTATTATAATTATAATTATAATTATAATAATTTATTATTATAACAATTTTAATTTGTATAGTGCTGTCTCATTTTGGGGGAAAAAAGGGTGAGAGAGTGAATTGCCTTCAGTATAATGACTGCTAAGCCACCTTCTTTGACATCCTAGCTGTTTACTTTAAAATTTACTGAGAACCCTGAGTGTTGGATAAAAATAATTGCACCATCATGAATGTTTTGAGCACTAGCTCTATTTCATGGTAGATCATGATCAAGGGATTTTGGTTTAGTTGTGAGAAGTTAATTTCCACTTTTTCCACTTTTCTATGACTGTCCTAGTTATATCCAGCTTCTTAAGTGTGAACTTGATTTCTTCTGCTGTTTGCATGAAAAAAATATTCATGTAGATGGAACTTTTTCTTTTGCACTGCTGAATTCAAATAAAATTTTCTTAAGTTACTGGTCACTTCTTTATTGTCATATGTTTCTGATGTTTCATTAGTTGTAGGATTAGTTTAGTGTTAACCTGTGTATTTGGTTTTATAGCAAACAGTATATCTCCATTCATTGTTAATTTACTTACAATAAATACTGTTTGACATCACTTTTAAACTATTATCCTTTTTTTCCGTACTTTTTAGCAACCAAGGATTGGTGGTGAAGGTATGAACTTCCTTATTTTGACTGAATAGTATTATTTCAAGTTCCTTAGAAGAAATTGAATGATATTATTATTATGGAAGGAGAAGGCACTACCAAAATGCAGAAGAAATCATTGGGAAAATGTTCATCCAACAGTATGTTTCCCTACCAGAAAAAAAAGCCAGTGAGAATAATTTTGTAAGTTCTGCATGCTTTGAAAACTTTGTAAAGTTCTGCATGTGTGGAAAAATTCACAAAATATTATTAGGGGATGTTTCTGCATGGAGCCCTTCAATTTTTTTTAAATTAAAAGTGATTCATATTTAGTTGAAGTACATTTTTTTCCTTTGATAGTGACTCCTCATCGCGACTCCACATTTTTGTTCACTGAACCTCTTAGTGCTATGGGAGTGTGGATACCTTTAGAAGATTGCACTCTGGAAAATGGCTGTTTGCAATTTGTACCCAAAACTCAGAATGGTATAGGCCATTAAATAAATGTCATTATAACTAGTAATAACTTAACCAAAGGTTACGGAGTGCAGGGGACAACGATGGAAGGTCAAAAGGCTTTGCTCTATGACCACTGTGCTTTGCATAAATTTCACATGACAGATAGTCAAACACGCGCGGTCAGATTACGAGTGATAGAAGGTCCACACGTGCGTGATCAAATTGTGTTCTCTGCATTCCATTCATTCTTAGTGAAATTCCACACGAATGCTGGCTACATACATGCGATGCATGTGTAATAACAACCTGGAGATTAGGATTGCGGGCTCCTCTTCTCACCCGCGATAATTATCATGTGAATGGTTATTGAGTATAATGATTAATCCCAAAGGTGATTCACTAGTATCAGTCTATGTTTGCCCTTAACAAGTTTCAAACTAGATAATCCTTATTTCTTGTAATTCAGCTGTTGAAACTCTTCCAAACAAATGGAATACAACTTGACGCATTTCCTTGTTATATTAGGCACTGTTTATTATTTTTTAGTCCTGGCATTTAAGCAAATGGCTTACTTATTTCATGCCAGTCAACTAATTTGAAATAGACATTTCATTTGTCATGACAATTTTTACGCATTAAGAAATTAGTCACAAAGTGGAAAGTGTGTATCAACAAAGTTGATAAATATAAGGATTGAAATAATTTTTGGGCTGTGTATAAAAGTGGGACGGGGACAAGGGGACAGGGACATCGGGACACGTGTGTGGGGACATGGGACTTGGGGACGTGAGACGAGGGACTTAAGGACATCAACAGTACTATGGAACGCGGGGACGTGTGGGAAGGGGGATGCGGGGACGTCAAAAACATAAATGCGATATCAGTCACCTTCCTCGAGAATATGTTTTGGTGAAGGCAACCCACCCTGACCTCCTTAGGGTTCCTCCATGCCTGTTTACGAAGCGAAGCCTCGGCGAAGACCCCCTGCATTGAAGAAAGTGAAACCATTGTCCTCGTCTTCTTGCTGATGGAATATTGAAGCCCAAAGTGGGTAGGGTGGGTTGCGGTTGCCAAAATTTATATAGAATAATAGCATTCGATTCCAAATAAATAAAACATTAAGTGGCATAAGCGAGCTTCAAACCCCGAAGTGCTAGCTCCGAAATCCATCGCCTGTACCACTAAACAACGGGGGCAATATTTATTTAGCGAGTTTTTTATTTTGTTCTACATATATTTTTAGTGGCAAACCTGAAAGTAAATGCTTGCTAACAGTACTTAAAGGTTGATTTCCACCAATGCGTTTTTGGCTTTGCACGTTAACACAGTAAATTTTAATCACGTAAATAAGATAGAGGCAAGATATAAATTGTTGACATTAAATTTGAAGTTCAGCGAGATTCTACTTTTATGCTTATGTGCGACCTTTTATACATTGCCTCTATTTTATTTGCAAACGTAAATTTTACGCACGTACGCATGGAAAAATAACGCGACAGTGGAAATCAACCCTAACCCTAATCACGATAGTCAGTGCGCTTACTCCTATTTGCAAAGAAATATTTTGTGTAAACATCATAAGGTGTCCAAAGTGGTTTTGGAAGATGGAATCTAATGTTGACCATAAATAACACATTTTCACGAAGAAAGAGATATCACATTTACCTCCGACTTTTGCGATAATCATTCACATTCCGCGTCCCCTGCGTCCCGGTTTTTGACGTCCCCGCGTCCCCGTCCCCGCGTACCATAGTTGATGTCCTCAAGTCCCTCGTCTTGCGTCCCCAAGTCCCAAGTCCCCACACACACGTCCCGATGTCCCCGTCCCCTTGTCCCCATCACACTTTTATACACAGCCTAATTTTTGTCCATGTTTCATTGACCATGACATCTGCTGAGAATATCTAAGGCTTTGTTCATGTGGTACCAGATGAATTTTTGACTGCCTGAAAATCTCTGCATTCCATTCCACTCACAGCAGGGAGCTATGCTAACCATACAAAAAATAATCAATTTAGATGCTTAGCCCCTCAAAAATTTAAGTACCAAAATCAGTCAAATTTTAAGGTTGAAATATTGACCAGCATTGTGTGAACTGCTTGACCCTCTTGTACAGCAAAGACGTACTAGTTGTATGGTGATCGAATACTTGGTTACTTGGCAAGAAGAGGCCATTTTGGATTTGCTTAAGTAGCACTCTGTACACAGCAGATAGTAAAACTACTGAAAAAATGTTAAAATTCAACCTGGTCCTTCAGTTCCATGTTAAGCAGTTCAATGTGAATTTGTCTACATGTCCTGTAAAATTTTTTTAATGAGTTACAATTTGTCTGGTGCCATTATATGAACTTAGCCTTATAAAACATATTTAAACATTATTTCTATAAAATAAGAATAAGGAAATACTCAACTGATATATTTTATATTATTTTTTTCAACAGATGAATTAAAGCGACGGTTTATTCGTAACCCCCAGCCTGGGGGAACACCTACCATTTTTACTGGAGCGGATAGTGAAGAAGCTGGTCATGAAAATGATTACATTCCTCAACTCACAAAAAAAGGTCAGGAAATTCCAGCTGTACTCAAAATTTTGTAACAACAAGTAGATCATGTCAAGCAATTTTTTTTTGTGGTTTTATACACTTATGTATCTCTTTGTTCCCAATGACTATGGCTAAGTAAGTGATCAAATTAAGAATCAGTGGCTAGAGGAGTGATGTGTTTCTTCACACTGGTGATACCCACAGTCAATTCCACCTGCACCCAGGGCTGTCAATTCCCCGGGGTGGGGACTAAAAACGAGGGCAAATGTCCTGTCCTCCTAACACTGCCACATTTTTCATTGATCGCACAGTCAAGTAGTGCCATTTTAGGCATTTTAATGTGCGATTTTTTATTTCAATTAACGTCTTCCTTTGAGGTTCAAGGTTCAAGTTTATTTCGCACTATTCAAGTTGATACATTATAAGATGGCTTACAGAATTAGTAGGTTAAGAAATAATGAAAAATAAATATATTTTCAAGTTTGTTGAATTATGTGCACAGTGACCAAAGTAGATGAAGCTCTCGTGTTGAAATAGTGCTATTCTAATTATGACTTCATGCCGTGATGACAACAGTTTATGGTTTTAGTATTGCTATGACATTATTGACATTGAAATTAACAGTGCGCTGTAAACTTAACTGCTATAAATTGTTTTATAAATGTAAAGGATATTCTTCAAATAATATCAAGAGAAACTTGATATTATGCACAGGGTTGTCACTAAGATTTCAAGTTGCTGGGTATTTGTTGTTAGTAGCCGGGGAAGTCGCAAGCAGTCATTGAGACCCCACCCCCTCCAAGAAGTTTTTGAAGTGCAACTTCTACCGTTTTCGAAAAGGCATTCCCGCCCCAAAAAAGCAATTTTCGTCAAGAGTACAGCTATCAATAGTGATTTTTTGATGATCACGTCTTTATTAAAGAAAACTGCAACATTCTGAGACACTAAAATAATAAGTTTTTACTTTCCGTAAAGGCTCGTTAGAGGGTTTTTCAGTGGCCGCCAAATGGGAATATACATGTAAGCACTGGGTCTGAAAAAAATGACAGGTAGGCACTGGTCACGTTTTCCACGCAGTCTTATCTTCACGCAGACAATGCGCATGGTGGCCAGTGAAGTGTTCAATCACAACGATACTGTGGAAATGACAATCGATTCTTATATGGTGCAAATGAATTAACATGCACTGTAAAATCAATTTGTAAATCATCATTTAGTTATACTTAAGAACGAAACAACTTACGGAAAACAAAAGTAAAACTAATATTACAAATGAATTATCCCATGGAGAAGCGGAAAGAAGACAAGCGGACGATGAATGTACGAAAAAGCATCATAAACATAAGGTTACTATGGCTTGTTGAAAAATAAAGGTATGATAAGACTAAAACAAGCGTAACGTACGAAAAATCGCGGGATAAAATATGGCAAAACTAAACTGCACAACTGGTAACATTAGTGGTCTCGAATTTAGGAAAGAAACATCACTTAACATACGAAGAAACTGACCTACGCAAAATTGTTTAAAAGACGGGGCTAATACTTTATAAACGACGCTGAGATGTCAAAATGAGACTCAAGGAGAAGAATGCAAAAGTAATGCTAATGCTTAACTTCCCTTTTATATACAACTTCTTGGAAGCAGAAATGAGAGGATGTGATCATGACCTGCGGACAATGATTGAACATTTTCCGTTGACCGTGCGTTATTTTATATATACTCGATACCTAAAGCTAAATGTAGACCTGGTCACTTAAACGTCGATTTATTAAACATAGCAATCGGTCATGGTCTTCGTCTTCAAAGCCTTCATCATAATCCTCATTATCATCAACATCAGCATCAGGGAGATTTAACGCTCGGATGAAGCCTCAACTTCTTCTGTGATGTCAACAGAGATCTGATCAGATCTTTCACCATGAACAAAGAGTGCAGATTCCTTTGCCACTTCTTCGACATGCTCAACACAATGGCGACACAACAGTTGAAACTAGCGACTTTTACCATCAACAAAGGTGACGGCAGCGAAAACGTCACTATTAAAATGAATTGGCCTTTTCTCAAGTCGCGTTTATTTCAATTCACTGAAAATAGCCAATGTAGGCCAATTTCCTTGGAGTTGATTTCTTTGGGACCAAATTCAAGTTTAGAAAGAGAAAGAAAAGTTTGTTGCTGCCTGTTTACGTCTTCCATAAAATGTGAAACTAGGCATTTTCACGTCGTAGTCGTGCAGTAACAGCAAAGAAATGTACAAAAAAGCGTGATAAGAAACCTATTGTTTTTTTGACATTCTCGTTGCTGTCGCCGTCGTCGTTGCTAAAACTCCCTAGCTGGGGCCCATGCTCTGAGTAGCCGGGGGAAATCCCCGGCCCCTGGCCCTTAGTTGCAACCCTGAATGTATGCATAAAATCAAGAACATGCCTTTACAAACCTCTTCAATTTTTCTCTTCATTGACAAATGAGCCAATCTGCTTGTTTTTCCAGTAAAATCCTCTGTGTAGTTATATTCTGATAGGAAACCGCATGTGTCAGAACTTTGGGGTTGGCAACTGCCCAGCCCCCGAGCGGCACAAAATTTGCAAATGCCCCTCCCCCAGGACTGACAAGGCGGGCAAATGCCCTGCAGTAGCCAGGGGGCGGGGCAGGGGGGCTGGGCACAGCTGGAATTGACTGATACATTATTGCAAACTTGTGAAGAGTTCTTGACAAGTTTTTGGAATGATGTGATTTCTTCACCCAAAGTCCAAGCAAAAAATCATTAATTACCCAACTCATTAAATTTTTTGTGCCTTGATCACATGCTCTCCATTGAAAACTTTAACTGCAGAAGGTGAAGACAGATTTGAAAATACCCACGGACATCACCTTGCAGTCTAAGTTAAGCTTTAAGGTTTTTTGCTTTTCTTCAGTCCAACAGCTCTAAGTTATGCTTATACCAGACATAATTTAGTAGGGAGCCTGTCAGAATGTTCTTACAAAGTCCCTTCTGAAAATAATAAGGGCTGATCAGCAGCAACTCGAGTCTTGGGTATTTGGTGGCATCTTATGGTTTAGAAGCAATCATGGGTCTTTGGTGCAAATGAAGAGTAAAGCAAGTGAATGTATCAGTTATTGATATTAATTTTATTATAGGTTCATTGGTGCTGATTCATGGAACAGTGCTACATAGAAGTTCTGAGAACAAGTCAGAGAAATCGCGACATGCATATACATTCCATATTGTTGAACAAGAAAATACAGAGTGGAGCAAACAGAACTGGTAAGATGTTATTGTGAACTCTAAGTCAGCAAGTTTTTTTTAAAACATACTTTATTTCAGTTTTGTAGCTCATAGTTCCACTTGAGTTTTGGCTGTTCTTTATTTATGCATGCTTAATAACTCTACATGAGAATATTGGGCATGACCTGGTACTAGTTTAGAAACGTTTTGTGTGGAGTAAGAAAAACCAGAGGACCCAGAGCTCAGAGAGCTGTCAGACAATCAGAAAACTGCAAAGCATTTCAATTTTTGCACCATTTTCTTGCTGGGTTCAGTTTTTCAAGCTCTGTTTTTTTGGCACTACTTGGAAGCTTCCAAACCACATTAGTATTTTGGAAATACCATTAACTGCTGCTTATAAACCCAGCTCCCAGATATAGGCCCATGTACCTCCAAACAAAAAACTACATTTGATTATAAGCAAACCCCCCCACCCCTCCACCTAGCTCCTAGCTTGTATTAAAATGAGTTTGATTTATTTTGGCATTTTGAAACTTAATTAACAACCAGTAAATGCAAAACGCCTTTTGATCAACACTGTTATAGCTTGTTTTCATCCATGATATTTTATTCTGATTTTAAGTCCCCCAGATATAGGCTTTCCTAAAACCCCTTTTGAAGATGATAAGCAATAGTTTATGGAGTTTTTTGCCTTGCTCTGGCCCCCATCTCCACCCCCCTATCAACCCACTCCACACATGACACTAAACCACCCCTTCTCCCCACTAAAAAATATGGCAGAATTTTTGGTAAAAAGCATTAAATTCTGGCAACTGTAAAAAGAAATTTTTTGAGGTTAAAATATCAACCTAGTATTGACCTTAAAGACAAGAGAGAATTAATGACCTGTATTGGAGGCTTCTATGTGACTATGACAGCAAGCAACGGTTTTAGACATTGTAGGAAGTTTATATCCAGTATGCTTAAGGTGACTCGACCCAGTTTTTTTGGGGGGGTACCATCCTACTTTGAAGCTCTCTGGTATACCCACCTTTACTTTTATCGTAAGTCTAACACATAGAATAGATAACATATAGATCAATCTACATTATGACATAAAATTTTTGGCGATCGGAGTAAATGTCACGTGGTTATAATGCCACGCCCCTTTGAGGTCTGAGTCGAAAATCTGCTGTTGCCGGCATTTTTTTGTGAAAATCTCTCGGTTACACATAGTGTGCATCAGTGCCTTGCGCTAAGCAGAGTTTCACCAAAATCGCAAAGACCCAATTCGAGAAATTCAGCAGTTTCCAAATTAATTTTAGACCATAATTTATGCAAAAATGATAAGATAACTTAACACGATTATATCTAATGAACTATGAGACTTATCCCTTTATTTTGGGCATCGTTATAACAGATGGGTCCTTGCAAGTCAGCAAAACGCTTTAGGGCCTTGTAAATGCGCGCGATTTCGAGCAAAGCAAACAAAGTAAGAAAAATTTTTGGAATGTGAGTGAAATTTCTCTTTCACGCCGTGAACACGCCGTGAAAAATTCACGGCTACCGTGAAAATTTCACGCAGTGAAAAAGTTTATAATGGCCGTGAAAATATTTTATGCTGTGAAAAATTTCAGTCACCGTGAAATTTAATTTCACGCCGTGAAAATCTTCCAACAGTCAAAATGAAAATTAATGTAAAATTGTTTTCAAAAGTGCATTGTTTAGATGTCATGCAAGCCTTTATTTGCCCAGATGAATGTAACATGTACTGGTCAGTACTTTTTGATTTTTGATTTTCGGCAAAACAGATGAAATCGCTAAAAAAAAACACCGAAGATCGCCGAAGATAATCAACAACTGCATGATTCCGTCTTTGTATTCTCTAAATTTACGACCAAAGTATCGTTTAAAATTTAAAAGAATTTGGAAGCTTTCATCTGTTCCACGAAGTTATTCAAATGCTAGACTCGGTGGCGACAAGATGAAGAAATATGTAACGCATGTTTTGATATTGCGTGATATCTTTTGGATTTATTTCATTTTTACCGTTCTGTTCAGATCGTTGTAACGGCGAAATTTTGAGTATAACATTTAGCAATGAGACAAGGAACTTGAAATGGAGCATGATAAATCAAGTAGAGTTTGCACTTGTGATGGATGATGATGGGGCTACAAAACTGCAGATAAGATCAGTCACTTCACTCAGCGTCACTGCAATGCGCGTCGACACAGACGACAATTACCCCGGTTTTACGAATGGCAGTAAAAGTTAGTCTTTCCGCAAAGAATTTCGTTAGGTTTCTTGAGTGAAAACCTTGCCATGTTTGGTAAATAACTAATCGTCTCTGACATCGAAATTGGGAAAATTTGCACGTTGAGGAGAAGAAAGAAAAAGAGCCAAAAGTCACCGACTGTTGCAGTTACAGACAATGTAAACAATGCAAATTGACATGAAACACACGCAGTTCCGATCGTGCATATCTAATAAAATACTTGCCATGAACACATAAAAATATCGACAAGAAATTGAGACTAGTTTGATTGTGATTTGTGGCTTTACAGGCCTGAATGCGGAATAGTGAATACGCTTTTTTTAAATTTTTGTCGTGAGCTATTTAAAACGGCTTGAATGTGCTGAGAGAAATATTACTTTTTGCGTGGGATCAACTTCCACAAATTTAGCTTGATGTGACCAGGTATTTTCGTTTTTTTCCAGTTCGAAAAGGGGCGAGAAAAAACACAAAACAAAAAACAAAAGGTTAGATTTCATTCACCCTCGACATGTTTCACGGCGTGAAAATGTGTTCACTCTTAATTTCACGGCGTGAAATCTGATCTTTCGCAACATGATCAATTTCACGCCAAGAGTGAAAAATTCTCGCAAGGAGTGAACGGGCGTGGAATTTGAAATTCACGCCGTGAAAACTCTAATTCACGCACCCTGACCGTGAAAAAAATTCACGGTTTTTAGTGAAATCCATAAGCCCCCTTTTCGCATGAAGGGTCACAATTTTTCTCTTCATTGACAAATGAGCCAATCTGCTTGTTTTTCCAGTAAAATCCTCTGTGTAGTTATATTCTGATAGGAAACCGCATGTGTCAGAACTTTGGGGTTGGCAACTGCCCAGCCCCCGAGCGGCACAAAATTTGCAAATGCCCCTCCCCCAGGACTGACAAGGCGGGCAAATGCCCTGCAGTAGCCAGGGGGCGGGGCAGGGGGGCTGGGCACAGCTGGAATTGACTGATACATTATTGCAAACTTGTGAAGAGTTCTTGACAAGTTTTTGGAATGATGTGATTTCTTCACCCAAAGTCCAAGCAAAAAATCATTAATTACCCAACTCATTAAATTTTTTGTGCCTTGATCACATGCTCTCCATTGAAAACTTTAACTGCAGAAGGTGAAGACAGATTTGAAAATACCCACGGACATCACCTTGCAGTCTAAGTTAAGCTTTAAGGTTTTTTGCTTTTCTTCAGTCCAACAGCTCTAAGTTATGCTTATACCAGACATAATTTAGTAGGGAGCCTGTCAGAATGTTCTTACAAAGTCCCTTCTGAAAATAATAAGGGCTGATCAGCAGCAACTCGAGTCTTGGGTATTTGGTGGCATCTTATGGTTTAGAAGCAATCATGGGTCTTTGGTGCAAATGAAGAGTAAAGCAAGTGAATGTATCAGTTATTGATATTAATTTTATTATAGGTTCATTGGTGCTGATTCATGGAACAGTGCTACATAGAAGTTCTGAGAACAAGTCAGAGAAATCGCGACATGCATATACATTCCATATTGTTGAACAAGAAAATACAGAGTGGAGCAAACAGAACTGGTAAGATGTTATTGTGAACTCTAAGTCAGCAAGTTTTTTTTAAAACATACTTTATTTCAGTTTTGTAGCTCATAGTTCCACTTGAGTTTTGGCTGTTCTTTATTTATGCATGCTTAATAACTCTACATGAGAATATTGGGCATGACCTGGTACTAGTTTAGAAACGTTTTGTGTGGAGTAAGAAAAACCAGAGGACCCAGAGCTCAGAGAGCTGTCAGACAATCAGAAAACTGCAAAGCATTTCAATTTTTGCACCATTTTCTTGCTGGGTTCAGTTTTTCAAGCTCTGTTTTTTTGGCACTACTTGGAAGCTTCCAAACCACATTAGTATTTTGGAAATACCATTAACTGCTGCTTATAAACCCAGCTCCCAGATATAGGCCCATGTACCTCCAAACAAAAAACTACATTTGATTATAAGCAAACCCCCCCACCCCTCCACCTAGCTCCTAGCTTGTATTAAAATGAGTTTGATTTATTTTGGCATTTTGAAACTTAATTAACAACCAGTAAATGCAAAACGCCTTTTGATCAACACTGTTATAGCTTGTTTTCATCCATGATATTTTATTCTGATTTTAAGTCCCCCAGATATAGGCTTTCCTAAAACCCCTTTTGAAGATGATAAGCAATAGTTTATGGAGTTTTTTGCCTTGCTCTGGCCCCCATCTCCACCCCCCTATCAACCCACTCCACACATGACACTAAACCACCCCTTCTCCCCACTAAAAAATATGGCAGAATTTTTGGTAAAAAGCATTAAATTCTGGCAACTGTAAAAAGAAATTTTTTGAGGTTAAAATATCAACCTAGTATTGACCTTAAAGACAAGAGAGAATTAATGACCTGTATTGGAGGCTTCTATGTGACTATGACAGCAAGCAACGGTTTTAGACATTGTAGGAAGTTTATATCCAGTATGCTTAAGGTGACTCGACCCAGTTTTTTTGGGGGGGTACCATCCTACTTTGAAGCTCTCTGGTATACCCACCTTTACTTTTATCGTAAGTCTAACACATAGAATAGATAACATATAGATCAATCTACATTATGACATAAAATTTTTGGCGATCGGAGTAAATGTCACGTGGTTATAATGCCACGCCCCTTTGAGGTCTGAGTCGAAAATCTGCTGTTGCCGGCATTTTTTTGTGAAAATCTCTCGGTTACACATAGTGTGCATCAGTGCCTTGCGCTAAGCAGAGTTTCACCAAAATCGCAAAGACCCAATTCGAGAAATTCAGCAGTTTCCAAATTAATTTTAGACCATAATTTATGCAAAAATGATAAGATAACTTAACACGATTATATCTAATGAACTATGAGACTTATCCCTTTATTTTGGGCATCGTTATAACAGATGGGTCCTTGCAAGTCAGCAAAACGCTTTAGGGCCTTGTAAATGCGCGCGATTTCGAGCAAAGCAAACATGTAGAAATTATAGTTTTCGCTATTTGTTGTCGTTTGTCAGCGTTTAAGAGTCCTTCTCACGAACAAAGCATTTTCTTAAAAATTCGTAGTTTTTTTTCCTTCAAATTTTTTCAGGGCCACCATTGATTAACTAACTACCCGGGCTCCGAATTTCATGGTCATTGAAAAACTGTGACATTATCTTCTATAAGCCCAAACTTGAGTAAACATTGAAGATTTTTAGCATTTTGGCTGAGTTTGTGCTTTGGGAGTTGTCTATTGTTTCTAGTCTGTCATTGTACAGCATTTTTGTTCAGCATGCGTGCAATGACCACGCTTGGCTGACTTCCGAATGCTCACCGAGATATGAGAAAATAGAAGGGATTCCTGTCACGATTTGGTTTAATTATTGGCTTGCATTAAACCTATGAAAAAATGATATTTTTTTAACAGTAAGTAGATTTAGTGTGTAGCACTTCTTGATTTTTTTGCAAAGGCACAAGAAGCACGAGAATTGATCAAAAATTGTGAGTTGAACCTCTATGTATCACGCGATGGCCTGTCTCACTGTACCAAAATTATCATATCTCGGTGAGCATTCAAAAGTCAGCCAAGCGTGGTCATTGCAAGCGTGCTGAACAAGAATGCTGTATCATGACAGACTAGAAACAACAGACAACTCCCAAAGCACAAACTCAGCCAAGTTAAGTTATCTTATCATTTTTGCATAAATTATGACCTAAATTTGGAAACCGCTGAATTTCTCGAATTGGGTCTTTGTGATTTTGGTGAAACTCTGCTCAGCGCAAGGCACTGATGCACACTGTGTAGCCGAGAGATTTTCACGAAAAAATGCCGGCAACAGCAGATTTTCGACTCAGACCTCAAAGGGGTGTGGCATTATAACCACGTGACATTTACTCCGATCGCCAAAAATTTTATATTGTAGATTGATCTATATGTTATCCATCTTACAATAAAAAGTAAAGGTGGGGATACCAGAGAGCTTCTCATTAGGATGGTACCCCCCCCCCCCAAAAAAAAAAAAAAAAAAAAACTGGGTCGAGTCACCTTAAGCTGTCCATTCGGAAAATATGGTGGACTTTCGATTTGCAAATTCTAACATGTATGTGACAGGTCAAAATTAAATTCAGGTTAAAATTTTTTAACCTTGGTTGATTCTTAATTTTCTTTATCCCCAGCCCTAATTATTCATGAATTAGGGCAAGCAGACAAAGGAGGTTGAGAATCAACCTTGGTTACAAAAAATTTAACCTGATTTAATTTTTACCCATACATGTACATGCACGTTTCCTATGGAAATTGGTGGAGAATCCAGGGGCATTGATAAAGTAGTGTTAAAATATTAGTAAAGAAGTATAAAAAGAATTATTTCAAACGGCCCAAAATTTTAGCTACTGACAACTGTTCTGAGTGCCGTCATGCTTCTTGGAGGCCCCAAATCCCCTTCTTCTTCCCCTCTGAATTATGACTGTCTCACAGCTGGCTATAGAAAAAGGGTTCATGTGAACAATATGCTTAAGTTCATGTTCTTCTCCCTTTTTTTTAGGTTGCAACCTACAGCGGAACTTCCATTTCCTGCACTTTATACAGAATAATCACATTATATGGGATAAGTTTAACTGTACAAGTCAAGTCTAAGGTTTGACTGATTATGCTTGAGAAATCGAATACTTTTCTTCAGTGTCAGCCAGAGTATCATGCTTGGGTCAAGGACATACTTATGCTAGCACAGTTTGTCAGAATTTAGTTGAGACTGCTTTACAGAATTATAGATTGCTTTCACTTTCTTTAGATTATAATTTTGTTTAAATTGACAAGTCTTAAGGGGTTGTTTATGTTACAATATATCAGTCATAGTCTGTTTCAATAGCACAGCATTTTTTATTGTATTTTTATAAAATTTAATTACTTATACATTGATGAACAAAAATCATTAATTTAATCAACACTTTCTATGCAATTTTAGCAGCCCAAAGCATAATATTAATATAGTCAATAACATACTGGGGTACCATGGCCTGTGGGTACAACAAGTACTGTACAATATGTCTTTAGTAATCTCACAAACCAAAAAAGGGCAATGTTAATGGAGATAAATAATGACTTAAAATATTGTTGTAGAAAACAAAATATGCAATACTTTGATCTTGGAATATTTCAGCCTTAGGACCCCAGCATGATTTTATTATGGAATAAATATGAATATGTTATTTAAATGCACACATTGAACGTCTTATGAACTGTGAAAGCTAGTGTAAGTCCTAATAAATTTATGCTTATAAATGGGTTTTTTCAGCAAGCAAAGGCAATTAGAGAAGGCATGCGCGTGTCTGGCACTTGTCGCTGGTTTTGTGCTTTCCTTTGCCTTCCTGAAAAATGCGAAAAAGTAACGCCTCTTATGCAGGCTACAGTTCTGTGAACTAATAATCATTTTTAACTTTCAGCTTCATTTTACGTCCTCATAATTTGATTTTAAGTGGCTCTTCAAAAAACTTATCTTCTTAAATATAGTTTTCGAAAAACATGTATGATTGTGAGCAGAGGAACTGCTGAGTTTTAACAATTTGGAATGTGTTAACAATGAGCTGTGATGAATAAACAAGTTAACATTTTGTTCATGTTTTGACTGCTTTGTTTTTTTCGTATCTTGAGTTGTATTTTTGTCCTGCATCTTAAATAGCATTATTGCACTTTAAGACAAATAAAACTTTCAGCAGTTTTTCAACATTTATTAATACTTATTTATTAATGCAAAATTTAAAATTTACTTTTTCCATTGATACTTCAAAATGGAGTTTATTTAAGCTCATCACTTATAATGTGACTGATTCTTTAGCTTTACTACACTTAAAGTAATAAATATCACACACTACATGCTACTGACAATAAAATGACAAATGGCTTCTTTACATCCTTTGCCACTTAGTACTTACGGTGGTTTATTTCACTCCAACTGAAATAATGATGTTATGATACATTACAAAATATCAGTAGGCAGTAGCAATTTATGGAGCTCCTTTACAGATGGAACCCACTTTACCAGGTAGATACGAACTTGCAGGGTATATTTCATACCACAGAATCCCAAGAGCTGCTCCCATGGAAAATCACAAAATAATACTGCTTGGGTTGGCTGTACTTGAAAAGGACCAGTATCAGGGCTTGAAAAAAAACCCTGGTATTCAAGCTTGTCATTAGGACAATCTGTTCTCTCATTTTGCTTGCCCAAGGTGATTAATGTGTGTTTATCATTGAGTTAGAAGATGGCTTGCTTGGCCCTTGGCCAGTGGGTAAATGAGCATGTAACCTACTTGCCAGTGGCAAGAAAATATAGTTCTCTTGGACGACTGGATGGGATTTTTTTTCAAGCCCTGATTAATTATCACCCAGACAAAACAGTAAGCAGGTATGTAAGTTATTTATGTGAAAACCATTATTTAAGAAGCAGTACTCACTGCAGTAACACATACACTTAATATTAAGTATTTCAATATATATTACATCAATATTAAACAGGTCATCAAATGCATTATCAGGTTTTTAAAATATTAAGTATAAAGGTCCTGCATCAGTTTCATAAAAATAATTATTTTCTGTTTCCAAGTTGATCAGATAGTTTTAAGGGTTTCTAATACGTTTGAAAATTTCGGATATAAATATAAAGTTGTAGGCTGTGTTATAAAGATCCAGTTTATGTAGGTTTTTTAATATGCTCTTATTGCAAGGTAGATTTGATACAATTAATAGTATTAAATAAATGACAAAAGGATCATTAACACCTCAGACTGGGGTGATCTGACAATGTTAGCAATCAAATTTCACTTAAATGAAATCTGACTGGTTGCAACACTACAATTTCTTGAATACTATTTGCAAAAATGGTTTTTCTTTAACTGTGAGGCAAAACAGGGCCTACCTTGACTGCAAATCGCACAAAGTTGTACTTCTGTAAAAAACTAAAAACACCTCATGAAATATGTCTTAAACTTGTTACTGCCCAGAGGCTGCCTCGTATCCAGATCTCTCTCTCTCTCTCTCTTCCCCGCTGAAAATTTGGGTGCAAAGGAAGGCAGGATGAACGAAATGGGCGAGATGTCTGCACCTCTCATTTTTCTCCTTCCAACTATTCCCTACACTTCATCACTAGTCACTCGCCTGTCACTCGTGTTTCGCGCTCTCCTCTGGGTGAAGAACAAAGCGCCTGAAGAGGAGGCAGGCCCAGAGGCTGTCAATATTAAATTCACTGAAACATTTTTGGTTCAACGTTTTGAACTGAAAGCTTAAGGTAGAGATCAACCAGCCAGAGAACATTATCAGTATAAGAAGTCTTAAATACTAGTTGGATTTCATTAAGTAGTTATAATAACTACAATTTGTGAATGAAGCTTGTAGTCCATGTGTCATTAAATTTTTTGAGCTTTGTTTTCCAGACAATTCTTAAGATTCCAGAAATAAACTGGCTTACCAGAGCCAGCATGTTCTCTTGATCTCCACATCTAATAGAAACAATTGCAGAAAATTTCATTGTCTAACTCACTGTAAAATGAAATCAGTGTACAAAACATCAATAAAATATCATTCTTTTTTCACATTAAAAGAATAAAATAAAATATGATTTAACAGAACTAAAATAGCATCATTTCTTTATAATTCAGTTAAATTGCTAAGTAGACTTTTGTCACAGACAGTGTTTTATGTAGAGAATACTAGATGTTGTTTGGGCCTAATTATCTTCTTCTAGAGAGTAAATTGATTTTAGTTTTGTAAATTAATTATTAATAAAATCCAGTTTTTATAATATTAGAAAGATCAATACTGGGTTCCAGCCCTAAATAATGGAAAAATTTTTCTTGATTGCCAGAATTACTCCTATTATGAAATTAACATTTCAATAACAAATAAGACATTATTTTGAGAAACAAATTTCAGTTCATGACTCTAACAGGTCAGATGTGACAAGCGCAATGTTACTGTTTTTTTTTTTACTGAAAACAAGGACAAAAAAATGCAACTGACTGGTAATTTTCTGTCTTTAACCAAGAGCACCATCACAAGGATATTAAACCAGCACCTAACAACTATGTCTTATGATTATTACAGCTAAAACTTGGCATGATATACATAATATATAATATTTCTACTGCTAACTTCCACATAATATTTAAAAGGTTCATATTCATTCAGTAGACAGTAGATATTCAGCCAAACAACTGTGCTTGTCATAACTTCAGATCAGATGTATTATTCAAAAACTGTATTTTCATTTTTTTGAAAGAAAAAATGTGCACCATTATTAAAAAAGATGTCTGCAATGTTTATTCATCAGACAATTCCAAATATTTCACTGACAGACAATAATTAATAAATATCCAATTTTCTGCAATTTGTGAGGATTTGGCATTAGCATTGTGAAATAATATAACAATATTATAAATTATATCAATTCAGTTCTTTAAATGTTTGAGGTATATATGTATTTTTCCTGACTTGCTCTATGGCAATGTGTGTGTTCTAGCAGAACAGTTGATGTTAAAGTAATTAACAACACAAAGGTCAAGGGGTATTGTGTTACATGCGCCTAATTTAAATACTGACATGTCAATAATTTACTATATACAACATACAAGTATGAAGCATCAATATAAATGTTCTTTAGGTTAAAAATTGTTACCACAACATTTCAATCTGAAAATCATCAATAGTAAGTGTAGTTGTGGCGGTCATAGAGTTACAGTTGTAACAAATTCTTAAAGTAAAACAATTTTAAAAATGATAAAAAAAGGCCATGATTATGTCACACAATAAGCGCCAAAAAAACACACATTATAGTAAGCAATTAAAAGAAAAAGTGAACATGGAAAATTAGGGGCATTAAGTACAACCTGGCACTGCTGCATACCCAGATACTTAATGAAAAAGTTTGACAAGAGCACAAACCAAAAAATAATGTTATGAGTAATAAAAATACCTTCCAAGGGCAATTTTTTTTCCAGTGACTTAAAGAAAATGACCAGCAATTTCCAGTGAGTTAATGATATTTTCAAATTATAAAATTTTTGGCAAAATGGTGCCCTGAGAAAGTGAAGAGGTTGTGAACAGCATGCCATTAGCTGTCAGGTACTATGCAATCTACTGTAGCCCTTCCATGTTTCATCTAGCATCTTTGAAAATTTTCACTGCTTATGATGCAGCACACATAGAGCAATAGTGGTACCTTGGTATGAGGCATCAGAACAAATACCTCATAACCTAAAAGTATTGAAACCACTTTCTTTCTTGGCTAGCATGTCAGATGTAATTCATATCACGCTTCTTTCCATGTCCACTAAAAGAAAGTTCTGATACACTGAATAAACTATGGTATGCATTACATTTAAGGGTGAGATTCTCCAAACAAATTCCCACCAGACGTCATAACTATTCAAGTTGTGACATTTGGCAGATAAAACAGATTGAGGTTCCTTAGATTGTATAACAATTTATACCTATACAGTCCAAAAAACAATTTTTAAATCGCTCAATCAGATCAAGGGCTGTGGAATCAAATAAAGACTACTTTACAAGATTACCAATACACAAAGTATCACTCTTAAAGTAGCACTTTTCCATACTGCTTCATGATAAAATATTCAAAAGAGTAGGTCATCCTTAATCTGGACCACTGTACAGGCTCAGAGGTCATCCATGTCATTGAACAAGGCGTTGTGGCCATGCTGGTTGTAACATCAGAGTTGTATTTTGTGTTCTCTCCTTTGTACATTTCCTGAGCTAATATCATGGAAGTAACTGGAGATAACTCTTCCAGCTCTACAGGGTCTGCTTTGATCTGCACAGGAAAATAACAGTGTTAGAAAAGGACTTAAGGCAGATCAGGCTGAATTCAAACACTGCGAGAGTAATGCAAAAATAAACCTTGTTCAAGTAATAACACTGTTACTAGCTGCAATCCTGTTTATGGAATAATTTGCCTAATAAATTGTGATATATTCAGTCACTATGTAGCAAAATTAAGACTCATCTTTTCCAAACAGTTTTTTCTTGAAAGTATTTTGCACTAGGAGTTTTCTTTGTATTGATTGTATTCATTAAGATGTAAGTTTCATAGGTCAATGGGCTTGACTCACCCACCCACCTTCCCCCACTGCTATCATAACGTGACCCCTTACCTCTCTTCTGCATTCCCTTTTGATCTTCTCAACTTCATCTCTGCATATTTTGCAAACATAAATAATACTGCGATCTCTCTCAAGTTTCCTGTAAATCTCATCAGTTATGTTGTCACACATTGTATGAATCCACCTATGAAAAAGTTGATTCATTAAAGGATTGTCATATAATGAAAGGTTTCTATCTTCTCCAAAATGTAAAAGTTTTGTCACAAAAAAGGTACTGATGTAGTCACCTGCTACATGAATCACACTGCACCACTCTGTGGTTACCCTGCTCGGTGTTGCAAATTGGACAGTGATTTGTCTTGTGTTTGTTTTGGTAGCACTTGTCACACAATGTATAGTCAATGTGCCACCGTGATGTCTTCTTAGTTCTGCAAATCCTACATTGCCGACATCTCTGTTTGGAAGATAGTTGAAAAATGTGTATCAAGTTTAGCAGGAAAAAGTATGGTTCCTCACAAACAGTCATGTTACTGGATATTATATTAATAGACATTTGAGACAGGCACAAAGTCAGAAACCTGAGGATGAAGACATGTCTCTTTTAGTTGACACAATCCAAGTATGACACAGCTTTGACCGGCAGTTAAGTGCCTTTCTCAGTTAGAGAGGCTTTTCCAAAAGGCCAATAAGCCTAAATAAATAACTGAAGGACACAGGGACAATCTGACTAAAATGAAGGAAATGACATTATGGTCAAGACAAATAGCATGGCTCCTGAGAGGTTGCATTGGCTTGTACATAATTTCTGCTTCAAACAAAGCTAACAACTAACCTCACACTTCCAGCCCAATTTTTCTGTAGGGTTCACCACCGGTGCTGTACACAAGGGATGGTAACCTTTGTCACAGCTGCGACATATTAGCAGCTTATCCTTTGGGGAAGGAAGTCTGTGAAATGTAGAACAGCCATGATTTTAAATTCCATGAGTTTGTGTTCAATAAAATAACAAAGCCTCAATAATGTTATTAACATGAGAATTGTCACCATCATCATCTTCACTGTTATCATCATCATCATCATTATTAACATGATCATCATAATCATCATCATCATTATTGTTGTCGTTGTAATTTATTTTTATCATCATCATCATCATCACCATTATTAGTGATCGGGGTAAGATGGGAAGCAATTTCTTTGAGGGGTATAGAATGGTAAATTTGAGTCTTTGTGAGACTGCAAGACCAAGATTCGAGACTGAGACTAAAAAAAATTGAGACTCCAAGAGCAGTGACTTTGTAACCTCTGTGTCCTGTGTCCCTGACACATAAAAATCTCCAAAGACGCAAAATAATTCATGGCATGCATCCTCATGGCATGCATCCCGTAGGATGCAAAGAGGGATTGATTGATCTGAACATGTGTATTTGTAGAAATAGCCCGTTCACGTAATTTCTGAGGCAGTATAATGGCTGTTGTTTAACGATGCACATTTCTTTTAGCCTTTGTTGTACTTTAGAATAGAAGGACTATATTTTAATTTCAGTATACTGTAATACAGAGTTTTGGAGTCTGTCTTCAGACTGTTCGGTTACATGAAGGCCCAAGCATTTTCAATTTCGGACTCGCTTTTTTAACTTGGACTCATTGGTTCTGGACTGGGACTCATAACTTTTCACAAGATGAGTCCCAGGACTCACCATAACTATTTGTAACAGGATCACTAGCTGCAGGAGGCAAAATCACCAGAAAACGACACTTCGAGACACATCTCAAACGCTTTTGAGATTTCAAGATTGGGCCAAAATTTTTCAAGACCCCCATTATTGAGGAACCAGCAGTCTATACCCCTTCTTTTGTTACGGCACATTATATGCTTTCGTCACATAGAAAGTTTTCATTTTCACACAGAGAATGTATCAACCTACAAAAAGGCAGTTTATGAAACAAAACTTCATTTTTAAAGGGTATTTTTTTGTGTAAAAAGATTTTGACCAATCGTAAGGGTTGCAAACAACAGCCATGAAAAGTTTACAATTGTACATCCTCGCGTACGATTTCTGTATTTGTTAGACTCACAAAATTTTGTTACAAGGAAGCTGTTTAGAAAACAAGGGATTAATATACATGTTGCTTTGTGAAGATTTATTAAACTTTGATGTTTGAACCAATCAGAAGTTCATTACAATAGTAATGTTAGCACTTTTTTGCACTTTGATGTGCTCACTGCATTTGGTTCTTTCCTTCTTATCTGGACCATTACTTAACATAATAATCCTTTAATCAGGTATGTTGTACATAGCTAATGTATTACCTTCACAACTCTTGAAGAAATCCATCAGGTTAGAAATAAGTGAAAAAAAATTAGGAAAGAGGAACCTCAACTAATGACTTACATGCAGGCTGCTTGTTTAATGACAAAGTTGAAGATCTTACCTACAAGACTGGCAGGATTTACACTGAGCACATTGCCAGCCAACTCTAACAGTTTCAGTAGCACGCACTGGGGGTGAACAGCAGTAGCTGTGATAATGACAGTTACATCGGCTGCAGAGTAGCAACTGTGACAGCTCCCCTCCCTGATGACATCTGTCACAAAATGCTGTAAATCAAAACATTACATTAAATCTCTCTCCTTATTAAACCACTTTTTCTAAATGAAGACAAATCTTACGGAAAATAATAATTATTTTTCTTTAATTTTCTCTTATTTTTCTCATCATATTTAAGATCTTTAAAGTGGCTGCAATCATTTTACAAATTAACGGTATAATATTTTATACTGTTTTATTTGCATAGTTGATTTTGTTTTTGTGTGTTGTTTGAACCAGCTTTATTTCTACCATTGTAAGAACCAGATACTTACCTACTCTTTGTATGATGTCCTCATGACTTGAACAGTAAAGTTTCAATGTTTTTATGTCCTGTAAAAAAGATATGACACATTTATGTACTTTATAATTCCCAATGATGTTTGATATTTCTACCTTGTGGAGAGTCCAGAGTAATTTGGGATTGAAATAATATTAATCACCTTATGTATAAAAAACATGAAAATTAATATTTTTCCAGGACATCTATATATACTGGTCACCACTGCGGGAAACAGCGAGATTCACTCTGTATAAAAAGCGTATTGGCATTAGAAATGACATATGTTCAAGAATGTCGACATGGTTACCGTATTATATTTATAATTCAATGCAATTTTTTTTTTACCTTCTACCTGCAAATAATGGTCTACTCATGCTGAATGTCATCCAACTGTGTTTGGCAGCAAATAATATTCTGCTCAAGTGCAAATGAAACCCCGCTTTTCTCCCCCTTGCAATTGCTATTGCGTAAAAATGGCAAAATCGCTACACTTTGCAACGCTTCGCAAAGATATTCATCCAAAAATAAACTCGGTGATGGAATGACAAAACAATTATTGAACTTGGTTATCAAGATTTATCAGTATCTCACTTGCCACTGACAAATCACGATATTTCTGCTCAACCTTGCCAAATAATATTGTTAATGATATGTTCTCAGCTCTCACCTGATAGGTTCTTGCAGCCATTGCACAGGGGTAGTGGTATATTCTACCACAATCTGGCATTTCACAGACAATACTTGCACCAAAGCGACCACAGAAACAACATTTCTGCCCAAATAAGTAAATGTATAAATAAATAAATACTAAAAAATTGAAATTAAAATACTTTAAAGTACACAACTCATTACAGTGCAACAGATAGAAACAGGGAAACAGTCCAAAGCCACTCAAGGCCTTTATTTTATTTATTATTTTATTCATTGAATACTTTTTAGGAGACAGCCTGGCTGAACAGTCAGAGCTAGGGACCTGTAATGGCGAGCCTTGGGTCCCGAGTTTTAAGTCCTACCTAACTGCTAGCTGAATTTGTTTTACGGTAGTCCCCAACTAGTTCAGCTTTGACCAGTTGGCATTCTTGAACCCAGCAGTTATGTTTGAGTTAGATTAGTTTCAGTCACTGATTTGCTTTGTGATATAGTGCTGGAGGTGAAGTAATTATAAACCACTAGTACATCTTGATTGACAATAAGCATGCAAAGTCCAAATGAGTTAACAGTTAAGTGTAACCTTGATGTATGGAAATTCCACCAAAGAATACCCCGCAAGCAAAGGTTTCTCTCTTGCATGGCTTTTAGTGTTTAGGAAGTTGTTCGCGTGGCTTTTTTGTTGAGTAGTTGGTTTATTTACGCTCCGTTTCTCAAAAGCAGTTGCAATAAATTAACAGACATCACAAACAACAAGGTAGAAGAATTTACCTTTGAAAGAATCTGGTTTGTTAAATCCACTGTGTAATCAGCTGAAGATTTGGTTGCTATGGAGGCCAAAGTCCATGCTGCACATCTCTCATGCACCCATATGTGACCTGACATGTCACACAGATCAACTAGGTCAGGTTCTTCTACAAATCCAACACTGGAAAGATCTTCTTGAGGAAATGGTGAGAGTCTGCCACTACTTGAACTATTTACTAAATGTGATTTCCCATCTGGGCTTCTTGTTCTAAAGTTGAAGCAGAAAAAATACAGTAAACGAAAATTTAACTTACAATGTAATAATAAATAAACACAAAATGCTCATTGAGACTGGAAATAATGCACTGATATTGTTGACACCTTGGGCCCTTCTCACATTTCAAATGAGGAGTGGTTATGGTAGAATCCACCACTCATCAAGACTCATCAGTGTTTTGAAATCTGAGATATCACAGCCAAAAGTTCCACAGTGTGAGATGGGAAGAAACTAGACTTTTACAATGCTTCCAAGATTTTGAGAATGTCACCCCTTAATTGGTAAACTAATTACTAATACCACAGAAAAAGACTGGTTGAACATACTTTATTTACCGTTCATGTATTTACCCTCAATCAGTGAATTACCTGACGGGAATGTCACCATGACTTTGATGATGAAGTGTTGAATTAGTGGCATCAGTCCTGTATCTCCAGTAAGACCCATGCTCTTCATAGTCATACTCAGGGGAACTTCTTCTTCCATAGGAAGCAAGCGAACCTCCACCAACAGCGTGGTTATGTAGATTTGAATAAGCCGCAGATGCTGAATGCTGCATGTGTGACTGAGAAGTGACTGGAGAGTGCTTTGGAAACCCAGATATTCTTCCAAAACAAATAAATTCACCTTGTCCCAATAAACTGTTATTCACACAGTTGCACAGAGCACAGCGTACTCTGAAATAAAAATACATTGAAACTTAATAATTTAAAACATTTTAAAATTTCTCATTGGAACTTTATGGGATAGTTCTAATTTTGTTAGTTTCATGGAGATATCTTCAGATGGTGATCAGGAATTGTACAAAGACAATACCAAACTCAACTTGATATTTATAACAATCTAGACAATAAGAAACTGATGGCAATATTATTATTTTGGTCATGGCTGGGTAAGGGGGGACCTTTTTTAGACCTAAAAAAGTATGTGCCGCCAAAAAAAGAGGGTATACTTTTCAGGTTCTTGCTGACTCTTACAAGTACATACACAGGGTGTACAATTTCACTATTTAGAGACTTGAACAAGGTGTCTTTATTTTGCTGGCCAACCGGAAGCTTTTAAGAGAGTGGGAAGGTTGGAGATGAGCAGTCTACATTTACGGTACCAGATTTTTTCCAATAAAATCTAATTCCATGATGTTAGTTCCAAAAATTACTTAAATTCTGTATGAATCAGTGTCATAAAATAAGGTCTCCTGTCTTAAACAGGGTAGTGAAATGAAAAATATTTGTCTTAACCCATTCGCCCCTGAACCGCTCGTAACCGCTGTGTGGATACACGTCCTTTCTACCCCTTGTGATGTCATCAGTTTTAACGGTCAAGAACAACTTTGTAAGCTAACTTGTGCAGAGTGAAGAGATCTTTCAAACCATACCAGAATGAGCACAATTCAGTCAAGGACACCGGAGAAAAAGGCAAAAAACCATGTAAGATTGACCTGTAAATCTCCATGAAAATCTTGTTCCACTGCCACCTACCTTTCCTTTCACCTAATCCTAAGATCCTAAAAGCTTTCCTAAAAACTCTTCCCACCAAAATGAAGCCTACTAAATGCCCAGCAAGAGAAAAAAAAATGAGGCAAGAAAAGTGAAAAGAGAGGGAAGGAGAGAAAGCGAAAAGTAAAAGTCAAGACTGCTGTGTCACTTTTAAACCCAATTTTTGCTTTCTGCACATGCCCGAACTATGCAAGCTGATATTTTGCATCTGGATCAGACGACCGTGAAGTGTACGACCTGTGAACGGATTTGGGGTAAGTTTAGCTCTTTATAGCATGACAGTGACCAGAAAACCACTTGACTAGCTTCAATCCCGTTTTTCTGCAAAATCTCCAGGAGTGAATGGGTTAAAGTGGATCAGGGTTTGAGGGCCTCAGCAGCACGTGATGCACCTCTCGCTGAACTTTCCTTAAGTGCCCCCATCCTGCCCTCCACCCCACACCCCACTGGGAGCACATGGCTCTGTCATTAGATTAATATCCATCAGCTTTGTTACTTACCTTCCTGATTTGCTGTCAAAATTGCTGGATCTCTCATCTCTTTTGACTAGTCGTCTTGATACACTTTCAGTTGGAGAAAGCTTAAAAGATAAAATTAAGCAACCAAAAAACTCACAAATTTGCAGTATTTCCTCGAATAATAACCATCCCTCGATTAATTGCCTCCCTCCAATAATTGTCCCCCACTTTGACAAAAATATTTAAAGTAACTGCCTCCCTCAAATTATCACCCCCCCCCCCCCCCCCCCCCCCCCCCCCCCCCCCCCCCCCCCCCCCCCCCCCCCCCCCCCCCCCCCCCCCCCTCCACAACCCCCCCCCTCACCTCCCCCCCCACACGACACATCATCACACAACAAATAAAAAGAAAAACCAACATAGACGAAAAAAAAAATTAAAAAAACAAAAAAACCCACAATTTGCAGTATTTCCCCCAACAATAACCCCCCCCCCACTAATTCCCCCCCCCCCAAAATTTCCCCCCCCTTTTACAAAAAAATTTAAAATAACCCCCCCCCCCAAATTATCCCCCCCCCCCCCCCCCGCCCCCCTCCACTACTTCACCCCTCACGCTGGCCACCTAATTCTCTTTCCTTTAACAAGCAAAACTGATCAGTGACAATTCAGCTGCTGAGGGCAAGGATATTGACATTGAAAATTAATCAAGGAACCAAATTTGGAACACTTGAATTATAAAAAGCCCAAGTTCAGTATATATGATGCTATTCTTGTTTGAATTAATGGGATAAAAAAATAAAATATTTAGGGCACGACTTCAATTCCAATGAGCAATATCTGAAATAATCGCTTTACCTCGAATAATCGCCCCCCTTTTAATTTGTTTTGAAAAAGCAATAATATTAATCGCTGTCGACTATTATTTGAGGAAATACAGTATCTTTTCTGGTAGGTAGGCTGGGTGTGATGAAATTTATTATTGATACAATTATTTATTATATAAAGTGAGCGAGTAGGGTACCTTAGTCCTCTTGGGTGATTCTGCTTCAATATCAATATCTTCATCACTGTCACTACAATAAGATGATGAGTTGGGTAAAATTGGTCCTTGGTATTCAAAGAGCCTTCATGTTGGTTATATTGTTGCCATAAAATAACAAATTTGCCTCCTTAGAATAAGTCAACAATGGGAACCAAATCGACGTTTTAAAAATATCCATTAAAAATATCCATAATATTGTCACTTCACAGGAAGGTAACTATAGTAACTGTTATAAATCCCAAAAATGTACCGTACATATAAGAATTACATTGCAAAACAAGGAGAGACAATTTAAGGAAAGGCATTGGTCATTAAAAAAATCCCACCCATTTTTCCCCTGTTGTTTAATTTTATGCTTGCTTTAAATGTTATTATCGGGAATTGAACTTTTTTTTTAGGTATGGTAATGCTGGTAATGGGTTTGACGTGGAGGAAACTATACTTTGCACCAAGGATAAACTTAAACTAGACCATCTCCTTATAATATTAATGATCAAAATGACAACGTTTTACTATTGGTAGTACAATGTACCTGTCTTGATTAAAATCTGAAGGCTTTCTTTTTGCCCTGGAGTTTAAGATGTTTGCATCTTGGGCTTCTGTCTTCTTCCCTGATGGTGGAGAACTGGTGTGTGTACAGTAACAACTACTGTTTTTCTCAGTGGCATCACTTCCATTTGAGAGTGAGCTGCCATTCGTATCCTGTGAGAAAGTGTGCACAGTAACGTACTTAGAAAAAAAATGACTCTCAGCAGATAACTAAGCAATGGCCAGGGGAGGATGAGGCCCAACTTAAAGCCACTTTTTAGAAGTCCCAGCAGGTTGAATTACAACACCCAGGCCTCAGTACTGATCACCTAAACCTTTCATCACAGAATCAAACATTAAAATAATGGAAACTTCTATGTTTTGTTAGCCTCCCATCCCCTCCAAGAAAGGTTTAACAGCAATCCTACCCTCTGCCCTTTTTCTTTCACACAAATGGGTGTGGTCCAAAAGGTGACTGTACTTGTTTAAACTTGCAAATTGTGACTGAGCGATGTGTTAGTTATGTCAGCCCACCATTGACCTGCTCACCACTGACTTCTCAGTAGCTCAGTGGTTAGAGCATCCAACTAGTGTACAGAAGGTTGTGGGTTTAATTCCCATCTGGAAGTCAGAATTTTTTTCTGTGTTCTTCTCTCCACACATATCATTTCATTTAAAAAAAATTTTGCATAAACAACTAACTCACCTCATCACTTCTAAGGTTATTATCACCTTCTGTGAAGGAAAAAAGTATAAATATTATTGTACCAGTAATTAAAACCAGCTGCAAGGCTGGCTGTAATATTTCCCCTCAAAAGAACAGACTTTTTAAGTACAGCTTTACAACAAGTAACTTTGAGATTACAAGTGTATCTGGAAAATTTGTCATCTAATTTTGCACCTCACATTTTGTTCCAATGCAATCACTGCTCATTACAGGATAGTATGTTTGAATACAGAGCTGTTATTTATCATATCCAAAGTGCTGTATGGACTAGATAAAAAACCAAAAAATAAACAAACCTGAAATGCTATGTGACTTGTGTGCACTACCATACAATGAAGCTCTAAACCAATCTGAAATATTCACATATTTCAATTAAAAAAATAGCTTTCACACTAAAGTACCATACTTTCATTATTATGTGCTAGTTCTTTTAACTGGAGGGGGGGGGGGGGAGGTCGGTCATGAATAACAGTATTTTTGTAAGTTGTGGGTAAAATCCAGGGTTGACAATGAAGAGTGGGCCGGGGGGGGGGGCAAGGGGATAGGGATTCCTTCTGCAACTTTGACCGTGACCCCCGCAGCTCTCAATTCCCTGCCCACTACAACAGTTATTGAGACAAATAAGTAACCAGATTCCTCACTAACCAGTAGTTTACAAAGTTATAAACACAATGCTTAGTTTCATCATACCTGGTGGTTGAACTCTCTCATAATGGTAAGGATTAACACAGACTTTTTCATGTTTTGTGTCATAACCATTCTGACAAAATTCTTTATGTCGCATTTCCATTTTATGCACATCTGGCCATCTCCACAGTCGTGCGTATATAACATGTGGGAAGTCCTTCTTGTCCCCAACTTGTAACCTCCCATCCATTGTCCTTTGAACAGTGACACATTTTGATGGCTGCCGTCCTTTGGAAGTAATAGCTACTATCAAAGAGTCCAGCTCATAAAATTTCTTCTTTAACTTTTTCACCAGGGACTCAATGGCCCTGCGACAAAAGCTCTCAGCATCAGCACCCTGATGTCTAAAGACAGCATGCCAGAGTAAATTACGCACAATGATTGGACAGGGATCAGCAGAACAAGGAATATTGCTGGGTCCCGGTAGAGTGTTACTGGGTCCCGCTTCTAAATATTTTGGTTGATCATATGTAGATGTTGGTTGGGGAGGACTTTCTTTCAAAACAGATAATGCACACTTGTCACAATTTGGTGATGTTGTTTTCACTGAAAGAGTTGTAGCTGAATAAAAAAATAAAATTAAAAATGTTATTATGACAAATAAAGCAGCATATTAATACTGGTTGCACTCACCTGTACTAGGGGACTTAACACAGGATTAAAAGTTATTGTGGCCATGTATTTTTGGTGTACAAGAATGATAAACTGAACTATATAACTTTCTTAATGGAGAGTGATGCCCTAAATCAGCAATACGTAAGGCAACATGCAGTCAGCACTTACACTTACACAATTATTTCAATATCATCTGTTCCAAAAACTATAAAGTAAATTATTAGTCTCCCATGCAGATTATCTGAAGTAAAACTGGCCGCAAATATAGAGAGAAGAGAGAAGTGTTACTGCAATTTAAGATAGGGCGTTTTTCGTGATTTCAAAGAAGATAATTTGCAAAATTCATCAAAAATTACTGCTTAGTCATTACTGCTTAATCATTGTTTACAAAACTTTGAAAATATTCACTGATGATATTCTTTTAGCCATACTTGAACCCTAAAGACACATGTTCTGTGAGAATAATGACTCACTTAGTTGCACCAGGCGACTAGATTATCAGTACTAACATTACTGATAATCACTTTATTTCATTGATACTGGATTGTCTGGTTCACAAATCATAATTTTCACGGATCAGTGGTTGCAAGCTTGTGTTGATAGATTGTATCACTTAATTTCTATTTTAGGCATCAAATACAGAAACGAAAGACACACATCCATTCTCCCTCCAATACTGTAAATAATATTATACTGATTCCAAAAATTTATCAAAGTATTGACAGTATAGGTTTCATTTTTTGACAGAGGTATTCATTGAAACTTCACTCATCACCATACCATCCATCATTCTCTTCATTTCCGCTATAAGACAAAGGTCATTAAATTGCATTATAGGAATACGACTTGCTATGACTTTGCCTAAAATGGACACACCAACTAAGTTTATTTTATTCTAGATTTTGCTTAATTTTGTTTTAGATTTCATAATGATTCTTAACCAGTCAGAAAAACACTCTTACCATTTGTTTTAACCTTTTTTCCTTTTCGGTACATGTGCAATATCTGTTTTATTCATTCATAATTAGACACTGTAAGCTTAGCAAAGGGATTGTTTTGCCTTGAATAGTAATAAGAGAGTTGTTTCGAAGACTATTATTTGCATGCATGCATGTTTTGTATCAAGAATGCCCAATAAATTATGAATAAGCTCACAAGAATGACATCATCATACATAATTTTGATTGTCGGACTCCTAAACACGTGCATGTCTAGTCACAGTCATGTAACTGCTGTCTGGTTGTCTTTAGCTTGCCGATGAGCAAAAGCAGCCAGCAGGATGTACGCTGACGATTTTAAAATCAAGTGAGCACAAAAAGCTTTGACTTTCCCTGTTACAGAAACAATATATTCTTGTACTGGAAATATGCAATCCATGGAAATAAAAAATCAAAGAAAGTAGGCAATAATTATTGCGGAATATTTACATGAATGTTTAACACTTGCCGTGACCACAAGAAGTCAGGACTGATTCCAAGGGACGCTAGATTTACATTAAGACTGGCATAAGATACATTCCATTAATTGTGTTACACTGCAAGTTTTTAATTTGGATTCCCAAAGTTTTGAAAGCCACAACTTTCACAGGATTCCTGTGCTTCAAATCAACACACACGGAAGTGTTAAGAGATCGAGATACACCTACTCCTGTCAAAAAAACATTTGTGGTATTTCATCAAGTGTAAAGCACTACTCAAACATGACCTATAATTTGGATGTTAATCAAGCTTCACTCCTAGCCTTTTTTAAAACGACTAACTTATTTCTTGACATGGCCACTGTTAAACAACATGTTGTAACAAGCTAGCATCAGCTTTATGTTGCTTATATAATTTCCTTCTTTACTTTTTAAGCATATACTAACTGCCTATCAGATCTTTGCAAGAATTGTTCCTTAACTCTGATATGTCTGCCTCAGATTTACGAGTCATATTGAAACAGTGTCAATGAGAAATTAAAAAACTGCACGGACATCCACTAATAAAACTGGCTGGGTAAGAGAGTTAATGGGAGCTACAGACTGCACTTGACAAAGCTTAACTATTTATGTGACAAGGAAACAAAGGAACTGCCTAAACAATCATAAAAAATGATACTATCGCAAAAATGACCAAACTACCAGTAAAATCTTAAGAAAGTAGAGGTCACTTGTCACTTAGTCACAAAAACATAGAACTTCATATAAAATATTGACTAAACAACTCAGTGCTAGGAGGCAAGATCAGATATTGCAAACCTTAATAAGAAAAATACAAATCGAATATATTTAAGGACTGAATGATTTCACAGTATCATGGAGTCTGTGTAGAGACACCATTTACAAAATAATATGTGAGAATGACATACTCAGTCATTATAATCTTCTCAAGAACCAACTCCCTCATATTTTTCTCTATCTAGAAGAGTACAATAAGCCAGAAGAGATTGGAATACCTTTCAGTATTTATTGCAAAAAAAGATAAAAACAAAGGTAAAAATGCTTTGGGTAAAAATATTCATGACTCTATCTGCCACAGTGCCTGCCTGCAGGTAAGTAAACAACATGATATCCTGACCTTCAACCAACCAATATCACCAATAAATGAATTCACTACCCTTGCCAGTGAGCTGAAAACTGAACTTAGATTATACCAAAAACTTTAAAATATTAGAATTGATACAATGAAGTCAAAATTTACATTTCAGTTCTTCTGTTTTCTGAGCTTTTTCTGATCCCCTGGGGTTTAAAGTGGAACGATGTACACAAAAGAAACCGACAGATCAAATCCTTTTAACAATTAGCTGGGCTTTAACATCACGAAATACTATGGAAAGTACATCTGCCTAAAACAAGTTAACTGAGCTTCCAACACGTAATGGCGACGTTTCGTATAGCTCGACCAAAGACGAAATTTTAATTACGTGACAGTATTACAACAAGCAATTTAAATGCATCTGCGTGGCTTTTGTGGTTTTGTTTGTTAAGAGATGAGAAAATATTAATGGGCGGAAAGATTATCACAAATTATACATGTGATATTTCCAAAGCTTCTGTCCTTAAAAAATCAAATTTTGAAAACGTTAAGGTGGGAATTAATAACGATTGAAACAACAGAATTCGCCGCTGAAGCGAATTTATTATCTTCGAACTGTCAAACAATTACAAACAATAAAGGTTGTCAGAAATGGCATTCAAAATTTCAAAAGACTTTCACGCAACAAAACCTGTTCCGCAAAGATCGAGATAGCGTGCGCGTAGCCCGAAAAATAAAAGGCACTAAAGAGATCGCATGAAGGCTGAAAAATTCACGCTATCGTCTAGACAGCCAAGCAGACTGAAATAAAAAATATATTCAAATGAGGTGTTTTTGAATACTAATCAGGCAGCCTGTTTACTTTCTGGCTAATGCACATTCACTGTTCTCAGAGCGTTTTTATTCAAAAAACTTCTTCCAAATGGCGCGCGCGTGTACTCTGACCTCCGAGAAAAACAATTTCACGTCCCAAAATAAATTAGAGCCGAAGCAGACGACATTTCAGACGTTTTCAGACAAGAAACGTTCCAGCCAGACAATGACCACTAACCAACAATAATACTTAAACAAAACCCAGACAAAATAATTCTCTCGCCCCACACGAAATGATCGCCAGTCATTTGACGTGATTCGACGCTCGACACGTCTGAAACCAAGTCTGGAAAACGTTCCCAACAAAATCGCGCAAAAATTCCGGCCAAAAATTCATCTAGATATTAAAAATGCAAAATAGGCGCTTGCTCGTTATCCAAACAATGGCCAAGCTTAGGAAAGCACTGACGTGCCCACTCCCATGAAAGAAATTAGCATTTCGCTTTTTGACATGTTTATCGCTAATGAATTCGTGAGGCGAATTCTGTACCATCGAATAAACGAAATGCTTTAACACAGGGAATTGATCGCAAAGATATTTTTCGTAAAAGGCTCTGGTCGAAGTAGGGATGATAACGTTGTAGGCAAAAAGCTGGAGTGAGACGATGCCGCTCGAAAAAATTGTCCGTGAGTGAATTACGAAAATATCACCCCCGATCGAGCTTTTTAGCTTCCCTTGTGACACAAGCATGAAAACAAACTCATGATAGACAATTCCATGGTAAGAAGGATTAAAGCAAGCCTCAATCATTGTCACATATCAAAGCTCCGGTGTACTTTGTCATCACGTCTGCTATAGGAGCACGTACACGAAATGCGTGCGTTCACTTAGTCCCTTAGGCCAGCTACATGACATCATCACACAATTGACCCAGCGCACAAACCTTCTGAAACAAAACTAAAAAGCTTACCTGCCGGACTGCGGATTCTTTCATAATGGTACGGATTGACACAAACACTTTCATACTTAAGGTCATAGCCGTATCGGCAAAAGTCCAAATGTTTCATCTCCATTTTTTGAATGTCGGGCCATCGCCACAGTCGAGCGTAAATCACATGTGGAAAGCCCTTGCGCTCGCACACTTGAAGTCTGCCGTCCAAAGTTCTCTGAATCGTGACACATTTCGATGATTTAGAGCCTTTAGTCGTAATGGCAGTGATCAAAGAGTCTAGCTCTTCGGATTTTTTTCTCAGCTTCTTTACTAACGACTCAATGGCTCTCTTTGCGAATTTCTCAGTTTCGCCTCCCTGGCGATGGCAAGTTGTATGACACATTAAGTTCAAAACGATGCTTAGGTTTGCATCGGCAGAGCTCGGTCCTCGTTTCGGGGAAGCCGATTGCACTAAGCTTTTTTCCATTCCGCAGACCTTCTTTAGTCCTCATTTCATCATCGATAGTTCAAAATTTCAAGAAGGATTGCTCCGCCAAACAACCATCTATGTTCCTTCCCAAACAAACTCCATATGCGCAGAACAGTGTGAAGATTCAACCAGTAGTGTCATGTCATAGCAAGTACCTCGTCCAATAGCAACTCACAAAAAACGATAGCAATTAATCCTAAAACACGCGTTCTTGTCAATCACTTTGATTGACACGACAAGATAAACAATGGCTAAAGACACGAAAGGCCCTTGCCAGAACTAAATGGTGATGAATATTTGTACACGTTATGTGCTTTTCTGTCCATCTTCCGTCTTTTATGAGCTAGGACACGTTTTACGAAAGATTACGTCGCTTAAGTTCCGGCCCAAGATCTCTATATAATAGTTAACTTTCCCGTCAGAAAGATGTAAAAAGTGGAAATTGTACTCTCTTTAAACATATTAAGTTTCGCCAAGAATAACGTTTTCAAAGCGCTCATAAAAAAGCCAGAAGAAATACATCGATCATTTTTTTCACTTAAGAGATCATCAACCTGTCACATCAGAGAGCACGTATAAGCACACCCACGCATCCCTAGGAAACAAAACTGAATTCATGAAAAGCTGAACGTGCAGTTAAAATTTACGCATTGCAAAATTATGTAACTTAGCAGAGAAGAACTAAATAGAATACATACCAAATAAAACAATTACTTGATTTCCATATATTTTAATAGGTGCCATTGGCGTATTTACATAAAGAAAAAAAAAGAAATTCGCAACTTTCCCTCCAAATTTCAGTCATCACGCGCCAAACTTTCTAGATTATTTCCTCTTTTGGAACAAAACAAAAATAAGGTAGACCTTCATGCAATTAATTAAAAGCACTATTTTTGGTAGAACGATAAAACAGAGGAACATAACGCCTGCACCCTCGACGGTCACGCGACGACAAGTAGTGTCCCCAGATGTTGTCTGAAATCAGTCGTTGACTTCTTTTAGGTTTTTTACGCTTCCGTTTGTAACGTCTAGCCGGCCAATTTTTTGTCTGTCTGGAATTTCGAGGATGTCTGTAATCGAATCGGCCATGTTGTTTCGTCGGGCTCTGTGGGATATCTTGATGCATTTTATCTTCTTAATTTTGCCAAAAACAGCTAGGTTGAGTGAAGGAAAATTGTTAGCGGACGCAACTGGGGATGATTGCGGAAGGCATTTACCGCGAAAAGTCGACGTTTTCACTCATATATTATAAAATATATTTTTTCGTATTTTTGGAATTAACATTTACATGGCTCACCCACTAGCAACTATTTCTACAAGCATTATAATGAATTTGTTCTCAACAAAAATGCTCCACGCAAGCATACACATTTTACTTTGACGAGCAGTACACAAATATGGGGACTAAATTGTAATGTTTTAACCACGTACACCGGAAGTAAGCATTTCCGCTCACATAGCTTTGTCCATTGAAGACAATCCACAAGGAGTCAACTGGTGGCCTCTGGTCGCCTCTTGTATGTTAATGTTTCCAAACTTCGCTTTGTTTCTAAGACAAAACAAATCACCATTTGCAAATGCTTGGAATTTTCTTTGATAAGAAAGAGAAAAAAAGTCCAACCTGCATGAATATAACCCTAACCTATTAAATAAAACCTTTCGGAAAGCAGATCATATCCTTTTGGTTCAGTATTTAGTCGTCGATTTTTCTAGGGAAACGGAGGGCTAGCACCAGAAGGCAGAACTATCAATATAGAAGGTTTTTTTTGTTGCATTTTGCTTCTTCACAATGAAAAACAAAAACAACCGAAACTGAAAAAAGAAAGAAAAACAGGTCCCAAGTTTGCCCAGCATTGTTTCTGAAAAACGAGGACTGTTGTCGGTAAAACCCGTTTCAAGAGCTGGTATCTTTCGTGACTTGAAAAAAGCAACACCAAAAGAAAAATGAAAACCTGCCGTAAATATTTCACTCAACCAATAAACAGAACACAGCAACAATAGCTCAGAACAATTGTAACAACCAATAGCCGAAGCAATAGTAAATTAATTTAATCTCACGGACGGTTAATTCTGACATTCCGCGAACCAATTTTCGATTCTTTGAAGAATAACTATTCAATTTAGAGAAATGCGTCCGACGCATGAGAAACCTGCGTCAGATTGTGACACGGTTGAGAACTTCGCAAAAGAACATATTTTACAACCAGCTGGCTTCAAGCTACGTACTCAAATATACACATAATGACGCCTACAATTGAAATCACAAGACAGTTTTCCACTTCTTGTAAAAAAAAATCGCTGAAATAGAATTTTTTCCTCCTTCTTCTTCGCATTCCAATTTCTAGATGTATTTCCTAAGTGCTTTACATTATTTGGAGAGATTCTTGCGTGTTTTTGCTCAATGCCCCGTGTGCAGGTGCCACCGATACAAAACAATCAAAGAGGGTTTGAAGAGCCACGATAAAAGTTTGATGGGTAAGGCCATGGACACGTTATGTAAAAGTTTAAACTGAATTGAAACAACGAGGACCAAAATTATTTCATTTTAAGCACAATGCCGTCCATAGTCAGTACGGGAAAGCTGTTGATATGTATCTAGAGAGTTGATACATCCTCCCTTCTTATTTAAATCCGTTTCGCATTCTGTACAAGGTTAATTTGGCCAGCCGGCTCCTCTGCGTTTGAAAAACCAAATGCATTCATTTAAAGTGTTATTACCGCCATGAAAACGTAAAAAACGTATGGAGATAACGTACGGCGAAATATGTGCTAAGTAGCTAATCTTTAATAGTTTTTTCGTTGGTCCAAAAATTAGCACAAATAAGATGGGTGTTTTGCTCCTCTCCGCTTTCAAAATAGATTATATCGCGACAACTTGTATGGCGCCAAGTAACTAAACAAGGGGCATGTATTGCTTGAGCGAGCATTCAAGCATCCGCTCTTTATTGATGTTGGACGCTTTTACAAGCTACTGTGCATTGTTTTTTGGCACCCAATACAGCATGACAGTTGATATCCTCGATTACGCTTTTCAAATGAACAGAATATTTTAGCACTTTTTCATGGTTAACTTCGCGCACGGACGATTTTATTCCTCTTATTAGAAACAATTTTGTGGTCTTGAGATAACAAGCCATTTCACAATAGCGGAAAGCGCATTATGTACCTAAACATCGTTTCAAGCCCTAGTGAATTTAGTTTTGCATATTATGTAAAAGAGATTCAACGCCGGTGTCAGTACAGGACATAACAAATTGCCGTGGCAAAATGCAAGGGGAAAACACAGCAAGATTTTCCATACATAACATCACCAAAAGCCCAAATCAAGTTAGAGTAAATAAAACGCTTTGCAAAGCCGCTAACATCACGATATATGAAACCAAGGTTTTTCCGTATTACACAAAACACACAAAATACGCTCTCCAAGCAAATTTTATTTATTCTCCATATTCAATGATAAAACCTCACTTCAAGCAATAAAGCATTAGTATATACACTACATTTGATGAGCCACGCACTTAATATTACAAGGGCGTGTAAAATTTGTAAAAATTATGGATCGATTTGGGATTATTCGGACTTTTGACTGTGAACCTAAATAAACAAAAATGCACAGGGAAAAAAAAACAAACAAACCTAGCGATTCCTGTATTTCGGATGGCATATAGCTATTCCTGCATGAAATGTCTGACATGACAAATTCACTTCTGCGAATTGAAAAAGCGAACTAAAACATGATTAATTATATATCATACAATATTATATTTTCCGTTGTCCTTAGGTGTATAAAGAAAATTCTGGATTTGTACCTGCCAAAAGTTGTAGAACATTCACGTTAAATAAATAACGATTAAATAAATTTCGATGAAAATTGCTCCACATTCAGTTCCTCAGTTCATCCATTTTCGGCAGTTAGGAGCACCACACAAGCATGGAATTTTATTTTCTTCATCCTCAAAGTCGAACTTGTAGTCATAAGTGAGCTGTAAGAAAATGAAGATGTGTAAGTTTTGGCTTCATATGATATGGAAAGGGGTGGAAAAAGGCGGAGGTAGTAAGCCAGACCAAGAGAGAATAATCTATTTTGACCGGATCGATGCCTAAGAGATTTAAAGGCTCTTCAGTCTTGTTCAAACAATGTAATTTGTTTATCGACCGTCCTAATACAGCAGTTCCCAAGAACGCGTTTAACAACCTTTTAAACGTCCAGATCGAATGGAATTTGAAAATTTGTAGTTTGTTGGTATTGTGAAAGGTTCCATAGGACAAGTGATGTAACAAAAGATTTAAAAAAAAAAAAAAAAAAAAAAAAACGGAAAAAAAGAAAAAAAAAAAAAAAAAAAAAAAAAAAAAAAAAAAAAAAAAAAAAAAAAAAAAAAGAAGGAAAAAAAAAACGCAAAAACCAAAAGACGCACGAAACAGGACACAATATCACAAATACTCGCCTTAAAAACGCCCTAGCACATTACCATTGACGTCACGGAGCACAACCACACAGAGCTAGACAGAAAACGAAGTCTTGACTATACGTGTANATGAAGGTAAATTTTGTCACTTAACAGTGTTGGATAAAGACTGGGGGGAGGGGAGAGAGGGGCGAAAAGACCTTCGTCACCCCTTTTTCCGCTGCACCAGGCCCCGGTTGTTCAAACGTTGGATAGCACTATACCCACTGGATAAATCACTATCGAGCTGATAAGTGTTAAGGTTGATTTCCACTGACGCGTTTTTAGCTACACACGTTAACGCACGTAAATAAAATAAAAGCAAGATAAAAAAAAAGTGGTGAGCTTAAACGAGACGTTGAGCGAGGTTCAACTTTTACGCTTACGAGAGATCTTTCATGCATTGCCTCTATTTTATTTGTGACCGTAAATTTTACGCACGTACGCACATAAAAATTACGCGACACTGGAAATCAACCCTTAAGGAAACCAACTGCGTCGTCCACTGGACAGAGATTCATCCAGTGGATAGCGTAATCCACCTTTTGAACAACTGCGGCCAGGCCACAAAAGGCTGTACTAGTTTCTATAAACTTCGAGCCCCCAACACAGCGCCTTTTCACTTGCGACTGCAAAGACCACCTGACCTCACGGGAACAAGTAAGAATTGTCGCGGAATACTTACACTACATGAATGGTTAATATATCGCGCTGGTCCTCCAGCCATTGTGGCATCAATAACGGCATCAGAGTCAATTCTAAACATGTACACGCCGCGATTCTACAACAACGGAAAAAGGAAAAACTGGTCAGTATTTCCATCTCAAGTTTCCTTGCGGCCGACTGCTTAACACGTCAGTAGTGCAATACACCGCCATCAACAGACTATAAAAACCCAATCGCTTTAACGAGGTGGTCGTGTTCAAAAGGTTTTCAAGAAAGAAAATAACCGAGTGTTGGTATGATTGGGACTAAATAATAGTAAAGGTCGTAATAACGGAGTTCTTGTCAGGCGGGGCTTGCATACGAACACTCAGTTTTTTGCTCAATCACCTCGTTAATAGAAGGGGAACTTACTGTCCGGCGGAGAGTGGTCGTATTAAAGGCGCCTTACTCTAAATCCTTTTAAGAAGATCTTGGTTTCGGTTTTATATCAAGAATCTTATACTTTCGACATTAGCTTGATCTTTTCATTCCTGTACGAATACCTTATTGCTACTCACTGGTACAAATATCTTACTGGTACTAATTTTCGCAGGGTCTTCAATTTCACGTTCCTTGATTGTAAAAAAATCGCGAAATTAAAGGTACGCGAATAAAAATCCTCGCTAAATTTAATACCCATAAAATGACCGAAAAAAAATGATTAACATGTAACATAACAACAACTGAACATACACAGCATATGTATCGACAAACACACAAATCAGTGCGGGTTAGTTTCATTTTGCATCTTCCGTTGTGAAATAACGTTAACACATTTAAAGTTAATTTTCCAAATACGCGTTTTGCTTCTTCGTGTATTAAGAGTTCCTTTTTAAACATGCATTTTTGTTTTTCAAGTTTAGAGAGAAATTTTAAAAGTTCAGACTTTTTGCAAACTAAAACGAAGTTGAGTGAGAACGTTTGAATCGCGATATTTAAAGCCTTTTATACATAGTTGCCCAATTGAGATGGCCCAAAAAATATAATCCCGCGAAATAATATACGCGAAATTAAGTAAAAATGGGGTATTTAGATATGGGGGCGGGCGGGGGGGAGGGGGGGGTTGGCGTATTTTGGCTAGGAGATTGGATGTTAAGTTTAGGCCTGTCTGTATCAGATATAAAGATACTCATTAAACGCTTGATTCTTTTGCTTTTTCTTGGCGAGTTTCTTGACTGAGTTTTCCATGAACTCACGTTTGAGATTTACCAGTTGCGCAATGACCATAGAAATCTTGATGGCAAAAAGACACACTCACAAACATTGGAATTAAAAACGTTTTCGCGCAAACGTTACCTGCTTCTCGTAGATTTGCTCTCTTCTGTTGGCCACTTCGTTTCGTATGATAGAGCCAATGTACTCGATGACCATACTTCCCTGTTGACACGACCAAAAAAGGAACAACATCGACATAAGCGACCTTAACATTGGATTTAGCACAAGTAGCAGTTGTCAAACCAAATTCGTGTGCCTCAATCTCATCCTGAACGTTCATTTTTGTGCTTGTCATATAGTTATAGTTCACGAGATAAAATTAGCCCAAAATTCTTAACTCTTACTTGTACTCGACGACTAACCTAAAGGTCGCTATTAACAAACAGCCACAACAACAGTGTACTAGTGTAAGTTGTGTTATGGTCTGTTTACAAGGAAAGAGGGTACCCACATATTTTCCGGGATTGCCCGCGGGTTTACACGACGTAGATCGAGTTACCCTGAGGAGAGGATCACACTACACTAGACCCTAGACTGTCTGGTTACACTGAGCAAGATGACTTTTCTTGTCCTCAAGTTGTCTCACTTGTGATTGGGTGAAAAGCACATAAGACATTCTTTTCACGTTCTGGGAGGGTTGCCTTCCTTCCACGTTAACAGGTGCTAATAAGGATCGCAAGTCAAGGGCTGCAAAGTACCTAAATCGCTATGACGAAAAAACATCTTAACTCACCCCTTCCATGTCCTTGTTCGCAAAAAGTCCCAAGCCCTGCAAACAAACGAAACTTAATATTCAAAGACGCGACATTACTACGCCGATTTTTATTTCAAACCATCTTAAAACTTGCCCTCACAAGAAAATGCCCCCGTGAGGAATAAAACATTTAGACTGAAGATGTGCTGTGTTTAAGCAAGCAGTTGCCTTGTTTTCTAAGAGGCCCAACATAATATTCTGTGAAGGTATCCGGGGCCCCAAACTAGCAAACAAACTTTCATTAACAGTGATTCGGAATATCAAAGCACTTACTTGAATGTTGGATCTTCCCAAGAAGACGTTGTTTTTCCACTCGGTTTTTAGCTTGCGGTATTGCGCAGCTTTGGAGAATACGAACTGTTTAAGATACAGACCAGATGACTCGTCGGCGATTCCGGAACTGACCGTGGCTGCAGGGGATACGGCGGTGCCAGAACTGGTAGCAGACCGAAGGGCGCGAGCTCTGTGGACAAAAGTAATGATAACATTGATTATAACCTTCCATACACTAGTTCTCGCTGAAGAGGGTGGGGGAGAGGTGCGACTTTCCCGCAGGTTTTCCCATGGGCACAACCGGCGGGCAACCAACATTTGCCGGTTGGCCTGCCAGACTGTTACGGGATGGAAAAATTCAGCGACAGCTTGCTCGTCTCACAATGCCTTAGCAGTCCAAGTACCTACTGTACGAAGTGCGATGAGGGTTACGATGAAGCGCGACAAATCAAGTTACCTAAGCCTTGTATTACTTTCATCGACTTTATAACCTAACGCCGAGATGGCGATTTTGTCTTCAAAAGGTTAGACTTGAGGCAAAAAAAAAAGCGACACCGGGTACGATATTCATAATAAAGTTGTACAGAACACGAATAACAAAGCTTGCGACACACACCTTCCACTCCTGAAATGTGTTCTCAATAGCGGCTCTGACCTGGCACTACCGGTTGGATTTACCGCTAACGGCAGCTCCATTATGGGTGACGGGCCATAACGCATATTGTATCCTTGCATTTGGTCTACACCAGGCATCTAAAACCAGGAAAAAACAAATAAGCGGTTCACAGCAGGCTTGGCACTAACTAAGAATCTAGCAGTAGTGAACGACCAGGAAGACACGTACCGACTCGATAATCCTCAGTACAAATTGCTCTGATAACCCAAACAAATCCTGCGAAATAAGACAAAATAATTAATAACAGTAAATGACCTCTTCCACAACACTGCAAAATGTTTAAGTACCAACCTAATGGGGTTGAACAATAATTGAAACAGCAGGTTTAATTCAAAAGAACGGGTTAAAAATCCCCAAGGCGGGATAGAAAAAGCAGGGTTGAGCGATAAAATTCAGGACAAGCGAGGGACAATTTCTGGTAGAGCCTCTGGCCAGGTCGAGATCTGAACCAGATTACAAGAACAACAAGTAGTTAACCCATCAGTGATGAAACGTAAGAACTCTTCCACTTACCTCTCCTGAGATGTATTCTGGGAACAAGTTGACGAGCCCCTTCTCCTTCCTCATTTTCAAAATGGGAATGAGAATCTGTTGCCAGACATCTGTTGAGAAGAAACGACAAAGTGTAATAAAATTGTTAATCGACCCTAACTATATATAACTCCTTTAATGTAACCCATCCATTTTAACACTGACATGGATATTACAGTCGCACACCTCTTTAACGTATATATCCCTTAAACGGACAGGATCTTGGAGAGAATTCAGTATACTACCAACTGAAAAAATAACATGTTAACTCGCTGAATGAGCGTAGATCTGTGGTCTGGAAGGTCCCCATTTCGAACCCTGGCGCCGGGACCATTAACCAGGGTATTTTACAAAAACTGGTCAGATCATGCCGGCTTGGATGAAGACCTTGTCGTATTTCAAATGATCTTGTCATTGGGCGGTAACATCAAGCCGTTAGCCTTGTCTGATTTTTTTAACACTATTATTACTACTTTTGGCATGATAATAAATCTTTATCGTAGATACAAGGTAGAGTGCTTGTTGCAAGTTGTTATAGTTTTGGTTGCTGTTTTTTTGTTTGTTTGTTCTTCATTTGTGTTTTTTTCCTTTTCTCCTTCATTCTTCCTTATCAACGCACAGGGGACGTAAAAGAGCCCTAACCCCCCAAAATACTGTTCTAAGAAAGAAAGGGACGTGGTTATATTCAGCGTCTAAATTTAAGTAATAACTGAAAATCGCATTTCGTTGTGTCAGTTGCATTATCTGACACAAGTCTGACACAAGTCACTTCTAACTTCTTCATAGCACGCTCTGCTTACCTCTTGGCGATTTTCCCCGAAAGATAAGTTGTTCTTTTTGCTCGTCGTCCTCCACTCTGATGGTAAAACTCGGGATACCCTCTGCATCCTCAACCATACAATGATATTTACAGCGGCGGTTCACAGAGTGCATACTCCAGTAGAAACGGATTGTCTTGAAGCCAACCTGATACACCAAGAAACAATCCAGTAAAGAAGAAAACCGCGTCTTCAAAAAATAATTTAAAGAAACTTTAAAATGCACCTTGCAAGGACAAATTGTTTCTAAAACAAATGAGATGACGTCACGTCGATGTTTAAAGAATGGATGTCGTGTAATAAATTAGTACAAGTTTAATGTAAAAACCACATGAGAAGAGCCGCTTGTAAACTTTTGCACGACTCCAACATTCATATCTGGAAACATTTATGAATAGTTCTGTTTATTCTTGGTGACCCAGAGGCAGCCAATCACTTCTGATTGGCCAAAGAGTCAAAAGGGAAGTATTCAAATGTTTCTTGGTGTCAAAATGCTCTTCCGTTGATCTTATAGTATCCCGTCTTGCTTAGCTGTCCCTGGGTCTTCGAGAGCGAGTTGCGCTGTTCTTGAATAGACAATTGAAATAAAACTTAGCTATAGTTTCTCGTTTATCACTAAGAGAAAGACTGTCCGAGACTACACGCTGGGTTCTATTATCCGTTACTTAGTTTCTATTATCCGTTATTTAGTTTCTAAAATACATGTGTGCATTGGAATGCATGTCTAGCCGAAAACATATACACAGGTTAACGCCTTCGACACCCGTGTTTCCCTAATATCGCTCACTAAGCGCAGTTCAGCTTGGATGAAACCAGTGACTTAAACAAAACAACTGCACGCATGGGAGATTACCGGATAGACGGAGTCTCTGCTGTGAAATGACTGCAGTTGATGTGGCAGAAGCTGTCCCAAGGACCTCACTACCAGGCTTCCAACTCGTAACGTCTGAGGTTTATCGTTGGTTTCCTGATTGTGACGTAACATACTGGCGGCGGAAAAATGTTCAGTGGTTAGCAACAAAAAACGTGCCACAGCGAAAGAAAGAAAGAAAGTGCAAAAAAGTTATTAACCTTGCGATCTGCTGAATCTCGTCTCTGTTGACATAAACCTTCCGATAAACAGCATACGATGATAGAATCAGATCCGTCATTCCAGGGGTATCTGGTCTGTGCTCATGACACAACATCGTCTGAAAAAACAAGGAACACCAACAGTTCAGAGTTTACCAGCAAATTATTTTAGTCCTGTAATTATGCAAATTCGACGCGGTTTGTGACAAAGTTTACCTTGTCCTTGAAGAACACACAGCCATGAGTGATCGCACAATTAAAGTGAAAATTGTTTGGACAGCCAATCTTGGACAAGCCGATCTTCTGATTACATGACACGGTAGCACCTCTTTTCAAACACACCACACAGTTCTGCGAGAAGGAAACAATTTGAAAAAACTGATTAACTTTATGGGTAAATTCACTTGGTGAAGAGAAAAGAGTTCATCAGATATATAGTTTCATCACAGGTCCTTATCCTACCGTTACAGTTCCTCTTTTAACAGCTACATCCACGTTCATGAGAGCGCCGTTTAACGTTTCGTAAACTTCCAGTGACCAAAGCGCACAGTTGAGATGAACCCAAACATCCACATCGAGATTCAGCAGACTGCAAATAAACCAACCACAAACAAGTTTGAAACCACAAGAGTTGATAAGGACTTTATATTGGAGCTAACATTCACTACCCTACGATGGGTTTTTGTTTGTTTTTCTTCAGTGATAGGTGTCATAATAACAAGTAAGGGCTAGCCTACGTGGTTGGCGCCGGTTATTTTTTGGGTTATTTCAATCGGGCGCGCGAGGGGAACACGCCTCTTCTTCCGCGTGCGCGCGCGTCCTGGAATTTTTTCCTTCAGCACAAAAATGGCGCAGGCTAGTAAAAACAAGTAACTGGACAACCCAAGCAAAATGGATTGCCGGACTGCCCAAGCGTTCCGAAGTTTGTAGATGGGTAACGTGATTTTTGCCACACTCTTTTTAAACTCGTGATCAAAAATTCCTTCGGCCAAGACATTTTCCTTCCTAATTTTTTTTTGAGCATCGTCTGCATAGCGGATACTAAATAATTAGCGGCTTCTATCGATACAATGTCTTTTTGTTACCTAGGCTCCTGACCTTGGCTTGGAACTCTCCCCTATGGCATTAAATTAGCCTTGTTTTGGCTACTATCCACCTTACTTTTTTCATCGGAAGTTTAATATTTGTTTATGTGATCAAGGGGGTGTGTTTTGGTTTTCTGAGTTGAGCAATGTCTGGATTCTTCTTTTTTTGCACGGCATGTGTTCCAAACAGGCTATAATTTAAGTATTTATCCTAGTGTGCTATTGTGGGTAAACAGCTATAAGTTGAAACAGTAGTTAATCAATAATTATAACAATAATAACAATAATAATAATAATAATAATTGAATATTTATCCAGGATAACCCTTCCGAGTACCAAGTACTGTTATCAAAGGGAAGTAGCGAGTTGAAAACAGTCGGTTAATGGATAGTTGAACCGGCTGAAAAGGCTAACGAAATGTTGTATAGGGTCTTGGTACAGATCAGTGAACCTGAGATTCTGCTCCAGAATTTCAAAGTAAATAATGCAAAGACAAATTAGTCAAATACCGTAAATTGCCGCTTATTAGCCCTGGGTTAATAGGAGGTCCTTAAAACTGAGGGGGCTTATATAAACCAGATAAGAAAAATCGCTTCGAAACAAGCTATTGCAGTGCTGATAAAAACACGTTTTTCATTTACTGATTTTGAATCAAGCTTAAAAGCTAGGAGTCTATAACTGGATGTATTTTTTTGTTTAGTAGTAGTTTACAGTATACGAGATAGCTCGTGTAGGAGTCCTTTTCCCAGGATAGATGTTGTACTGACCGAGCTGAAGCGTTGTTGTCTCCATCGCCTGTCTCACCACACAAAGTACAAGACCTCTTGTCATCTGGCAGATCAGCACAGGGCTTCAACGCGCCATGTTTTCCTAGAAGCTAAGAAAAGACGTGACAGTTACAAATCAATCTCTGATGATTGTACGTCAACAGGAACGAAAAAAGGTCACTAGTTTTGTACAGCAACCAAAAGTGGACGGCTTGCTTCAAAGAATTACACATCGTGTCAAATTACTTTTAAATGCTTCTAGTTAGAATTTGCTTAAAAAACGCAAGGGAGGGAGGGGTTAGAAAACGTAAAAAACAGAAGGACAACTTCCTCTCCTCTACCGTCCACTTCGTCCTTCCAGCCTTAAACCCACCCCTTTGACTGCAGCATTTACTCAGATGTCTAGAAATCAGAATGGCGATTACACACCACTGTACGGAATACCAAACCTTAGAATACCGGAACTCTGGGCTGTTCCAGGTCTTAGCTCATGTTGTTACACACCGGTAACACTGTATTAGCTTCACGTACCTCCGTTATCTCTTCAGCTGAAAGTTCTAATCGTTGCTTGTTGACACCTTTTGCCGCTTCATTCTGCTGCCATCTTTTCCATTGTAACCGACGCTGACGTTTGCAACTATTTCCCTAAAGACAGAGAGTAACGATGTTCTAACATCTGTTCAACTTGACACATTAACGCTAGAAATGAAAACATCCCTAGATAATAAAAGTAAGATATAAGATACCAAATATGCTTCAGTTATTGTGGAAAGTCTCGAAGCGAGTGCAAAACGTCGTTCAAACAACACACACAATCCCTTTAATTGCAAAGTCCCTTAAAATAAAGGTCTTAAAGATGTTAACGAGACCAACGACAAAAAGAAAATGTAGCCTGAGAAGACAGCCGACATTTTACGACGCCACTACTGGTTTCCCCGCCAAATGACGTCTGAGAAACGAGCGCAGAAATTCCATACTGATGACACGTCACTACCCAGATCTGGGTAGTGCTTCTGATTGGTCGTGTCGCGAGGGAAATTTGCTTTAACCAATCACAAGCACTACCCAGATCTGGGTAATGACGCGTATTAAGTATGGAATTTCTACGCTCGTTTCTCAAGACGTCATTTGGCGGGGAAACCAGTGGTAGCGTCGCCAAATGTCGGCTGTTTTCTCAGGCTACACGAAAATGTAAATGTCCCCAAGTGTAGAACATGCCAATGTGGGCTTCTCCAGATGCAAAAAGTATCCCTAAAGTACGCCTCTACGACAGACTTGGTCTAACAGTTTGTTTGTTTTTTTGGTAGTGTATTTTATAAATTTTTATTCATGAATTTCTAGAGTTTACACACAAAAAGAAAAGCTAGAGAGGCTACAAAGGTGTCTGCCTCACAAACAGTCAAAGAAAATGACTGAAGAAGGCAGGTACCAAACATAGTATACCTTGACAAAGACATGTCAGATAATCTAAAAGACAGCCAAGCACTTCTCACAACTTCATGGTGAAGTACAAAATGACATCAGATTAAAATTGTTGGCAACATGTCAGGTTCTTATTCATATGAGAGCCCCCACCCCCGCCCATCATAAAACCACGCACTTTCTCCTTGTTATTTGGTGGCCTGATGATGGTTTAAAGAAAAGCAACATCTTTCAAATACTTGTGATCTGATCTCTGGGTGTGTTTCACTATAGAAATTCGGATCATCCTTTCTGCTATACCTCTCACAATGTCTTGAATCATTCTTTTTTACAGAAGCTTCAAATTGTCCATCGTAATGAGTAGTGTTTTCACTAAATAAATGTTGTACACGGTATACGTGGATAAACGGAAAACAAAAATGTTCTTGGTCATGGTATATCAAATAAAAACGAAACAGAGTAAAGAGGAAAAAAAAACAAACTAACCTGGTCATCTCGGTCTTCTTCCTTCCAAGAAGGACTTCGCAGTTTCCGTAAAGATGTCGGCGATAATCCATCCGCTACGACTCCTCCCCGACAATCAACTCCATTAACTGTTGTCACGTTACCGGATCCGACACTCGTTTGACCCACAGATGTAACAGACATATCCGAATGAGACGGCAAGGCCCTGAGCCCTGATTTACAGTCTTGCGTTAGTGACGAACATTCAGAAACAACATGCGCGAAATATTGCTTCAAGCAAGCTTCCGAGCAAAATATGTCCCCTGTACAGTCCCCTGCTTCCACACTAACTCTGTAGATTTTATAATCTGCGTTGTCCTTGGCTGTTTCATTTGAATTCACTGTGTCTAGTCCCTGTACCGTTTCTTCATCGTCTGGTTTACGTTTCATACCAATACCTATTACTAAAACATCACAGTGGCGACAGTACGGACCTTCTGGCCTTTTGACCGAGCATTTTTCCTCGCTAGATGAGAGGTTTACTTGAGAACTTGGAAAAGGTGATTTCTGATAAATATCCGATGAAGTGTGAGCCATAGGAGCTGCTATTGAACTACTGCCGAGTTTGTTAGTAGGTTTTAAGAAACCACTGGAAGGTACAGTATTTCCAGCCGGCTCAATAACAATGTCCGAGCGTCGGGGAGGAGAACAGCCTATCAATGCAGCGACTGACGCCACAGTGTCTGTGACCCTTTGGTCTGATGTTGGCGACAATGTCAATGACACGTGAATATTGTCCAAATCATCAGCATCATTCTCTGCTCTAGGCCCACAGCAAGTAGTCTCACCAAAATGAGTATCCGAAATACTCCTACAGGAATCGTTAAAAGACGGGCATATACCATTTTGTAAGACGTGTTCCACTTTCTCGCGTTTTATTGTCACTGCTGGAAACGTTGGCGAGTCTGTACTGTCACGATGTAATAAAGCTGAGAACTTAGGAGTCTGCATTCTATTGAGTGCATCGGACTCCGGAGATGAAGAAGCAATGTACTGAACTGTTTCAGGTGACGAAGACGAAGAATTACTATTGGATTCTTTACCGTTTGATTCAGACCTTATAAGGAGAAGTTGTTTCCCAGATGATTGTGCGTCAGCGATTCGATCGTTCACAGACGACGCTGCCGAATCGGACAAAGGAGGAGTAGGCATTGATGGAGGAACACTAACGCCCCCTCTCGCAGAATCCAAAACTGCCATGTACCGCGCCCGTTTGGATGGCCGCTCACTATCCGAACCGTGTGCCTTGTTAGAAGCAAGCAGTTCAGCGCGTTCAGAATGCTCAGGCGAAACGTCGCCATTTACAAGAGGCTTTTCATTGGAATCGTTCTTATGCTGATGCACCCCTGGGGAGGGTGGCAGAGACGAGGGTGGGGTCGGCGGATGTCCCAACACAACATCCACCCCAGATATTGGAAACTGTGAATAAAAGTCAACCATTCCATCTATTTTTGCTGAACCAAAGTTTCCTTTCAAAGGACACTGCCCGTTAAAAGGCCTGCTTCCGTACGGATGTGTCAAGGCATGAGTCAAAAGCAACTTGGGTTCGCAGAGAGAAAGAGGAGTCCCCGGCTTGACTTCTTTGTGAGAGTTGTTAACAGTGGAGATCGTCAAGGATATAGCAGTGTTAGCAACTTCTGTTTTCTGCTTGCTCCGGCTGCTGGGATTCATATAAATACGTTGCCGTTTCCTCTGCTGTCTGATCATTTGTTTTTCTATGCGAAGTTGTTGCTGAAGTGCTCGTTTTTTCTTCTGTTGTTCCTCGTACTCGCGCTTCTTTCGCTCGTACTCCTGTCTTTTCAGCTCCTGCCACTGCTTTTTAATGGGGTCTTCCTCCTTTGTAGAGGTTTTCTTCTTTGCTACTGCATCTGATAATCCATGCTGGTTTTTCGGTCGACTCGATTGTTTTGATGCCTTAGCAGGCTTCTCACGCTGAACTGGACGAGCAGAAAGTGTTGCTGTTGGTTCTTGTACTGGATCAGCCGTGTAGTATTTCTTAGTGTCGGAGATTTGATCCACAGTTTCATGTACAGCTTCTGGTACAATACAACTACTCATATTTGTAGCATTTTGCTGAGGAAAAGCTACACATACATCCCTGCCGCTTCCAAAAGGAGCTTCGCCTAGCGTCTGCTGATGGTTTTTACATTCTTGAACAATCAAGTCTTTGCCATTTACGCTATTTAGCAGCTCGTTTACTGAAGGTCCAACACTTGACGTAATAGATACAGGGACGGCACTTTCCGGAGGACGGATGCCTTCGGAGGCAGCACTCCCAATTGACACAGATTCTGTTGTTCCAATACTTTGCTCTAGTTCTCTGTGAGTGCCTTTATTTTCATGAGGTCCTTGATTACCAACTGCATCAAGTGAACCTAATTCTTGCATTGAACCTTCATTCCTAATTGCTACAGTATCCTCGATAACTTCTTGCTTACACTGATCTCTACTTTGATCGCTGACGTTTCTACCATGATCAACCACCTCGATAGCATCTTCTTTAGAATCAATAACAGGAGTAGCAACATCAGGAGTTAGAGATGGTTCGATAGAAGGTGTCAGCAAAATCTCTTTTTTACTTCGCTCTTCGCTTTCAGTTTTACCCATAGACTCGTCACTACATTTCTTTTCTACTTGAGGTGTTTCGCTACACGAAACGTCCGCGAAAAACTTCTGCCGCTCTTTTCTTTTTTCAGGCTCCTCAAACAACGGCGAAATGAGACTCTCTTCATGACACTCAAGAGACGCCACAGAGTTAGCCTGAGATCCATTGCCCACAGTTTTATTAGGTGAGAGTAAGCTTCTTTCGAATGGAGTGTCTTCTATAAAATCTCTTTCGTATATCTTGTCCATTTCAGGATCATATTCATTCTCATCCAGCAGTCTTTCCAATTCAGACTGCTTCTCCAGCTCTTTACATGCTTCTTCCTCATTTGCCATGTCTGCAACCATAGACTCCAACCTTTGCAGTGCTTCTAGCCCCGTACCTTTGCATGCCCCTTTACTCTTCTCAGCAGACTCAGACCCCTCTTTTGTAACACCACGCGTGTCACCTGTACTCTCCTTCTCAGCAACATTGAGGTCCTTTTTTGCTTCTCCTTCGGACGGCGCGCCGTAACCAGCCTCAGTGTGCTGCTCTGCTGGAATGTCCTGCTTTGTATTCTCCTGATCTTTGTCGTCTTTACTTCCATCGGGATTCTCTTGTTTTATTGACTCATGACGATCAGCAGGCCCGGTATTAATCTGCACTTGCGGGGACTGGGGAACTCCTGTGCCTTCTGATTTTTCTTGCATTACGTCCCGTGCTAGCGGTGATGGTGTGGCAGCATGCCATGGAGAAACAAGCTCTCGAACAGCAGAACTCGTTTGCTGCTGTTGTAGAGGGTCGACATCTGGAAGTACTGCTTCTTTTGCTTTTTTGCCTCGAGGCTTCCCTGGTTTCCTGGGACCAGGTTTCTTCTTTTCTGTTCCTCGCCCTCTTCCTTTGTTTTCCAAACCTTGAAACTGATCGCTGAAGGGGTTGTTTGCTTCTGCTACATACCGCACGGTTGGTTGCCTCTGATGCATCTGGTTTTGGCCAAATTGCTTAAGATAATCTTCCGGTGTTGGGAATCTCTGAGAAAAGGAACCTTGATCATTTTTTTGTGGATGACCTGGAGGAATTTGCATGTTAGGAGGAAGGGGCACTTGAGGACCCGAGGGCATCTGAGGACCTGTTGTTCCAGGGGGCAAGCCGATTTGCGAATCTGGTCTTGATGGCAGCCCTTGTTGCAGTTCTGGCGTGTGTGATAAAGGTCGCGTTGGGTGCGGCATATCCATAGATGTTTGAGCAAGCACACCAGGGTTATCAACTACATTTTGAGTTAATGAAGGTGAAGGTTGTTGCCCGGGATGTTTTCCCTGTTCAACGTACAGCCCTTGCTTTTGTTGCATAAGACGATGCCTTTGCTCCATTTGTTGGTATAACTGTTGCTGAAGCATCTGTTGTTGTAGCTCAAGATCAGGATCAGCTTTTGGTCCTGCTTTCTTGCTTCTCCTCTGCCGTGGTTTAGTCTGTTTTGCTTTGGGAGGGGGCCAGTCCATGCCTGGGTTTGGCGGACCATGGGGAGAAGGCTGAAGTGGCGTGTCTTTACTCTTGCTTCTTCCTCTACCTTGTTTTGGTGTTTCATCAAGAACCTGAAAGCAAGAAAGCCACGACACAGAGAGTCATCAGTTCAGTAAAAGAAAGGGCTAACGTCCGGCAAAAATGGACTATAAGATGGTATATCATCAAAGATATCCTACCTTGTCAGTCAGTGATCCACGAGCTTGCAAAGGATGCTGCATTGCCATCGCCCCTGGTCTCGCAGCGATAACACCAGGCTGGGCTGCTATCTGATGACCTTGAATAACTCCCTGTGGCCACTGTGAACCTAACTGAGGCTGCGAAGCCTGTGGCTGCTGCTGTTGGACAGAATACTGCTGTTGGTTCGGTGCACCTGCGAGCTGCAGTTGATGTTGGATCAGCTGAATCTGTTGCCAGGCCTGGACCATTTGCTGTTGAAGAACTTGTCCTTGGGACTGGACTGTCATAACCTGTGCTGCTAGCACTGGATCCTGCCCTCCTGCCTGGTGCAGTTGTTGTTGCAGTTGTTGGTACTGCTGAACAAGAACCTGCCTTTGCTGTTGCATTTGTAGAAACTGCTGCTGAAATGCTAAGAACTGTTGCTGAACAATGAAATGCTGGGGTTGAGGAGGAGGTACTGGCAATCCCTGGCTAGGTATATGGAGTGCCTGAGCAGGGGCTTGGTTAGTATCATGAATTGTTTCTGCTCCAGATGACAGTTTTGACTCTTGCTGACGCAGCGGTTTTGCGCCCTCACCTTCCTCCAGTTTGTTCTTCTGTATTTCTTCAACGTCTGACCTTGATGTTTGCGCTTCATCGCTACTTTGATTTACTTTCACTGAAGAACTCCTTGTGTTGGCAACTTCTTTGCACCCCATATCAGAGGATGTATCATTTGGAAGGTCATCTCTGCTATTAGAAGGTTCCTTTTCAACAACTTCTTCGTCAACGTGACTATTATCATTCTCTTCAACCTTCGTATGTTCAACATCCTCATCACCTTTTTTCTTACCATTATCGTTACCAATTTCACCGGTTCTTTTACCACATCCCTCTCCAAATGCAGGACCCGTTGAGGAATTCAAGGTTTCTTTTTCTATCCCACTGGTGCCTTTCTTGCTCTCAGCAGTGGCTTCTATGTCATGCTCACCGCTACCTTCATCACTAAGATTATCTCTCTTGCAATGAGATACAGACGCTTCTTCTTCAAAAGTGGCAACAGGAGCCATTGCAGTTGTTGAGTCACTCATGCTCTTCAGGTTGTCTTGGTGTTCCGCAGTATCTGTTTCCGTCTTTTCACATCTTTGGCGTGAGTGATCCTCGGAAGACTGTACATTTTCTTGGGGATCATTAATGGCGTCACTCTGAACTACAGAGCCAGACCTATTAAGTGACTCACCGGAATCATCCTGGGCTTCAACATTACTTTTCGGTGTATCAACCTTTCCTGTTGAAGGACTAGCCTGGGAAGTATTGTTTTGGAGAAGTTCACTTTTTGGTTGTTGCATCATCATCTGTTGCTGTAGTTGCATCTTGTAAAATTGCTGCTGTTGACCCACAAACTGGCCATCAAGTCCGTAAGGGATAATAGGTTTCAAACCAGGCTGAACCATTGGAGTAGGCTGTCTTACAGCAAATCTCTGCTGTGGAACCTCGATGAAGGGAGCTGTAGGGTGGGCACCCCCTACCGCTATTCCTTGCTGTTGCTGAAATTCTTGCAATACCTTGTCATACTGAACCGTTTGTTTGCCTAAGTCTTGGCGCTGTTGTATTCGTCGTTGATATTCAGCAAACAGCTGCTGCTGTGTTACGTCAGACATCTGAGGATGCATCTGCTGGGCAAACTGTTGCATTAACTGAGGGTTGGAAGTGTCCACTTGTATCATCCCTGAAGGCACAACTCCTTGACCATTTGCAGTTGTTAGCTGCTGCTGGATCCAAGCCTGCTGCATCAGCTGCGCGTGCATCTGCATTTGCTGTTGTTTCTGTGCTTGGCGTTGACGATAAAGGAATCGCAACCTTTCTTGATGTTCTTCCTCTGTATCAATTTCAGGCAAATCTTTTGTGTTTGCGACTTGATTAAATCGAGCTCGCACAAATCCTGGCTGAATTGCGGTGCTCTGTTGTTGCTGCTGCTGCTGATGCTGCTGCTGCTGCTGTTGCTGTTGCAACACTTGTTGTTGTTGAAGCATCTGGAAAAATTGCTGCTGTTGAGCTCGGATGAGTTGTTCCCGCTGCTGTCTCTGAGCCACGTCTTGCTGGGGTTGATGCAGTTGGTTTTCCTGAGACTGGACAGTCATCGGTAGGGCAGGAAGTTGATTTGGTGCTATCTGGATTGGAGGCTGCTGAACAGGTTGAAACGGCATCTGTGAAATTGCAGGTTGTAGATTTGAAGCACTATGTAGTTGCTGAGGTTGCTGAGAAAAAGGTGTAGTTGACTGTGGATGTACATGTGGTGGTGGTGGTGGTGGTGGTGGTACTTGTCCCTGCTGCGAGGGCCACCCTGTGTTGATTTCATAGGCTTGCAACGGTCCTGTTTGTTGTTGCTGCTGTTGGGACGCCGGCAAAGGTGGCGGCGGAGGGGGAGGGGGAGGGGGAGGGGGAGGGGCTGAATGGGGAGCGATAGATTGAGGTGAGAGGAGATCAGCAGCTGCTACCTGTGCCCGAACTTGAGACAATTCTTGTTGCCAGTGCATCACTGCAATTTGCTGAGAAGACTGCTGAAGGTCCACACTTGGTTGTTGGTGGTGCTGTTCTGAAGAATTCAACGCCACGTCCTGTTGTACTGGATAAGGCAGACCTTGAATCGAATCAGGGATAGAAGGTTGCTGTCCTATTTGCTCATTTTCCCCACCAACCTGTTGACCTTGCATCGATGACTGTGTTACAGGTATCCTCGTAGGGTTACCATGAGACCCAGGTAACCAAGATTGCTGTTTTTCACCTTGAAACGCTAATTGCTCGTGAGAACTGAAGTTGCCATGAGCGACCTGTTCCTGCTCTTGAAGAGATTCTTGAGAGGGCCTTATGTGTTGTTCAATAAGAGCAGTGCCGTTCTGAAGGTTGTTGCCGCCCAAATGATCCCGATTGGCTTCAGGTTGTAGATCTTCACAGCCCCACACACTTTGTCTTGCAGCTTCCTGTGGTTGACGTGCGTGGTCACTAGGTCTTCTTTGTTGTTCCAGTTGGTGGTGACCTTGAGGATGTTCCCAGATAGCTCTATCTGTATGCTGTACTGTTTCTTCTATGGTCTCCTTTTGCCAATTGAATGGTCCCTGATATCGCTGACTAGCATCTGCATTCACTGAACGTAATTCATCTGTGACTGGGGTAGGGATTTCAGGTCTGCAATTACTTTCTCTTGTGTCAATGTCTCCTTCTTTGAACGGTTTATCCCTTTGCCCATCATAATGAGCCAAAAAATCATGTGACGATTCATTTTGAAGTTGTGTGGTAGATGATGCAAGAGCATTAGCATTCGCTCTTGGTGCAGCAGAAAACGAAGATTCAACCGGTAGCACTTGTTGCTGTACGCCTTGAGTGCCTTGAAATGATCTCTCAGAGTTTTCTCCGTGAAGACCTAGGTTGGAAACTGTTGGATCAGCATGTCGTTGTCCCTTTGACGCCTGACAGGAAGCTCGCTTGCTACCCTTTGGTAAACGTTTTTTCTTCTGCTCATCAGTTCCTTTAGTGCCTTTTGCCTGCTGTTGTTTCCGGAGCTCCTGTCTTAGCAGGGTGTTTTCCTGTTGCTGTTGCTGTTGTTGACGCTGCTGCTCCAAAGCTCTCCTTTGCTGGAGAATTTTCCACTGGCGTTCTTGTTCCTGTTGAATTCGTAGCCGTTGCTTTCTGAGTTCCTTTTCCCTCTCCTTCTCCTCCTTAGTTTTTTTACCTTTGGAACTGACGGTTTTTCCTCCCTGGGGATGGTTCACTGCAGCTGCTGGATGGCTTAGTGCGATCTGTGAATGGCTCAACACTTGACCATGGGTAGGGGTTGGTGTTGTGGGGGTGGTAGGTGTCATGGCTCCAGGAGTGCCTGGAGTCACCGGAGTAGTTGACCTTGCTGGTGTGGTAGGTGTGAGTGGCACAGGCATAACAGAAGTAACTGGAAACAGGGAGCCGTCTGCATTTGTTTGCATGGGTACATACTGCTCGTATTGATGGCTTTGACGTGGGTCTTGTGAGTGGTGGGGTACCTGCTGTAGCATTTGTTGTGAGAGCTCCTGCGACTGCTGCATTTGCTGCGGTACCTGCTGCACTTGCTGTTGTGTCGGTTGTGTTTGCTGCAGCTCCTGTTGTGGCAGCTGAGTCTGCTGCTGCTCTTGTGAAGGAAGTTGTTGTTGCTGATGCTGCTGAGGGTTATTTTGAGCTGGCTTCTGTCCTTCTGCTTTTGAGTTTTCATCATTTCTTGCAATTAACTGGGAAAGAAAAGACAACTAGGTCAACAAATCTGCCGTGCTAAAAAACATCAAACTGCCTTTGAAGTCGCTATAAAACCTATTGAATTACAATTCTTCAAACACCGATCTAGCCAGCTAGCTTTTCACCACAAAGAATTACCTAGGAGTCCATATGTAAAACATAATTCGAACTAAAATAAACGAACAAGTAATTTTGTGACATTTCAATGGCGCCAATAAAAAGAACTAGGTATCGATATTAAAAAAGGCATGGATGTCAGTTCGTGGAATTACTAAGAAAGCTTAAGACCAGACGGACGGTACGATAGCAACACAATTTCCAATACAGCGAAATAATGTAAGTGGTGTACCACATTTTAGGCACATATTCATCCAACAATACTGCTGCAACTCTTGCAAGAATACACTTGATCTTACCTTGGAGAGAACGTATGATTTTGCAACATTGTCAAAGCCTTGCTCACCTTTTACTATAGTTTATCACCCACGTTCGATGTATTAAAATTCTAACGTTACTCAGAGGCTTTCTGGTCATTTTTGTATATTTGGTTTGGTTTTCTTTGTGTCTAAGTCTCTTCTCGGAATTGCGGGACAATGGAGTGCTGAAAAAATTGCAATTTTGTCCCTAAAGCCTCCGTGTCAAGTTAGAATTTTAATATATCGAACGTGGGCTATTTGCAAACTATTAACGGAAAATGTATACAGAATCACTGACATGATTTTAGCAGCCTCTAATGGCATGATGTCTAAACAAATGTTGGATGTGTCATTTCAAAAATTTTAACCTTATCCTCACCATCCGAATGTCTTTACCTTTTAAGCCGTAGCCTGTACACAGACGTTGGTCTGTGAACAGGCTATTTACGCCGAGAACAACAATTTAACAAGAAACCCTACAAACAGGTCGGTAACTTGTTCTTTATTGTTCGTTGAATTAGTAATATTTACCTTTTTCCCCTGATCTTTTAACCGCACACGGTTGTCTCTTGCCTTCAGCTAAAAAAAAAAATTAAAAAAAGAAATGCTTAATGGACCAAACATACTGTCAGTATGGTATCATCAACTCTTGCTACTGCTAACTTAGCACAAGAGAACAAACTCTAACTGTTTGGGTTAAGTAACCTTACCCGATAAGGATCCCTTTGCTCCACTGACAACTTTCTCCACAATCTTGCGATAGCTCTGTATCTGTTAGCCCATTCTTAAATAACAAGTTTCAACATCAGTTAATATGGTGAAATAGCCAAGTAACTTGATTGACACTAACTCCACTGCAATAACCTCTTAAAGAACATCAAACTAATACGCGTACTTGTATAGGTACTCTGGGTGCTCATTTCATATTAAGGACCACAGGTATAGGTAGGGTTGGGAGGAGGGGTGGTGGCTGGCTGAAGGTGGGGCACGGCTTAGACCTTTATGCCCAAAGAGTGATAAACACTATATTTCTCCTTGTTACAACAATGTACTACAAAAATAAGTAGTCAGATAGTTAAGGAAAAGATCACACAAGGTTAACAACTTCTCCCCACCACGTCTAAAGGAATGCCTCGGGGCAACAAATAAGAATGTAAATTTTGACACAAGGTTTAAAAGGGTAAACAAAACATCACTGGTTTTGTCAGTTAAATACATCTGCACATACAGATACATACGATTGCTTTCTATGCACGTCACAAGGGCCAGGGGAGTTAAATTTGTAAAACCTTGGACCATGGTTTATTTCGGAAACATTATCATCTTATTACAGCTTCTTTACCCAAGAAAATTACTATACTGCAGGCCTAAGGGCTGTGGGCTCACAGGATCTAACAGGATCCACTTTCAGTAAATCATACATGGAAAATATCTTTTTTTATCCTAAAACTTTGTGCCTCATTCGGAAACCTTCACTTTTCCACAACATCATCTTTTAGGTGAAAATGATCGCTCCTACTGAGACAGTCAAAGTTGGGGACATTCCACAACAGTCCAACTAGTCTTGAAACACTGTTACGGGCATAATTGGTCACATTTATTTGCACAACTACAGCAGTATCACAAAAACTGGAATCAAGGTCAAACATGAGTCTTCTGCTCCTTGTGATCACGTACAAAGTTAAATGAAGAACTGATTGTTACAGCTTTGCACACAACACACATTCAGGACTAAAGACCTCAGAGTTACCATTTTAATGCTACATTTCAGTGAGCTACAAAGACACTGACATTATGTGTACACTAACTATGGTCACATTTGTTTCCTACCAATTTCCACTGACTTACCAGGATACTCTTGCTTCAAGTTGGCATGTTCAAGGTTAGCGTATAGAACTGGTGATATAGTTGCCATGGCCCCAAGCTTCTCATCCTCTTCCCATTTCTGCTGTTGTTTTAGCGGGTCTGTTCTAGGACTGGGCGGTCTGCGTCGTTCCCTTGGTAAGTCATCCAGGTCACCTGGTCTTGGAAAGGTACTGCTTTGGCCAAATCCAAGTTGGCCTGAAACAACAGAACTGGGAAAGCCATCAATTTGATTGTGTGTTGCAGGTTGATATCCTGGCCCTCCAGGAACACCTTGGAAATGGGCAGAACCAGTATTGTAGGCATGATTGGTGACACCTTGGCCATAGGCAGCCACAGGGTGTTGACCAGACTGAAGACCTACACCATGGTGTGCTACAGTAGAGTTAGAAACTGAAGGTGCAAACTGTTCTTGGTTGCTCACCACAACACTGTCATTTATGTCAGTATCCAAAAAATTAAACACTCTGTTTGTCATCTCTCTTTCTATACCAGCAAAAATTTCTTCAACCTCTTGGCCATCAACATGAGGCAGTATGTCTCCAGTGTCCAGAATATCCAGGTCATTTCCCTGGGGCCGGGTTTGTGCTTGATTCCAAGTAGATGCTGCCGCTGCTGGAACTACATGTTGTTGGGAAGTAGCTGTTGATGGCAGAGGTTGGGAGGTTGTATGAGAAAGTCCTGTGACAGATGAGATAAGAAAGCAGATCAACCTACTCTAGCATCAAAGCAATTGTTAGCTCAAATTAAAAGAAACCCAACAGTAACAATTATCCTACAGAAAGTAAATAGCTTGAACCCAGAAGATATGACATAAGTAAATTGAATATGATCTCCAAGTGAGAGTAGCCGCGGATTGCATTGTTGCTTACAGTTATGGTAAAAGACATGAAAAGAGTGACAAATCACAGCAACAAAGAGGTCCTGTAGGCTGCTGAAAAAAAAGACAGAAAAGGATAAGCAACACAAACCTCTGGTTGCTGCAGAGTGAGAATCATTCTGTGTTGCTGGTGGTAGATCATCCGTCAACATATCCAGTGACCTGTACAGTGCATCAGGATTAGGAACCTCTTCAGGCAAATTAAGGGCATGAGATGGAGACCAGCTGTAAACAATACATACAAGATTGTATGCATAACAAGTTTCTCTTAATTTCCATAACAACATTCACTGAAAGTAAGAATTGCCCAGGATCATAAAAAGCTTTTTAATCAAATAAAGAGTGATCCTTGCAGTTGTGAACGCAATTTATGCAATTGCGTAAGAAGCCTGAAAAAAATACAGGACTTCAATGGGATTTCAACCTCTGACCTTGTGACACCGGTGCGATGTTCTAACCAACTGAGCTATGAAGCCACTAATGTTGAGTTTCATAGCTCAGTTGGTTAGAGCATCGCACCAGTATCATGAGGTCACGGATTCAAATCCTGTTTAAGTCCTGAATTTTCTTCAGGGTTCTTCTGCAATTGCATAAATTGTGTTCAAAACTGCGAGGATCATTCTTCATTTGATTTTGTTTCTGCAGGTCTCATGTACATCTATCAAATAGCTTTTTGACCATGGAAATATTAAAAATAACTCACCAGAAAAAAATTCCTATGTGAAATTTATCAATCAATGGCTACTAACACACTGATGGCATCTGCTGGCTTATTACAGCCATCATATAAGCACAAAAATAACTATGCCCACATGTGAAATAGATGTATGGACACCTCAACTTCAAGAGAGTGCTTTATAAAAGCCAATTAATTACAACATTCTTACATCTCATGTTCACTTAAGCCCAAGCTTGTATGTTGTTTATGTGGCGCTGTAGAGTGACTACTGGTTCTCTGGTATCCTGGCTGATAAAGTGTCTGTTGCTGCTCTTCACTAGTCACCAGTGGATATGGGACTTGGCCTGAGTTGCCTTGTTGCTCTTGGTGCACAAAGCCCTGTCTTGGTGCAAATGGGTCTTTATTTGTCCCTTGGTCAGGGGTAAGCACTGCTTTGCCACTAGGCTTCACTCTCTTATCTTTGCCTAATGTGTCCAACAAGTCTTTGCCAAAAAAAGCCTCCTTAAACAAGCAAAAACAGTTGAATTGAGAAAGGAATATTTCTCATAACATGCTCTGAGATGAATGTAAAGTGATGAATGGAATTCTCTAACTTCATGAAAGTAGATTACCTGCATCCACTTAGGATATGCATCTTGCAGACCATTTTCATCACTACTGTCAGCTGCCCAGCTGTCATTACTGCCAAGATTAAATGAGGCCTCTAAGTGGTTGAAAGAAGGCTGTTTGGTTGGACTGTTTAATCCACTTGTAAATGACTGATGAAAAGAAAACAAAGCATTTGAATTGGGCCATTTTATAGTTTTTATAGTTATAATTCCAGATATAAACAAGGCTGGAGTTGATCTTGCTTTGATACAAACATTCCTGCTTTCTTGTGTAAACTTTGTTGTTCTTATGCTAAGTACAATTTTTCAAGCATAATTTCCATAAGAAAACAAAGTAGATTTACATCAAAACAAGGCCAAGATCAGCCTCACATTCCCTCAAAGGCTAGGGTACAAACCCACAACTATAAAACAGCCTGTGAACAGGCCTTGGGTCGAGTGGGGAACTGGCAAGAGGGAAAACTGGGAAGGGCTGAACAACACCCTTTGGGACCACTGTTCCACGGCACCCACTGTACACCAGATTCTGATGCAAGTTCCTATTGGCCAGAACACTGACTGTTGACAGGTTTGATTGACATCACCTTTTTGGTTGGCAATAGCACGCGATTTGAATAATTGCTTGTAAACAGGTTGCTTCAGTTTAAGCAGCAATTCATTCTTCGAAATTTGGAACTGTGATTCACTATCTGATAGAATTTTTAAAACATCCTGCAATAAACACTAACAAGTGTGACAAAACATGGCCGGAAACCACCACACAAAAGAAAATCGCTTTTAGTTATTCAGTCTATCCAGGAGGCACTTTGGAGAAAATTGAACAATCTTAAACCCTTATTTAGCCACAATGAAGAGCTTTTCTTGCATCAGGAGGGCAAATCATGCCAACTGGAAACAATAACTGCAGAAAATCAATATGTGTGTCACGACTTCTCAGTTTGAAACAAGCGCCAAAATCACATTTGCTCAGACAACACATAGAACCTTTCAGAAACAAAATTCATTGGAACAAGCAGCATTTTGGCCTGAGGTGAAAGTGCCTAGCGACCTTGCCTAGTCCCTAGGCCTCATTATTCTGCGCAGCCCAAGTGTTTCTGGTCACGCGGTCCAAGGGAAAATTTGAGGCCTAAACAAAAATCTTCAAAAGTGAGACAAAAGTGGGACAGTTCAATGGTGGTGGTTTGTAAGACCAGTGTTTCACCTTTCAAGGTTAAAAATACACTGCTAAAAGACACAGATGGGAAGGAAAAGTTCAAAAGAACGCTTACCGTTAGTTTTCTTTTAGTGGACAGGGGAAGGTTCTTCTTTGCAAAATTGTCCTTTGAGGAACTCAAAATTCACAAAATTTTCATTGCAGCCGATTGGAGTGCTTAGCCTGTTTTGAAACACAACTGGCAACAGAACCAAGCAGCGAAGTTTTTGAAGAATTTTCAGGTACATTCTGTACTCTACAGTCAATTATTTTTAAATGGAAATATATGTTTTTGTAAATATTTCATCCTAGACGTTTTATACACTTTGAGATTGTCTTGAGCGCCCTGATTTGAGATGACTAATTTTTGATATGTGCCCAGTCGATTTTAATTGAGTGAATGGATCCACAAGCCAAGTTTGAGCAAAGCGAATTGCTTTTAAGGATTAATGTACGGGTTTATAAATGAATTAAATAAAAATATTTCGAGGAATAATTTCTCAGTCTGTTGTTACAACAGACAACAGCATCCAAGTTGAATTTAATGCTTCTCACATTACTGGCATCAAATCTGCGAATGTCGGTGAATTTTATAGGATGTTAACTTTTAGGTTTAGTTTTCGGCACTTTTTGATACACAGCATGAGCTAATGAATTTTATTTCAAGGTACGTTTTTCTGATTATTCAAGATTTGCGCTCTATACACTCTAAGTAATAAAACAGTGGTATATCTAAAAATGGAGTTGACGCAAAATGAAACATACCCGTGGCAAATGGTTTCCTTGATTGTTAAAATGGGACTGTCCACGTGAGGCTGACATAGACAGAACAGGAACTTTCCTCTTGTTAGTTCCTCGAGTACCTCGGCCAACAAGCCGCCTCCCTCCTGAACCACGACCACGTAACACAAAGCCACCAACACCTGGTCTACCAACACCAGATTGCCTAGGTCTACTGACTTTAGTAGGAACTAAAGAAGGTTGATGTCCAAGGCTTTCCATTTCATTAGCCATGAGTGTGTCACCATCTTCAGTGAAAGTTCTGTTAAAAATGGCCTCTTTCTCTGGAATGTGTCCCGTGGTAAAACTGTTCTTTTTGACAGGGCTAACTGGTAATCCAAACCTCTTAGGTTTGACCTTGTTCTTGATCACTCGTCTCCTGGCGCCTCCAGGTGGTAGCTTCAGCTTGTTCATGTGCCGTACACCAGATTCTGTCAGTTCAATATTGTTACCAACAAAGGGTTCTGACATGTGTATTTTATTGAAGTGGCTAGATAACTTCAGTTCCACTAAATTGTTGTTTCGTCTCTGACAAGGATGCAGAGGTTTGCCGGAGGGAACAGGAGTGTCACTATCCAGTGAAGACTGAGGTCGGTAATGATGCAAGACTGTGGCCTTCGGGGATGGGGGACCTTTGAACAAAAGAAAGAAAGTACCGACAGTCGCTAACGTCCTTAAACAAACCCAACAATTTGAGATGTTAACAGGACATAAGCTTTACAAATGAACTAAGCGAAAAGCAATCATCCTGTGAATAACACTGCCCACCTTTTGAACAACTGGGCCCTTACCTACAGTGTAACTTATATTTTGCTTGCTATACAATACCAGGCAAAGGAATAAGGGAAAACAAAAACAAAAAAAAAACAAGAAAAGTTTAATTGGAGATTAAATACCCTCTACTCTAACATTAAGAAGGTTTATATAACTACAAACCCTTTAACGACTTACTATAGCAGTATTCCAACGGAAATGAGTAAGTGAAGGCTGGCTAATTTCACGATTACTGAATTCCAAGCTAAAACAAATTCAAGGGCTAAGCAATCTTTTTTGTTAGAATTTATTGACACAATCTACGGCATAAGGTCTGGAATGCTGGCAGAGGGTATCTTAATGAGATGCACAGTGATACATTTACTAACCATGCAATGAGTTAGTTCCAGCAGAAGATAAGAAGGAGAGGAAAGGATTTGAAGCAGGTGGAGTTGTTCTATAAGACATACCACTAACACCAACAAGTGCTCTCTTGGTTTTAGGTCGACAATACAAACAGTGATATCCATGATCTGCTGCGCAATCCAGTTCTTCCTCATTGACAAGACCATCACAGGAGCCATGAAGCCATCTATACAAAATACATAAGTTAGATTTGCAGATTTCAATATAGCATACCTGTGAGATTACCCTTAGGATTTTGACATAATTAACATCACTGGCTTACTACTACAGACACCCCTTTAACAGACACTGTTTTTTCAGTGTTCTCCCCAGGATGTTGGGAAGGCCAGAGGGTACTCTGACTGTGATTTTAAAGTGTTTGCACAAAACCTGCTGTAGCCTAAATAAAAATTTATCAACTTGGGAACTTAGTTTGAATTGTAAAAAAAACTCAATTTGCTTTGACAAGCTTCTCATTTTTCTTCCGCTCATCTTGTATTGACTGCAAGTGAAGGAACTTCCCTCCGTACTCCACGTTTCAAGCCTCTTGAAGGGCCATTATGTTTCTCGAACAATTTCAAGATGGCTGTTGCTCAACAAAATGAATGCATCACAGGTTTGAACAAATTCATCCAATGGTAAACCACTTTTACAATCAATACCTTGCGAGAAAATACACAAATAAATAGACCAGACAATGGTTCATTCCGACATATGTCGACATAAGCCTCCATTCAGTTAAATCTTTGGTTTTTAAGCAAGGCGGCCACAATTTTCTGGTGAATTAAGCCAGGCAGTCCGCTTAGCCTTTAGTACCTAGGGCGAACACTGCTTTAACTGCATGTATTAATAAGGAATGTATACCTAAATGTTGAAGAAAAATAACATTGAAAATTTCGCTACTTCTGTTGCAAATCTAACACATATTCAAAGTGACAAAGAAAACTAGGGAATTAAAGTTTTCCTGTGTCATCAAGGTGCATGTAATTTATCATGTTTCTGCCAAAGCAGCCATGGCTCGCAGGATTATTTTCCAGGCAAAATCCTCAGCTTGTCCCTGAAGCAAGTCCAGCACCAGGACAGCTTACATCAATGGTGCCTGCTACCACACAAAGAACTGACAAATAATCCTTATGAGCATAAATGAATATGGTAGCATCCTCTCAGTAAATCTGGAACATACCTTTCACAATGTGAACACTGTATCATGAGATCATTGGTGTTGTACTTGATCTTGCAGACAGGGCATGTTGTTTTACTGGCACATGGACCACACTGAGTGTAATTTGACATCCACTGACACCCCAGCCCTGGTGTTGTAGCTCCACAGTCAGAACAATTCACACACCTGACAAAAAGAAAGGATAGATCAGCAGGAGGTGCAAAAATTTCTATAATTGTCACATATCCAAAACACTTGATAAAAAAGCAAAGCTTGTGAAATGTCATTCATTCAGATGTGTTCCCCAAAAGATCCGGGGTCTGGCAGCCAGCAAAAATTGCCATATATAGTCACCACAGAAGTGCCGGTTACTCACACAAAATATTTTTTAAGAGGGGAATAAATCTTCTGTATTACACTTAAACAGATGATGAAAGATAAGGCGAATAAAGGTGAATAAAGATGCTACTACTAAGGCTGAAATTCTTTCAACTGGTCACTTAAAATGCATTTTTTAGAGCCCCTAAAATAAATATTTTCCCAAGGGTAGGTGGCCAATCCCCATCCAATACCCACGTGCAGGTCTAAACCGTGTGAATGATGTTCCACTTATTTTGTTCAAATCTATTGCCACCTACTTTACATTTTCAAGGGAAACCTCCAAATTTACTTCAGGGCTGTCAAAAAGTTTTCAAGTAGCAGGCTGATAATGAATAGCAGGCGGCTTTGGAAATCGCACCAAAGGCACAAGTTCTTGAGGGTCGAGGCAGCTAGGGACATGTTGAAAATTAGAGTCTTGGAAATGGCGTTTCCACAGGTTTTCACAAGGTATTTGTTTGGTCAGAATAAACACAAGACTGGGAACAATGCCGTCGAAATGTCCCAAACGAATCACAAGGTTTGAATGTTTCACAGATCTAAACCTGTTAGAATATGTGTTCAATGTCATTCAAAACTGGGAAACGGATGCTTAACAATTTTATTTGATGGTGCTTATTTTTTGTTAGCAGTTATGGAAGAAGGAGATGAAAGTAGCCGGCTAAGGAGAGCAAACTAGCCGATGGTTTGGCCGGCTACTGGCCCTTATTGACAGCCCTGTCACTCACCATTTGCACTTCCATCCCCCCTGAGGTACATGCCCCAGTGGAGGATCAAGACAGTATGTGTGATAAGAGATATCACAGCTGTCACACAGCAGAAGACGAGCCTCGTCACTTCCCTTTCCACATCCCTCACAAAGAGTGCAATCTAAACAACGCCAGCCCTTGGTCAAGATGACTTTGTTGATCTATAAAAAAGGCAGTTTCATTTCAGGCTTAAACCAATAATTTGCATAACTCCTAGCCTCTAGACTCCGTTTCAGGTGTGAAAAATAGCCTTCCTTACCACTTCACATAATATTAAATACAAACAAGATACATTGAAAATATAATGTCAACAGATCAAAGTAATCTTTGATTATTACTAAAAAGAAATGAAAACAGAAACAAGAAGGGATCTGGAGCTAAAATGTGTCGCACAATTTTTTCTGGGATCGTTACTGGGGACACACTGACTGGTTAGCTATTTGGTCCATTTTTTTTTCCTATCTCTAGTATATAACAGTCCCAGAGGTCTTTGCAAAAGTTAACTTGTCCCAGTTCCCTTCTCATTTCTAAAGAACAAGAATAACAATGATCCACAGATCAGAAAATCTCAATGTAAATGTAAATGTTTGTAACTACCTTAACATTAACACAGTAAGGATGGTAAGACTGGCCACACTGGGAACACATGATTAGCTGTCCCTCAGCATCTTTACCAAAACTGCCACAGCACAGACACATGTCCTGTCTGGAGGTAAATTCATCATCTGCAGAGAACAGCACCAGGGTGGTGTGAAGGCTCTCTGATTCCTCTTCCTTGTTGTTCTGTTCTACAGCATTTGAAGCACTTGCCTGTAAAAAGAGATAAAGATGTACTAAGGATAAAATTACACAAGACAACCAATTACAAATTCCAAAGCTAACACATGCACATGACTATAGCACGTAATTTATTTTGACAAACTAGTGATAACCAAAAGTTAGGGAGCATGGGCGAGATCGATCAAAAGTCAAAAGGCTCTTGCTCCCATGCTGAGATTTGCCCATGATCAACTTACAAGTGACTGAAGCTCCAAACGCGAGTGATCAAATTGCATTCTGCGCATTCCATTCATTCTTACCTATAATTTTTCACTGTAGACCCCTCTTGGGTGCTTGAACCACACAGAGACTGAGACTATACTCACCACATTTTCCTTGCCAGGTGATGTCTGAGGTGCAGCTTTACTTTTCAGTTTGCTTGGTGGTCGGCCTGGTTTACCATGTTTTGACTTTTTCCGTGCAGGAGTTCCACCAGTCTTAGACTACAGAAAAATATGAAAAAATTAATTCTGTGAAATAAGCATCACTAACTAAATTGAATAAACACCCACTTCCAACTTTGTGACACATTATAATGACAAACCTTGACTTTGCCAGGAGCCAGCTTTCTTTTTCCTAATATCTTAGGTGGGGTGACAAATGAGTTGTGATGTTGATAGTGGCTGGGAGCGGGTGCTTTAGGTTCTGACAAATGTCTGTCAACCACTGAAAATGAAGGCAATGAGCAGGAGTCTGAAAGATCAGCAGATGTTGCTAACATGTCCAGTTCATGGTCGGGCTTTACAACTACTTCCATTTCTTCATCTAGTGGCACAGGGAGTTTCTCACTTAACTGAACTTTCTCTGGTTCAATGTTATCAAGGTTGGGAATTGGAATGGTTTCTGTGTCAGTAACATCCAGCACAGGATCAAAGTGTCGTAAAGGATTTAAGTCATCCAGACTGGAAGATAGCAGAAGGTCATCGTCCATGTTAACAGGGCTCATACACCCAGCTGCAATCGTCAATGTACGTTTGTCTTCTTCAGGATTGTTGTCAAATGACATGTCTACATCAGTTGGCTGCTGATCATTAAACCCAAGCTCAATTCCATGATTCCTGTCCTAAAGCAACCACCAACAATAAAGAATGTATTATTACTCAAAGTAAGAAAAAGCTTTGTTGGATTAATATTATTCTAACATTTCATGAAAATAATAAATGGCCATGAAAAAAGACTCTCAGACTCACCATCTTTTTTTAAGTATCAACACATTTGGTTATAGCTAAGTTTTGCTAAAATTCTTTCTATTCAGCCCAAAGGCCCCCTTCTCAAAGAATTGTTCACTTTTTGGGGCCCAAAATCTAAAATAGGGTACTGCCAGTTCCAATCCCCCCACCACTCCAGTCTGTTTTGCATGCTGATAGTTTTATTACATAACTTTCAAAAATATTAAAAAACCTTGAACTTGAATGTGAACAAAACAGCTTTCTAGGCCTAGTAATTACCAGGACTATCGAGAAACAGTCAAAGACAATAATGACAATAGGGAACTTAAGAACCATAACGACGACCTGAAGTGAGTTACAGTGTACTGCCCAAGTACGACCAGTAAATTTCGTCATCATGGTGTCGTCGGCGACGCCAAGTAGAATCACGTCGTCCTGCAATCCACAAGTTTCGGCAGGTGTAAATCCACTGTTTTAAGTGATTTTTGAAGTCCTTTGCATTTTCTTATCCTCGTAAATCCAGGTATCATTCCTTTTTTCTCATAACAAGCAATGTTGATTGAAAATTCGACTAATGAATTATTTTTACTTCGAAGAATGACAACAGCTGTGGAGGCCGAGCGAGCGAACTCGTAAGTGATAAAGAAAATTATTTGTATGTATTTAGGTACGGCAAATCATATATCTTTAATATAAAGGAAATAAACTTTATATGGAAAACAGCTATCACGTCAGAAGGTCTATTTTTCCAAATCTACACTCTGACAGACACTCGGACTCAGTCATCTCATTCAGGTTGAAAGTTGAATAATCTTCGTACGGAAAGCAGGTGTTTTTCCCTGCAAAAAGGTCAGACAACACAAAAAATTCAAAGATAAGATCTTGCATTGTTTTAAAAGATGCCATTGCAAAGAACTTTGTTGCGAACGAACATAACAGTTTTAAATTTGTGTTTACATTCAGTGTCGTCATCGTCGACCTACTGACCAACTGCATCTTAAGTTTCCTTTTTCCTGCCGAAACTGACGTTCTCGTTCCAGTCTTTTCTGAGTCAACAGACGTCGTCGTTGTGAACTTCGTCGTGGTTCTTAAGTTCCCTAATGTTGCCCAACACACTCTATACCAACAAAATCCTTGCTTACCAATAGCTGTAGAGAACCTTTCTTTGGTTTGCAGGAAGGGCAGAAGTAAGGAAGATCTTTGCTATTATACTTTTGATAATCATCTTTGTCAATATCATCACAGCTGGCATGAATCCACTTTTCACAAGAAAGACACTGTACCATAGCAACATCAGTGAACTGTCTATAGGCTCTCCCACACAGTGGGCAAAACAGGCCCTTGTTACGCTGTTGATAACAACTGTCGCAGACAGAGAAGTTATGATGCCAACGTGATGTAGGTCCTCCTCCAGGGGTATTTGACCCACAGTCTTCACATCGACGACAACTCTGTTAAGGAAATAAACAGAATCATGTCGCAGTTATGTCAACTACCGCAATAATCTTAGTATGACAATCTTTATGAAAACACTTTAATACTGATCTATCAAGCCCTATGTTTGTCAAGGATTTAGTTTTCTCAACAGAGTTGATAAGGCAGATTGGCCACCATGGGTAGGTAGAGAAGTTGACGTTTTAAGCACTAACCCTTTCTCAGAGCAAAATGGCTCTTATGAAGGGGCTAGCACTGAAACATCAGCTTGTATGCTTTGGCAAATCTACCCTACCAACTCAGTAATAAAACTAAATCTTTGTATAATTCCATTCCCCTACTGATGCACCACCACAGATTCTTTAGAAATTAACCCCTTTATTCCTCTGCTTCTCAAATCTAATGATTATTTGAAAAAAACCGGACTTTCCTTCCCCTGGTAAAACAATCAAATTTTACCTTAACTTTTAAACCCTCACAAGAATACAACCCAAATTTCCACTTTTCAACAAGGTTCGAAAATGATGATTTCAATGAAAGAATGGTAATAATAGGTACTAACCAGACACTTCCATCCTGTCTTAGGTATAGTACTCATGGGTGGATCCAAACAGTACGTATGATACCCAGTGTCACACAAGTCACAAACTAACATCCTATTGTCATCACCAGGTTGCCTGCAAAGTTCATGTTCAAAGTTAATATACCAAGTCTTTGACAAAACCTGTAGTACACAAGCTACTCACAGTAAAAACTGTTTTATGTCTCACTATATTCACTTTGCAGGGTCCCATACAAAGCAGACACTGGTATGCCTTTCATTCATGTCAACTCAACACAGATATCACTGTCATTTTAAGAAGACATTTACTTAAGTCTTTCTATTTGTGAATAATTCAGTACCACATAACCTCTCTTTCGTTTGCTTTGTCTTGTTCCAACAATGAATGTAACTTGAACCCTTGATAACTCAAACCTTCTGCTAACTTGAAGTAATCTTTGTTTCCCTTCATATCCTTTCTATACAATTTTACCCTCAGTAACTCAAACCATGTTTTAACATGTGAAAAGTAAAAAAGAAGGGTACCACAGTCCAAAAAATTGAATTTATTTCAAAACAACTGCGTTTTCTTTATCTTTACCTTTTTTCAGTCCAGTTCAATTAGTGTCCAGGGGCCCGTTTCTCGAAAGCCCCGGTAACGTTTAGGGCCCGAAATCGAATTTTCAAATCAAAATATAAAGAATAAGAGCCCGGGTTCTCGCTAGCAAACAACTCCATTTTGTTTCATTAACTGATAGTTTTATCATGTTAGATGCAAAACTATTGAAACCTTTACCTTGCATGTAAACAACAACAGCTTTACGGGCCCGTTAATTATCGGGACTTTCGAGAAACGGGCCCCAGCCCTGTATATTAATTAATCAAGCTTTGTCGAGGGTCCGTGAGATGAAGTGTGCATGATACTTGCATTCCTTCACCATCCCATTTGCTTGTTTTCTTATTCCCTATTTTTTGCTTTAATTTCCCAATAACTCGAACTTTTTTTCAATTTCCCTTGAAGGTTCGAGTTATTGGGAGTTGACTGTAATATTATCAACAGTAATTTGAGAGTAATATGTTATTTTCACAGTGGCCTACATTTACCAATTGAACATTAAGCATGTCAAGAGTAATGCTGCATCGTTACCGGGAGCATGCAGCACTTTTTCAGGGGCAGTAGAAGTAGTGCTAATTAGAAACTGGCACCCTTTAGAGTAATGCTGTATGTTATAACATTTTGTTGGCCGTGGTGCTAATTGATTGTCGAGCTTCCTTCGTAAGTTTAGGTCAGTTTTTTCTCTTCTGGGAAAAATTCTGCATTTTCTAAAACGTACTTAATTTGGGTTTGCAAAAATACAATGTAGAAACAAACCTGCAACCCTGACAAACTTTACAATCCGGGCACTGCCATCCCATCCTGATAACAGATGTCAAATCAACAGATGGTTCCAAGCAGCGACCATGATAATGACGGCCACAGCTTGTGCAAAAAATTAGCTCCGCAAAATCTTTAGCTTCGCCACAAAGGACACACTCTGCTTCACTACCCGCTGAAAAAAAAATTGTTGCAAGATCATTAAAAAAGAAAAGTACACCAACTTCATGTAGAGAAGCACATAGAAAAAACAACTAATGAAATAAAGGCAATAGACTATCCTAAAAGATGAAAGGAACCTATGCTATGAATATAATGAAATGTCCTGTTTTGAAAACTCTATTTACGAACTTACAAAGGTTTGAAACCATTAATTCAATTCAATTCTCTAGAAACAGAGGCAACCCAGAGTGGTCTTACCAAGACGTCCTGCATCTTCCAAGTGATCTGGACACAGCATTGTCATGGATTTAATGTCCTAGAAAGTATGTACAAAACAATAATTTTATTATTAATTCTTACACTAATGCAAATGAAAAAACACCCATTGATCTATTAAGTCAGATTAAGGATAATAATATATGCACATATACAAAATGAATAAATTAGACAAACCTGAAAGGAGCCACTGCTAGCTGCACAGGGATAGTGATATGTTTTGCCGCACCGTGGAATCTGACAAACAACACTTGCACCAAATCGATTGCAATGATTACATTGCTGCAGAAAGGACAAATACAACAAGGTCAACAATTAATTAGTAAGTAGATAATTTTTTTTATTAGTAAATAATTTTTTTCAAAAGAATTCCATTTCGTATGGTTGAGCATAGATCAAAATCAAAGTCCTGTTCTGTAGCCCTTATGGGGTATCAGACAGCAATCTTGCACTATGACAGTGCAAACTCCCATTTGTTAAAAAGTGAAAAACATGGCCAACAATGGCCTGCAAAAACAGACATTTCTCCTCCCTCATCACCGCTGGGGGACATTTCGGGAGGAGGAACGTCTGCGGCTCAGCGATAGCAATTCCATACCAGGGCTCGAAATTAACGCTCGCAAACTCGCAAAATGCGAGTGATTTTGACAATCTGCGGGTAAGAAAAATATCCACTAGCAAACGATTGCGAGTTAGAATTATCCATGTCTCCCAAACAAAGGGAAATAATTTGCTTGTGGTCTCACCAGTTTGCTAGTGGAAAAATATCTTACTAGCAAAACTTTGCAAGTGCACTAAAAAGATAACTTCGAGCCCTGCATACTGATGACATAAAATCTGTCTGGAATCCAGTCATAAACACTGACTGGACGTTGGAGTAGTTATATTGTACTAGCCATTGTTTATGAATGACAGACATAATAGGGAGCTTAAGCAACTACGACAATGACCACAACGATGACTTCAAAAAAAAACAATAGGTTTCATGGTCAAAACAACAGCTCTGCTTGTGCATCACGCTTTCTAGTACATTTCTTTNCGAGTTAGAATTATCCATGTCTCCCAAACAAAGGGAAATAATTTGCTTGTGGTCTCACCAGTTTGCTAGTGGAAAAATATCTTACTAGCAAAACTTTGCAAGTGCACTAAAAAGATAACTTCGAGCCCTGCATACTGATGACATAAAATCTGTCTGGAATCCAGTCATAAACACTGACTGGACGTTGGAGTAGTTATATTGTACTAGCCATTGTTTATGAATGACAGACATAATAGGGAGCTTAAGCAACTACGACAATGACCACAACGACGACTTCAAAAAAAAACAATAGGTTTCATGGTCAAAACAACAGCTCTGCTTGTGCATCACGCTTTCTAGTACATTTCTTTGATGTCCACTACACGACTACAATGTGAAACCTCCTAATTTGCCGTTTTATGGAGGACGTGGACATAACGACGACGAATTTTCCGTCATCTTTTTGAACCTGAATAAAATCCTTAAGAATTCAACTCCCGGAAAAGTTGCCTGCATTTGACATATTGAGCGGGTCCAAATAGATGCGATTAAGTTTGAAAGAACGCAAATTAATTTTTTACTGACGCTTTCATTGCCATTGTCGTCGTCCTTGCTTAAGGTCCCTAATTTCAAATATAAACGCAATGAATCTGTAATAAAACAGTCAAAATTTGTGGTATATATATTTCTCTAAAAAATGATTTGAGTTTTGCTGGAGCTTGTTTGCAAATGAACACAACACTTTACCAAAATCAACCAGGGGAAACGTAAAATTGAACACATTTGCATTTGAATCCCCATGTACAACAGATCAGTACAAAAGACTAAGCAATAACATTTATAGCCACAAATAAGCCAAACTTCCACCAAGTCTTATCAGGACTGCAGCTAAGAGCACTCCACACAATAATACAATGTTGCAAGATCTACATGTAAATTCCACAACTGAAAATGTCAGAGTATCAGCAAGAACCCAACTTGAAAAGGACGTATTAAAGAAAGTAGGTAAGATAATTTCTTACCTCTGACAAAGCATTGACAACAGCCTTATCAACATTTATTAAATCATAAGAATCTGTCTGGCTAACTCCTTCAGACCAAGCTGCACAACAATGATGAGCCCATGTGTAGCCATCCTCCTCAAAAATATCGCTCAGATCTTTTTCTTTGACAGTGCCAAAAGAGGTCTTATCAACTGTTAATTCCTGATTAGCAGATCTTAGAGGTAAACCAACTACAACAATTCCCTTCCTTCTGCCCCGCCCAGGGGGTCTCCCAGGACCACGTCGGGTTATAATAGGCTGAGGCTCGCGCTGCTCTTCAACACAAGGTCTGTTATCAAAAGGATCTAAGTCTAGCTTGTCTCTAAATGGTTCGCAGCCACTATTTTGTCGCTGGTGTCTGCTTTGAAGTCTCTTGCTGGGATTGAAGCCTGGAGTTGGTGCATATCTCTGGAGCTTCCCATGAAACATACGCATCTCCACACCACAATTGCAGAATGAACAAACTTTGCTCCTTGCTCTAAAACAAAAACAAAAAAAACAGTTAAAAAGTCAAGTTGACCACTGTCATCCAAGAATCATATGCAAGCCTCTCTTGCTCTTGTGCAACAAGGAAATCTTAATGTTTTCAAAGAAATTATGTGTTATCCTTCAATTTTTTCTTAGAGCAGAACCTTGAGTTTCAGACAAGAATAAATGTCTGAAAATTAGCCATCCAAAAATCTTAGCAAAACAAATCTTACGGTGTACTTGTACGAGGACAAGCCTTTTTTAATAATGAAGATAGCAAAAAATTAATATTAAAGTAGAAGCTCTTACAGTTCATCCTCTATGCCTGTTGTTTTTTGGCTAACAGCATCAGATGTTAAATTTTCAAAAAGCAATTGTCCTGATCCATGTAAAGTCACAGAGTAAGGTGACATGTCCTGTGGTACACAAAAAAATCAACACAATTTTAATATTCTGACAAAATATAGGTTATATAAAAAATTGTTCATGGGCTTCTACAGAAAATCTTTTACATTTATCACTGGCAAGCACACAAGAATTGTATCACAGTAAACTTTCCTTACCATCAAATTTCCATGTTCCATACTGATATCATGATTCTCATGAGTGCGCCCAGTGCATGAACCAATGGGTGAGGATTTGATAGGAGATTTCAACTTACTACAAAAAAAATACAAAGCAAACTAAAGTGAAATAAGAGACACAGAAATAAAAAAAACACAATGGTTCATAAAGCAAAAAAACTCCACTGTGGAAGAAAGGAAGTTCAATGACCAAGAAGTATATTTTCCATTTTTTTTTTCCACACAAAATCAAGTACATAATTGGCCAAAGTCATATTAGAGACACAAAAATCAAGATGAAGTTTTTGCACTTGCACCCAAAAAGAATGGAAATAGAAAGTTAGCTACCGTTACTGGGTAAAAAAAGGCACCCAAGAAGAGAGTCATGAAATTTTGTATTATTTTTAAAGAATTCTAATAAAATAAATAGTATTTATATGGCTGGCAAGTGTCCCGGCCACTCCTTTCTCAATTTTCTGGATCTGCCCCTCTAATTAATAAACACTGATGTTTTTTTGGAGCACTGACAATTTAGATTGCTTTTAGCTGTATCAGCTGGAAAACTATGGGTTGAAAAAGCAGGGATAGGTCACAACTCTAAGACGGTTTACCATCCTTAAATTCTTATCAGTCAGTATTTTCTCTGACGGAATTCTGTCTATGACGAGTTTCCTGTCTTCTAATACGAATTCAGCCATTATGAAACATTCAAGGTTGTTCGGATAAACCGTCACTTTAATCAACTGAACCAATTTAAGTTTAGACAATAACAAGGTCAAGTTTAGATGACTCTGCCTGTGTTTCTGCCGATGGATGGGGTCGCATATTCACGACTGGATTGACTATAATGGGGTTGCATTTTCAATAGAGTTACTAGAATGGGGTCACACATATTTTTTGATTTTTCCGGGTAAGACAGTACTTCATATTTATGGTTAGCAACCACACCGGAATGTTTGGCTGTAGGTGGGAAGTAAAGTGTTCTTCATTCAGTTTTAAAATGGGCCAATTCATAACAATAGAAAGTGACTAAGTTGGGATCGCAAAAATTACATATTTGCCCAAAAGTGACTATGATGGGGTCTATAATTGGTCAGTTGTTCGGATAAACCGTCACTTTAATCAACTGAACCAATTTAAGTTTAGACAATAACAAGGTCAAGTTTAGATGACTCTGCCTGTGTTTCTGCGGATGGATGGGGTCGCATATTCACGACTGGATTGACTATAATGGGGTTGCATTTTCAATAGAGTTACTAGAATGGGGTCACACATATTTTTTTATTTTTCGGGGTAAGACAGTACTTCATATTTATGGTTAGCAACCGCACCGGAATGTTTGGCTGTAGGTGGGAAGTAAAGTGTTCTTCATTCGGTTTTAAAATGGGCCAATTCATAACAATAGAAAGTGACTAAGTTGGGATCGCAAAAATTACATATTTGCCCAAAAGTGACTATGATGGGGTCTATAATTGGTCACAGAATAAACTATAATGGAGTAGGGGCTCTGAGAGGCCAGCAGCACATACTCAGCAAAAATTTACCCAATTTACCAAATTTCCCCTTTCCCTCCCCAGGGGGGGGGTCTACATGTATTTCAAGTAAGTGCACACAATACAGTTGAATGTAGTGAACTCACACTTGCATTGTGGGTCAGTTCAGCGAGAAATTAAGAAAATGAAGACTGTTGTAGTTGATGATGATGTTTTTGTTGTAGACTACATACCTCTGAGCATTGACCCTGGTCTTTTTGGCTGGCTGAGGTTTTGTTCTGTTTCGCACTCTAGTGGAACGTCCCCCCTCTCTGATACTCATGATGAAACTTTCTTCAGAGTCTGGTGTTAATGGCGAGTTTGGATAAGGACTCAGTGATTGCTGTTTTATAAAGGTAACAACAAAAAAAGAGGAGAATTATAACATGTTAAGCAAGGAAATATTAATCATCTATACACTGTGTAACTACAACTGAAACATGACAAAAGCCAGAATCGGGAAATCCGGTGATAAACAGCTTTTTCACAAAAGGCTCCATTTGAAAGTTTTGGAACCATTTTCTGGCAAATCTCTACATAAATTGAAGTCAAACAATCCATAATCTTATTCCCAACTTGAAAAGTGTACTGCTTCCTTTCTGCAAAAATACACACCAACCTCCCAAACTACAACCACCTAAAATGCCAAGATTCAGTCGTCACTTACAGGAGCTGGTCCAATCCAAGAATAAAATTACAGGTGGCCTTTTCTGAGTGGAGGCTCCGACACAAAAACTATACTTTTTGAAGGAGAATTTACTCCATGCAATTTCTACATTACAATATTTTAGCTACAAGCTATCACTAAAAGTTCTTCACATAGTGTAGTAAATAACACGTCATTACACACAGATTGGACCTTGACTCAAGTGGGTGCCAACAGGAGGTTCAAAGCAGTGGAAAATTTTAAAATAGTCTCTCCAAAAAGTGGTCACAGTTGCTTATGAGAAGCTCCAAACTACAGTACAGTAATTTGAATGGGAAAATTTTGGTGTTTTGGAGTAAAAACATTTTGGAACAAATATTAGATACACCCAAATTGACATTTTTTGCCTTTTTCTCCTTTTCAATTTCTAAACATCTCTTTTTTTTACTGTGCATACTTTATTCCATGGAACCAGTCTCATTCTGGCAAGGTCCAGACACTTTCGTCCCCTTGCATTGACTACTTATCATTTACTATCTTCAAATGTAATATATGCTGTTAGTAAGGGCAGTGGAACACAGAACACAGGCTTAAAGCAGTTTACAATGTAGGTGATACACTGTAGGAAAGAGTCCAAGAAAATAGAATAGACAAAGCAGAAATCTTTTTTAATGTTGTTAGTGCATATTAAGAACACATTGCTACTAAAAAAAGGCTTAAGAGTCATAAAAGAGATAGAAATGTAATGCACTTATGTAATGGCTGAAGAACCTCAAATTAAGTACATAAATATTGCTTTTGTCACTGTTTCAAGACTAAACAAACACAAAGGTGAAGAAAATCATGTGTCCAGAAAAAATGTATTATGACAATACCTTTAAAATACATAAAATTAAGAAATGAAAAAGGGCATCTCAAGAATTGAAACCAGCTTTTAATTTAAAATCAATTTAGACAAAACTTCAGTAACGTAACATAAGTAAATAAAATTACAAATAACAAGGAGAACGACACTGTTTATTTCTGAGATTTTAAACCACTTGTACAAGAAATTAATCGCAAGCTAAGGCTGGCATGCTTTTGGCCCTAATTCAGTGGATGGGATGTAAACAACAGGAAATAACTACATTGTATAAAATTATCAGTTGAACAGTATCTATCTCATACTGAAACCTTTCTCTGAAAAATTACCTTAGTCCTTTCAAAATTGTAGTGCAGATGTAGAGGGGAATTTCAATACATGTGTATAACATTTTTTGGGAAAACATCCACAATTTCCTGAGCTAAAATGAATACACCTCTAAAAAGCACTACCAATTATTACTTCCTCTATGCTTCCTGTACAATACACCTCAGTCAAAATGTTCCACAACAGTTAACAGGATAAATAGAGTAACAGGCAGCAAATTGCTGCCTGCCTGCCGACTAATTTGGTCTGACAGTAATTTAAATGGTCTGATTCTAACAATGACAAGGAAATCTTCAAATCATAATGGAAACAGACATCTGTGACTACCGAACAAAAAATATTTAAAGCTATTTCTTTTTTAATTACCAAACACAACAAAAAGATTATCAAGCTGACAATAATATTTTTCACAACCCTGTTGTCTTGAACAAGTATTGGATTGTTATGATCTTTCTTGAGAAAGAATGCCATACGTTGGCTTATAAACCGATGAACATCAATAAATTTTGAAGTTAATTCCATGCTGAGTATGGAAACTTGTAATTTTTCCTATATGTGCATTATCTCCTAACAACGTACTTGCAGTCACCTATGAAACCTCAACAGGAAATACTTTAAGCCTATTTCCCTTAATTTACTGGGAGTAGCAATATTACCTATGAAACAGAAGCCTAAAAGGAAAAAACAGCTGCAAACACCAGCATGGATATAAAAAAATATCTGATTCTTGAAATGGCTGAATGAAAATTAGCAGCAAATTTAAGAAGCAAATAAGAAACAATTCTCCAAACTACCCGAAAGCATAACATCACCTTCCATGCAGCTAGAAAGTCGAGGATCATGTACCAGCTATATACATATATATATATGAGCTATTTTCTACAGGAGCTCATTACATTGCTTTTCTAACAATGATAGAATCTGGAATCTACAGCTGTAATCAAGGCTCTAAAAAGCATAACAAATTCACTAGCACTGGCAATTATCCCAAAAAATTGAAATGCAAGCAGGAAGAGACTCACTAAGGCAACGCTTGGAGGGCAACAAAAGATCCATTATAGGAAATACAAATCATGGTAAAATATCTCAAAGGTTAGTTGTCGGATGGACCACTGTATCTTTCTAAAAATTCCTAAAATGTCAAATGACTCACCGCGCTGTCTGAGGTTCTAGGTCTACCAGGGCCTCTTTTGGTTCGTCCTGAAAATCGAAGACAACAAGTTAACAAACGGAGATCTTCTTTGGAACTTGAATTGGGGGAAGTTATATTTTACAGCACATGTGGCGATCATTTCACCTCCATAGTGACCCAGCGCTTGCAAGGCGTTGTCGACCTGATGGATAACTTTTGAGCAAAATTAACCACTTCCAACTTTTTTACGATTAAGACTGTTTCTGTTGTTTTCGCTCATCGAACGATGGCCTCAGCTGATGGCTTGCATGCGTCATGGTAAATACTACGAATCATATGAACTGAAGCCTCGCCGACAATTTACAAGCAAGCACAGAGAAATGCATATCATTATTGGTAGATTTCCAATTTGAAACTGACACTAAATCCTGGGGTTGTAGATTTCAACCGTGGCTGGGGGAACTCCGATAGAACAACAAATGAACATTCATAAATAATACAAAATCGCTAAGAACGCAGATGTTTCTCTCGGTAAATGGATGAAGAACATTTCAACGAAGTGCATATCTATGCGGATACACGCAATGCAGTAGACATTAACCTAAAACTGACCAGTTCCTAATGCAAAATAAAATTCGCGCACTAAAATGATATCATCTTTTTCGATTTTTCACCGACCGTGCATCGGCCATCTTATGTCATTGGCAGTAATTATTCATATCGCTAGAACTATTGGTTCGTGCCTTTGTTCACATTTGAAGAATCGTAAGTTTCTCGTGTATTTTATCCATGAAAAACGTTAGCCTGGAGTACTTGACTAGAAGCACTTTTTTCTTCTACACATGTTCCAATCCTGAACAGTATGTTACGCCCATCGAATAAAAAATCAACTGTTATTGGCAACAAAACACATGAATGGCCGCGGTTGGGTTAAAAGGAAAGATAACGAAGCGACAGTAGTTTTTCGAATTTAAAGGTACGGCGAGAAAGCCTTTCATCATTTCGATAATAAAGAAGAGACCAACACTTTATTTCTTCACCGTTAACTCGCGTGTCCTCGTATAGTGTGGGAGAGAATTTAGGGTTCAGATGGAACGCGCCACAATCTTTGGACTTCATCACAAAATGGCGTCCCTTAGACTGGTACATACGAATGCAAAACATGGAAGAAAAAAAATTATCGGGCTCAAAAAGCAGCAATCTGGGACAAAAGTCAACGGTAAAGGGGGCTTTAGCAGTTTATGAGGAGGGTAACTTTAGAGCACGAATATGAGGGAGTAAAAATACAATTGAAGTTCATACGCAGACTTACAGTACAGCACGTCATCGTATGCAAGTCTACAACACAACAACTTTCACTCACCGGACATGTCTTTTAGATAGCAGTCCTGCAAACACCGTTAAGATTCCAGGAGGTTGTGGTAAATTTAGTCCAACGCAATCCACTACACTTTCCAGAACAGATATGCTCCGCCTTTGCAACTCACTAACGCGTCAGGTCGAACGCAGTCAAGAAGCTACAAACGCAAAACGACAATTGAATTCATCGCACATAACCAATTCCCTGAAACGATCTCGACTTCGGGAACGATTTTCATCGAAAGTTGATAACTTTGTCTCAGAGGCAACACAATTTTGTTTCTTCATGCAAGTGTTTAAAAGTCTCTGAGAAGGGGAATTTCAGTACTCTCTGAGCCCGTAGCATGCCGCCATGCTAGAGATATGCAATAGCCTTGCGCGGACAACACGACCCCCCATGCACTAGCCACGCCAATCAAATCAGCCCTCTCTTCCACTATAGACGAGCGCTGATTGGCTAGTGATAAGTGACGCGGCGGTAAAGTGAAAGAATTTTCGTCAGCTGATTGAATTATTACCGCACCACGAACTTCGCCATGGCATTCTAAAGTAACGTTCTTTTGTCACGAAAATAGTTTTTTTTAGCTTCAAAGGGCACTCTTGATGAAATTTAGGAAAGTTCTAAAAAAGGATGCTTTCTCTTGCCTTTGATTGTTCGTTCGTATAAATGGAAAAACAGCTACTGAATGAAAGAAAAAACGTTCGTGAACGATACAGCGAGGGAATCTTCCATTTGTTTTACGTTTCACCCACGCTCCAGACTTTTTCGTGATCATGTCTTCCTTAACGTCTTTGTATGGATGATGTTGAAAGCACGCGAATCAAAACATTACTATAAGATCATAGGTCGTCCCAGCTAATGTTTTGATTTATCATGATGGAAAGAGAGTAAATGCTTGAAAAAATGTATTAAGTGATCAGTTGTTGGATTAATCTTAATTTTACGAGAAATGCACAGAAGACCCATAAATGCTTTGTTGTATGTTTTTGTTGTTTATTGTTATTTTCTGAGCTGATTCTGCATTTCATTTTTCCATGGCGATTGGACAATCCTCTTTGGAGATTGTTAATTTACTGAATTTAGATTTAGATGTACTGTATCAAATAAGTTTTTTTTAAAAAAGAATGTGAGCATTTGCATGCCGCATTTTCATGTCGCGACACGACTCTACCGAGTTCGAAAAGATCTCAACTAACAATTAATAATCTCGATTGAGATTAAGCGCTATTTTCAATTTTCGTCAACTGCTCGTTGTTTGCGTGAGCTCTAGCCAAGTTTCTTTCTCTTTTGTTCTCCGGTTTGCCGTTTGTATGACGATTTTTTCCCCTTTTGGTGATAAAATGTCTTATGATATGTATCAGATTTTTTCTTCTCAAGATCACCATCAACGGCCAGGGTAATGAATAATATTACCATTTTATGATGTTTTTACAGAAATAATCAATACAAGCTTTCATTCTTGTTTTTTATTTCGTTTTGTTTTGATTTGTGTTTTCCTTTTTTAAATCCAATCAAATCTGTACACCAAACTCGATATAAAATGGAATATCAGCTGATGGGATGTCAAGTGAAAAAATGGATCGGAAGAAATAAAATGACAGGCAAACACACCACTAACTTGAGATCATGAAACTTGTGATAAATTCGCTTTAATTATTGTCACTGAATTGGCTTGCTCTCTCTCCGGATGATCATTGCCTTTCGCACGGTTTCGATCTCCTCAAGGAATGCTTGGAGGATTTATCGACGTAAAAACTTTGCACTAACGCTTACACTACTTTTATATGCCAATGGAAAGTGAGCAATTTTCTTAGCGAAAAATCGTAATTCCGATCCATACTATGCTTTGACGGTACGGTAGGTAAAATTTGGCGCCAAAATAGGGGAATACCCCTGACGCGCTCTTATTTCAGACAATCAGGATTTGGCAATCGCCGCAGATCTATTTATAGTAACGGGAAAAAGAAATACGATATCGTTTCGTACGAGAAATTTTCTATCATTTCCTGAACAATTATTGTTGCTTTCTTTTTCAAAAACAATTGCTAAGTCTTAACTAAGTCATCATACGAAAAAGGTGTCTCGTATTTTTATCGACTTATCCGTTGTTGGTTGGATGAAGAATATTATTTCATTGAGTAGGTCATGGTTCAATAAGCAGTGGAAAGTAAATAAACTTGATTGGCTGATAAACGTTTTCTTTTTCTTTTGTTTTGTTTCAATGTATGCCGATGAGGTTGATAGGATGGTAGTCGAAATAATTTCTCTCTTAACGGTACAGACGTCACTGGATTCATGACATCTGATTGACCATTAAGACCAATGCTACGCCGGCTTGCTTCAAAAAAGCCTGTTATTTATGTAATTTACTGTATTTGTTTGTTGCTTTGTACAACAGTAAATACAGTATTCTACGCTGTGATTGATCTTGCTTTCACTTTAATTATGGTTTTGTAACTGCAACACTGAACTAAAAAATAATAGTATCTAAAGTTACCACACAAATGTAACTCCCCTAAGACCGCCTTCTCTCTCATCTCCTATAAACTGTACACCCGTCAACCGTGAAAGCTCCCACCCCGTACCTCATTGGCTTCTTCTTTGTCACCGCTAGCTACTTTTAGGACATAGCGGGATTTGCCGCTTTCTTTGTTTTATGCACCCAGACGATTTACAGCGGTAGTTGGTATACCTCGTGATTTTGGCGAGATATTCTGCACCTGACCGTTAGTCAGATTGAATGTTCCCGTACTTATCCCGCCTTTAGTAAAAAAATAAATAAACAGAGAGTCATTGTAATCTCCAAGTGCCAGATGCCCTGAAGGGGATTGTATTAAAGTTCTCAGAAGCCAGAGAAGCTGTTGTGAATATTAAAGCTCGTCCACGAACAATACCCTGAAGAGTAAAATTATTTGAACTTCCTAACTCTTTTAGTTACTGATCTTTTCTTCAAGACATTGAAAAATCACCAAGAAATTGACATGATTGCTTGGATGTTTTCCTACCGGCTTTCTCTGCTTACAAGTCTTAGTGAGTTTGATTTTTTCATTGCATTGATTTTCACGTGAAAGATATGTACCAAAAAGGTTCAGAGTTGGGCTATTATCGATCATTTCATTCTCTCTTGCTATTATCGATTATTTCAAAGATCTTTTTAGCCAGCTTGCTGAGTATCAGCTATGTCTGCTGACTACAAGCGCTTCTTTCGGCCTCAGTATATAGACCCCGTATATGTCTCAAGTGTAAGAGCTAGTGTAAAATATGAGTTGATGTAATGCAAATAATTTATTTTTTATTGGGTGGAAATTTGGTGGTTACATTAAAATAACTGTGATAAATATATAGAACTCCCCTTATCTTTGTTATGAAATACCGTAAATTTTTGAATACCCTTGTCACTTTCGGAATTAGCAGCCTTCAGAGGATCTTAACTTTCGAGAGGAAAGGTAAAATCGTCAAATAAAGTAACTTCGAGTTACTTTTTTTCCGAAGTATAAATTTATTTGAAAAAAGTTCATTAAAAAAAATTGTCAGAAAATCGGACTTTCATAAAAAAAACAAGGAATTTCTTTTCCTTCTCTAATAATATGACAAATCTGAGGTTTGGTAAGTAAAGGGCTTTATCTGACAGCCTGCACTCAGCAAGTGCCGTCAAAACTACCATCTTGTTCAATGACTGAAGAGTGCAGTCTTCTGTAGTTAGCTTATCCACTACACGATATTCCACATTTTAACTCGATATTATCATCCGGTCCCCAGCGATTAAAGACAGGCTATGTTTGGGAGTTTTGCACTTATCATCTCATGAACGGCAACACACGTTAGAAAATGCTAAACATACGGAAGCTCTACTTCTGAACTCCCTGAGCCGAGACAACCTTGACCTCAAAATGTGAATCGGTTTCCTCAGTTTCTCATATATGTCTGCTTACCAGCTCCAAAGTATTGCACGAGAATTAAAAGCTTCTAGTCCATGGGATCGTTCATAGTTCCTTTATATATTTAGCAGTTGTGAAGCTCTGACAGTAGCAGGGTAGGTGGGCTTCATGGGTCGAAGAATTTGAACTGAATAACACGTTGTTCTAAAGTGCTGAAAAGTAGGACAAAGTTTTTCTAAAGAAGGGGGTCACTGGCTACTTAAGAGAGTACAATGTATCTACATGTGAAGCTAGACCTTTTTGATATGTGAAACACTCAGCTTTGCACTCAGCTGTGCACTGTTGAGTCCTCAAGGTCGGTGAGGAGTACTTAATTAAGATATCAATCCAGAAAGAGAAGAAAAGTAGAAAACAGTGTTTCGGCGTTACGTAAATGAAAAAAAGGGTTCAGCTATAAATATATACTGTCTTAACACCAGTTTCGCTTTAATAATTTAATATTCATGCAAGTTTATATGGTAATAATTATTTGATTACAGTGTAAAATGTAAAACCATCTATCTGGCCATGATTGCGAACAGTCAAATTGGCGACCACCTTCAAATAATAAACTGTCTGGCCTAGTCGCTTGTACTGAGGATTTTTACGCTGCACACGTACCAAGGATGTGCAGAAACAACTCAATGACGTCAATAATATGTTACTTTCGAACCAAACACCGGAAGACCGACTTCTTAAGAGATGTTTCTATGGAGAATGTAACAATCATGGATAAGTATAAGATAATAAATGTCGGCTGGGGTATTCCGCTACTCATCCAATCGAAATGTTTGATGAAAACTAACCTCATTTCAAATTGGTTCATGACGTGATTATAACATTGTCCAAGTGAAGAATAACATTGCTGAGACCAAGTATGACAGACGATCCCTTTCAACACAAATGATCTGACTTCTTATTTCAAGTGCGCACACGCAATGAAATGTTCCAGAAGTAAGTCTATTACATTAACCAATCAGAGAGCGAGCCAGGGAATCCCCCTAAAATGAAAACAATAACGATCATTTTAAGAGTAGTGATATATTCATTTTGCTGAAGTGATTAGAAATACGTACATGGTGCTCTTTTAAATTTGCATATGAAGCATCGAATATTTAATGACCATCGTCTCCGCGACACAAAAGCTGTCAAGCAACTGATACGTCATTCGCAATAAGCAACAATGGTCTGTTCGTGGTATAAGGAGAAGCACGAAGAAAAAATTTCATACTGTGAATACTTCTTGAAATAATTAATTCCCTTTTTTAAAAAAATAAGGAATGTAAGGAAGATCATTAATCAAGACCAACGTCAACATCTGCTGACCGTTAACAATGAAAACTTTTTGATGATTTTATGCATCCCTCTCCGGCAAGAACTGATGTCACGACAAAATATATTTGATTTAATTTGCCAGGATCAGGAAATGAGGACTCAAGCGCAA